TGGAGAAATGTCAGAAAACATTTTGGGAAATTCACGTCATAGTGGCCATTATAGATTGCAATGTTGACATATTTGTTTTCACAGAAAATCTTATCAAGATTATAATTCTCTGAATGTTTTCAGGGAATCAGTTTAAAGCTTGTGACAATTTGCCAGCATGCATAACAAAAAAGGTAAGTGAACTGAAGATAGCAACTTTGCAGATCCTAATACTTTAGGGTATGCTAAGCTGAAATGCTTAATTTAATGAAATCCAAGAAACGTAAATAGCAAAAATAAAAAAAACAAAGATAAGGATAAACTGTCACCCAAACGAAATATCCCTCACTTGGGTTCAAACGGGTACATGGTGTTTGTTGCGCTGTCTGCCCGCTTCCACCTCGTACTTTTTAATCAAATTACGGGGATTTAATGTCTGTTACTCGTTTTGATTACCTGATCCACATCTTGTGCAAATAATTATAAGCAAGTGACAAGCATTCATTGAGTAGAATAGGACAGTAGGAAGAAGGTTGTTTATGGTTCCCAAACAGGATGCTAGTCATAAAAAGCTACTGACAGACATGATGAACACACAATGCCATTTCGGAAAGTGGTCAAATGTAACAAATGTTGGGAATAACACTTTCTGAGTAGAGTACAGATGTGGGTTCGAATCCCGGACGGATATGTACGATAATCTGTACTTTACTCAGAAAGTGTTATCCCAAGTATAACAATTTGTGACAGACATGACTTGTTATTTCAATTATTCACAATGTTAAGACCGCGGGTCGTTTCACTTACACAACAGTGTATGCAAAGTTGTTATTTTTGTAGGATTAACAGAAATAATCGTACCTTTACATGTTGTCCCAGTTGATGTTCGAGTTGCAGCTGACCACTTCCTGGTGTATCAGTATAGCTGCTAAGAATCACAAGATAGATTATATAGTAGATACATGCGTTAACCAAGTCTACATATCAGCCAAATAGGTTGGTTTGGAAGCCTATTACGTAGCATGTGATTTCAGAAATCGTTTCTTCTTGAAATACCATAATGGACAATTTGAAAAAAAGAAACAATAAACATGAACACAAGAATAGAACTAGCAATCTTCCTGTACAACAATTTTGAACCCCCACACAACTGCGCTAAATGGTTTCTCTTCACACTCTAAACCTCTAACAATGTGTAAACTGATTAACGTCAATAAGTGCTTCTTGCACATACGTTCCGAGAATTTGCATCCGGACCTCAAAGCACATAACGTCCGGGAACGCAATCTACACAAATGTACATCAGAACACAGATAATCACCTCATGGTGGACATCTACTACTCACTACTATTCTTTGCTGGTAAAAATAATTCAGACATTTTGGAATGAACTGGATTTAATAAGGGCATTCATTTTGTGAAAGAACACTAAAAGAAGTTTATCATGCTACATCACCACAACACTACTCGTTATCATCATCCAGAGAATTGATCTGAAGTGGCTGGATTATTTTATAAAATTATGAACTGGCGACTTCATTAATGTCACCATCATTAAAATGAAATTTACCTTAATGCGGTAAACATTTAAACAGTGAAAACGCTCTCATGGAGTGTAATATGTATCATTCTCTTCCATTATTTGATAGATCACGTCTATTTTCAAGTATGGAATGCACTTCTTTTTTCCGAATCGATACTACAAATAAAACCGATGAGTGTTTTTTGTTGTGTGAAAGCAACCGCAAAGTGTATTACATGTACCATTGTGTGGTTAATTTACTTAATTTAGTTTACACAGCACACATAAATGTTTACGAGAGTTGTTCTAAATCAGTTTCTTTGTTGCATCAGTTTCAAAATCCATTAACCGAGTTTCTGTTTAATGCCACACTCTCTCTCTTGGGAAATGATGGTCTGATGCATGCTGGTGGCGACTGAGGTCACCATGAATCTTGTCACAACAGTTATTATTAAAAATGCATACTTAAAGCAATAATCCTTTACAAGGTATTAAATGAAATGACGAATAATGTGTACTTGACAATGCTGAACATCCTCAACACTCTCTCTCTAAAGTTACAAACATCTGCAAAACAGTTGTCTCGAATACATTGGGATAGAAAATATATCAATGTGTCGACTTCGAGCTCATTCATGGTAACAGATTCGCGCATCAGCAGTCCAGGTCGTGAAAATTCTTGAAAATAGACATGTCCATATGTTTTCAAAATAAATCATTTCAGTATAAAAATACAACGTATAATAGGGTATCACATTAATACAAAATGTGTGCAGGGATAGTTCATGATTGTGCATGACAAATTGTTATAATGCTCCAGTTTTGTTTGTTTAACGTAGCACTCAGCAATATTCCAGCTAAATGAAGGCGGTCTGTAAATAATCGAGTCAGACAATCCAGTGACTGACGTGATGAGCATCGATCCACAATTGGGATAGGATGACATTCATCAACCAAGTCAGCGAGCCCGACCACCCGATCCCGTTAGTAGCCTTTTTGGACAAGCATTGTCGCCTTTTACGGCAAGCATTGGTTGCTGAAGACTAATGCTCCAACTTCACCTTAACTTTTTCATTTACCCAGAAATGAGACAGTTATATTTCCACTATTAATTTAGGGGAAATCACCAAGAATGTTTCGCATTATTTTACCCATGTAAGAAACAAACCCGGGGCTTTGGTGTGATGAGTGAACGTGTAAACCACTAGGCTACCATGTTGGCAAGGAGGGACTACATCATTGTTTCGCACTATTTGAATTATATCCCTTGAATTTGTCTAGAGTGGTGTCTTGGCTTTGTACTTTAGATTGCCATGAGTTGTGTCTGTACTTAACCTTTGCCAATGAAACTTTTCCCCGGTCAGAGTACTCCATCCGACCCCTCTCATGTATTGTGAATATGGAAAAGGTTCTGCCGTTTTTATTTATTAGAATGTGTGCATACAACATGCTCATTTATACTTATCATAAAAATACAAATTTAACATTCTTGAATTAAATATATCAAATATAAATTTCTTCTATTGTGGGTCTTTTTCTGTGGTTTGTCTGTGCTATTTGACTGGTGTTTCATGTCATCTTCGACATGTTGATTTCAGATTGTTCTTTATGTCCAAATGGATAAATGTTTATTAACAGGCTCACGCTGTGTGTAGCTGCAAAATTGCTGATGTGGTGTAAAGCTATATTCATTCAGTCGGTCAATCACATGATCATACCGACCGTCTCTCTAAGAACCATTTTGCTTTCAACTAAGCTTTTCAGTCAATGTTACACCATCAAAGCCCTGGTGAAGTCCTTCCAGAAGTGATATGTTAACACTCAGAGACATGATTGCTGGCGATGGCAGTGTATTGCTATTGTGTGGGTGGATGGAAGGTTCAGCCGCTACAGCAGGACATCCTTACCCTCTGCTCCATCACTTGCTGTTATCACAGATTTTCAATGTTTCTATCATACGATTTGTTATCACTACTTTGTCTTTGACCCCCAATGGAATCTATTTTGGTAGATATTCAAGACTTAGTCTTCACTGAAGTTGACGCAGCTTGTCGCAGTGTAATTGTTGAAACGTCTCCTTGCAGTCTCAATGATATTCACAATCAGAAGCAAATGGACAAAGGCAAATGTCAAACTGTGGTATGGGAAGCTCAAATCACAATCATATTTCACTTCAGTACTTCTTCAATGTAGCCTTTGTGCACAAATAATGGCTGACCGCTGCAGTCGGTTTTGATTTTACTCATGGGAAAGACAATTTGTATGCAACATTTGTGATTGTCACATCTCTTTTTTTTTAATGTGCTGTGTATCTAATTTATTGAAAGGTGCCGTCTCTTGTTCTAACGCAGTGTATTGATTGATTAGTAATCAGCTTCGGCAGCAAGTGTTGTCATTGTTTATATCTCTTGGGTAATCAACGGAACACACATACCTGCATAGAAGGTTAGACTGAAGTTCTTATCTACAGCGAAGTAGAAAGGTAAAATATCCCACAGAAGGTAACGTCAATATATTGTTAACTGAAGCAGATCCTAGTTTCATGCTTTGACGATGTAGTGGCATTCACATACACAGTAAGTTGTCAGTCTTTACTGTAGGTACAGGATTGTTACATGTATTGATTTTAATGGTATGTGGCATTCAAATAGAAGGTAAGGTTGTCAATCTCTTATATGTATATATAGATAAATTCTAGTTTTATATTTACATACATTTTCAAAGTGTGATGTCACATATATATATGGTAACGTCCTATCATCTACACCCATCCACATAGTATTCAAAATACTATGTGTAGACATGATTAATGTCCAGGGTAGTGTGCAGGATGAGATTTTTAGACTCACACCAATTCATGTTATACCATACATTCAGGAGAACGTATGACTTGCCCGTGTACTAGTACTTCATACTTTACTTCTTTGTTACGAAAATTACAATGAAAATTGTTCGTATTATAATACCCAAAGCAATTGTAAATCAAAATGATGTATTTATTCAAGTATGTTAAATATTCTTTGACCATCTTGATTACATTTATAGGTTATTGAATTACATAAAGGTATTCTAAGCATTCACCACAATTTCCAATTTCTTTCATATTGCTGCCATGTAAAGATAGTAACATTAGCAAATAAGCATGTGTATCATAATTATTTTTGCTGACTTCGGCATAAGATAAGAAACGTGAAAGAGTTTTTGTATGTCCCTACGGGAAAGATTCAATCTTCTTTGCCATTTACAACGCTAAAACTCTAATATAAGGGTATTCAAATTTGAAAAGGCTGACACTTACTTTCTTAAGCATAACAGTTGAAAGAGATGTCTCCAGGTCTTCACCCTGACAGTGCCAGAGAAGGCCAAACCCGTACCTGTTTGAGTATTGTAAATGTAACGTATTTGTAACCATACTAACCATGAACATGTTCCTACTTGTCGCTCACCCTTCGGATGTGGTCTTACCATGACATATACTTCGCCTACAGAAACATTCAGTATGGATGAGAAGACGGAGACTGTCACGTTTGATGCAGACCGGCGTACGCCAAAGTACGGATTGAAAGATCTATGGATTGAATTCAGTCAGTCTACAGGCCTTCATGCAGTTGATAAGATTAAACTTCCTTCGATGAGCCCGTTTAGCATTCGTGGGTAGGTGTGGTTGTATTTAACAGATGCATGTTTGTTTGTGTCTTTTGTAATGCCACAGTTATATGACAGGCCTGTAAATATTCCAGTCCGGGCAAGACAAACTATTCTTATAATTATATTTTTATGTAATTTAATACATAGATGTACCCATGTGACAATACCATTAACAAACAGGACATTTCCCGTCGTCGATATCTTGACACTGAGTGTCCATTTTATACAGTAATCTTAGAAGCATCTACGGATAGGTAGGTTATCTTCACATAATAATAATAATAATAATAATTAATATTTACCAATCATTATGGGAGGACGCGGTTTGATTAACGTTGGGGCTCTTCATGATAGAATTGTTTTGTGCACTTCTGCACACATTTATTTGTCTGATGATCCTCTTGTGAAGCATGACTCGCTAAGGATGTGGGTCATAATCTCAATGTCGGTGTTGATTTTGTTGATGGTTCTGTACTGCTGGACAGTACAGAAATGAGTATCAACCAAGCGAAGTGCCATATCAGGTCGGCCCAGACTCAGTTTTTAAAGGAGAGGCTATCTGAACGACCACTGCATCGAGTTTATGTGCAGTGTGTTGAGAAGATCAGCAATCCTGCAGGGTCTTTCGCTTGGAAAAAGTCGTCTGGCCTGAAAAGTGAAACAGAAGGCTTTCTGTTTGCTGCTCAGGACCAGTCACTTTCCACTCGAAACCGTCAATGTGTGATTTTGCAAAAAAATGTAAATATGAAATGTAGATTATGCAATGAATTTAATGAGACTGTTCAACACATTGTCAGTGGATGTCCAACTTTGGCACAAACACAGCATCTTAAACGACATGATGGTGTAGCTCGATCATTTTATTACCGCCTCCGCCATTCTTGTGGTTTTGACACAGAGGTCCACCCTTGGTACGAAACTGAATATGTAGAGGCCGTCATGGAAAACGATAAATACACAATTCTTTGGAATAGGCCCATTTACAGCTTCAGACGTATCCAGGCCAACAAACCTGATCTTGTCCTTTTTTGAAAAATCAAATGAAATCATTTATATCATTGAATTTTCTGTCCCCTTTGACACTTATGTGATTGACAAGATTGAGGAAAAACATAGCAAATATGCGGACCTCGCTTTCGAAATGTCACGCTTGCATCACAAGTACCAAGTTGTCCAACTCCCGATTGCTCTCGGTGCCAATCTGTTGACTGATAATAAGTGCAACAGTCATTATTAGAACAATGTATACTAACACAGTTGTATTTCCTTTCAATCAAGTAATAAATCCAGGGGATAAATTCTCATTTGCCTTATTTCTGAGTTGCTTGCTCCGGCGGAAAGGCTCTAATTTAAGTATTGTTAAGTACACTAGTTTAATGTAATATCATATATGTTCTGTGCCAATGTGAAGAATTTATCTATTTTACCACTCTTAAATAATTTATACCAGTCCATTATCGAATGGTTTGGTGAAGTCGAGTCTTAAGTTTATTATTGAGAAGTTGCATGACATTAATGTTATCTATTGTGGACAAGTGTTTATGAAATCAAACCTTTACTGGAGGTTATATGGAGGTACTGGAGGTATTTACTGAAACGAGTAATTTCGTCTCGCGTTTAAAATACTAAAAAATGATAGCTATGCGATAAATCACAAAGAACAATGTAGAACGAATCTTGTTTTATTTTACGATAAAACATTGCTCTATCGTGACGTCATTTCTGGAGATTCCAATATGCGCTCGCAACTTGATTACGCCATATATTGGATGACGTTATTTTTTAGAGGGAAGTGTCTAGTGAGTTGTCTCCCATAGATGTAGCTGGGCTACGTAGATAACGTAGTGGCCGAACGATCGTATCCAGTAGTGGGAGAGATATGACAATTGGTAATGGAGAAATTGACATGAGGATTGTGAGAATATGCGGTAAATACCAAACTTAACCCACCTGTTAACAAAATGGACTTATCCAACATTGCCGACGTGGGATTACTAGTCTGGTAGTCGGGACTCGTTTTTGGAAAGTGACTTCATCACCTAATCACCAGAATTTACTGATTTGTAGACATCGTTTACAAATCAATTTTAGAGCTGAGGCTACTGCAATTATGGACAAAAAACAGAAGTAACAAAGGCGTTAGTGTTGTAGGAGGGCCAACTATACCCAAGATTATTTCGATTGGGTGTGGTCTCTCATATTTAGGATAACAATAAACCCGACGCTATTCTGTCGTGGCATCCTGTGCATCTTTTTATTACAGAAAATTGAATAAGGATTAAGTTTACTTACATATTACTGGGTAGGGGTAATACTTTTCATGAGTAACTACCAAATTCTAATCCAGATCACGCTGAGAGGCCCCATGACATTAACAGTCCATACCCTTGACAACTTTACAATACTCATTCTAATAATCTTTATTCGACAGATTGCTATGGATTTTAGCTATGTGTTCAACTTCGGCGTTTCTCGTTTATAACCTTGTCGGGGAGATAGGGAACTACTACGACTACCCCACCGTCACCAAGGTCACACCCAAAATCCAGAACTCCATCGAGTTCCCTGCCGTCACCATCTGCAACAGATGCACCCTCAACAAATCACGTCTTGATGTTTACCCAGACATGATGAACTATTTCTTCAATAGTTCTATGTTGCGGATGAAAATAATCTCATTTTCTGCACCAACTTCAGATGTGTTTCAGGAACCATTGTCTTTAGAATGGTGGAAGAATATGTCTATGGAAGGATCCAAGATGCTGTCTCAGTGTGTCTTTCAAGGTGACATCTTTGATTGCATGACCAAGTTTCGACCTGTTTTCACTAAAGAGGGATTGTGCCATACCTTCAACTTCAATTTGAGTGAAATGGTCAAAGTGTGGACGGCAGGAGAAGACGCAAACCTCGTTCTCTCTTTCAACATTAATCAGAACGACTACACATTCAGGAAAAACATGGCTGCAGGGATTAAGGTAATAACGTCTTCCCTAAGTAACTGAGTTGGCATAAACATCACTTTGAGCATATTTCAAACTGAAAAGGAAATATCTCAATGTAGGCTCGCTGACTTGGTTGAAGCATGTCATCGATCCCAATTGCGTGGATCGATGCTCATGTGATACATCACTGGATTGTCTGGTCCAGAATCCATTATTTTCAGACCACTGTCATATAGGTGGAATATTGCTGAGTGCAGCGTAAAACAACAAACCAACAACAAGAAAGTCTCATAATGTTGAACTGTATAAGAAACCCTCAGATCTCATTAGAACAAGAGGCTAATTAACGTTCACTTAAGAATTGACCTTCATTTTGTAGGAGTTCATTGGAGTATGAACCTTCATAGAGTGAGGGCCAAACTGTATGAACGTCGGAGCTTGCGAAAGTGAAAGTCAATTCTTATAATTTTATATCACAATTTCTTACCTCAAAGGATGTAGGCCAAGATCTAAACACAATTTTATTTAGTACGTGTGACTTCAAGTTTACACTGACAGCCATACAATAACCAACTACATCGCGGATTAAAATAGTTCCTCAAAAAGAGAGGTGACATGGGCGTATGGGTGCACAACTTGCTCTTCAGAAACATCTTACGCAGCACATGTATTCAAATCATATCCTCATTAGATCAGAAAGGTCTGTAAAGAACTACCTCAGTAAGTCAGTCACAATGACAGCGCGTCGTAATACATTTACATCAAGTAGACGTCAAAATGGCCGACACGATAAACGTGACGGGAGAGATTTCCGGAGTTGTTAATGAACCTGTGGCGTTTACATGTGTTAGTCATCATTGATCAACTGGTCGATCATTGAAAGGTGACTAAAGATGCGTCAAACAGACACTAGATTGCTGGCGACGGTCAATGTCAGCCTTGACACGGATCGAGTCGATTCTACGATAGTTTAGATGTGCATTTCTTCGTTTGTTCATTAGGATAGGCCGCAGCGAGGATATTCGTGAACAATCATGCAGTCACGCTCTCTGACATTTCTCAACGTATACTGAAACGCTAAGACCAAGAATAAAGGTTCTAAATGATCAGAAAGAACGCTTATGTATGTTTTCGTGCTAGGGAATTCCGCAGGGGTTTCCCTAGAAATGTGGAAGTAGTCTGTCAGTGTTTACGTCATTTCAAGAACACGGTCTCGTGAAAAACGTATGAACGTCAAATTGTGTCGTTCATACACTTATGAACGTCAATTTCGCGGTCATGTGACTGACCTTTCGTCCAATTGAAAAGCCGTATATCGTGTAAACTTCAAATAAAAAAATTATATACATATGTATGTCTACTTACCTTACTCTAATTTTTACGAGTACGTTTGTACAAGCAGTTGATATTTTAAATAGTTTGTGCAATGCACACTTTCCTCAGCACGTAAATTGTTTCCATTCAAGTCCAAAATAACCTCGATCTTGATTTGAGTTGGACATTTCCCGCAGGACAGGAAGTGCTCACCCATAAACTGGTTCCAGTCCTTGACCTGCCTCTGAATATAGGAGCAAAGTAAAGCTCACATTCCGCAAACACAGTAGAAGTTTGGTATGAATTTGTCTCTGTTTCCATGTGATAGAGATAAGATTTTGAATACCCTGCTGTTTTTAGTTTTAGAATGGATTTCAGATCACAATGTAACAGTGTAAAGTGGGCAGTAAGAAAGTCCTGTGTGTATATGCAGGTATTACTCCATGATCCACGCGTACACCCAGACGCAAGTTCCACTGTGGTGATGGCCGCTCCCGGATTCTCTACATTTGTTGCTATGCAAAAATTTGTGGTGGGTACTTCTGTTGTCAATAGCAAAGGCTTTGCATCTAAGATCCTATTTTAAGTTTGAAGGGGAACAGTGCGATATCATTTACCTTAATACCCACAAAAATCTCATGTTGTTTAGGACTCGAAGTGTGAATCAATGAATTTTATTTGTGACCTCATTATGAAAAAGTATATTTTTTCTTCCTTTTCATGCTTCGTCCTGTATTTGCTCATTACATCTAGGGCATTGTCGACACCCATACATTAACAATCGTCTGGGCGTTTGGCCCCACATTCAGTCGGTGATTTCAAAGAAAACATCAATAACTTGTGGCTTTGTTTGTAGTATATGTACCAGCCCCATCCCTACACAGCATTTGATGACATGAAATGTGTGGACACAACCTCTTCCAAGTTTGTTAACCCTCTCAAGTACTACTCCCACTACACCTACAACCATTGCTTCATGGAGTGTGTTCAGATGAAGGCCTTCAGTGAGTGTGGATGTGTCGGACCTTCTGACCCACGTAGGTTTTTGAGTCCTGTGCATATCCAAAGTTTATAAGCAAAGGAATGTTGCAGTCAATTTGTTTTACCTTAATGGGTTCATATTTGGAGACAGAAATGGCACCAGAAATATTAGGATGAATTTAAGTCACACTGTATAGGGAAAAAGTTACTTTTCATGCCATATGACATTCCAACTGATTCATTTTTGTGATTTCTACAAGACTTAGAGGCGATCTCTTTAAAAGATTACAAAAAGTAACAGTTAATTAAACGTTGAGGGGGAGATCTGTGAATGTTGTGCTTATGTCAAGCACAGCAGTCATGAAGCATAATACCGTATGTGTCCCACACGAATCTGAATGACTGCACGACACCACCTGCCAATATAACCAAGTCTGCGGATGACACCTTGGGTAGGGGAAGCAAATTCGTCCTGAAGACCTAATGTAGCCGATTATGTAGGCCTGAGTGTCTGTCTAGCTCATAATCGTACGATCGTCCGAGATTTCTTATGAACATGGAAAGGGTAATTTTCATCCCCAAACGATCGGGTGTAAACATCTAAATGTGTCAAAAGCTGATTTTTTAAAAAGTATTTCTGCCAGTACTGTTCTTATTGAAATCCTCTGTCATTGTTTTACTCAAACAAAACGGGAAATCGTCCACCATCATCAAAACCATCACTTGCATTTATCAGTTCTCATGGCTTGAGTATTCTGAACTTGGTATAAAAATAAGTCATCGTCATCTTTATTCCACACAATCTCATTAAAAAAGATCTTAGTTCTTGTTCCAGCAAAACTAATATCTGAGGACATTCAAATACGGGTCACTTCAGAACGACCTTGCATTCGACTCATCAGAGAGTCGCTTTTATTCTGGATTGGGAAAGTGACATGCAGAATGTGTTTTCTAATCACGCAAACTTAAAAAAGGTCAACACGACAGGTAGGGATGGTACTTCTGACTGATTCCTCATTTCTCTCGCTTCAATGAGATCACTATTTAAAATACATACTTTCCATTACCGGCGGTAAGTACTGCCATACAGTCTCGACCATCTGCGAGACATTCCAATATTTTCTTTTGTTCATTTTTAAATTTTGAATCAATATTTTCAAAGCGTAGTCTAGAATGGAAGTCAAATGTTTTAAACTTGTACCAAAAAGCTTGAGGAAGCTGCTTTCTGATTGGTTAATGCTGACTTCTTCGTTTGTCGGTCGGTCAAAGTTCACGAAAGGCTCTGATGTAACCTGTAATGGGATGTCCTGAGATCGATGTTAAGTTTGCAGGCACTAGGATCTGAGTTAAACGAGATTGTATTACTCATCACCTCATGTCCAAACACCTTCAACTGGAAAAAGATCTTTGCATACTGTTCTTGACACTTCAAAAGCAGTATTTATTGATTTTATTGCAGAGGATGGTCCTAGATGCTCGCTGGCAAAACTGGATAGTTGTTACAAGCCCTTTGTCAGTAAGTATACTGTCTATATACCAATAATAGTAGAGTCCTTCTCGTACAGTGAGGCGAGGACTCTTCTGTTTTAATATTGCAATTCACACACACAAGAGGCAGATTTCATGCAACCATGAAATCCTGGTCTTGTAATTTCATCTTCGTAGGACAACAATTAGACACAATAAAAGACACGAGCTGGAGTCACAAGTCAGTGAAGAAAAGAAAGTACAAGTTAGACATTTGGGGGTTAATTGATAAGTTCTGAGCCTCACATGGAAGGAATTACATAATAGTGAAATCTTTTGTTGTGGGTGATCTTATAATGGTCTGTGTTACATGATGTCAATTGAGTCAAATGGAAAATGGACAAACTTGAGGAACATGCTTTGATCAAGTAAGCACTTGGAGATAGTTGCTTGCATATACTTTTCATCTATAGTCACAAATCTTTGCAAAAACCTTTCTGGATCCGCTTCAAACATTATCGACTTTAACGAGACACATTGTGTTAGCTGCGTTTTTCAACAGATGTCAGAAGTGTTGGAACTCAACGATGTTTTCATTGCCAAAGTTTCTGTGATAATGGTATGTACGCTTTCCTGGGAAATGCCTACTGAACTAGCAGTATGACGTTCACACATTCTCCAGTCAGTCATCACCGTGAATTCTCTGGATCATTTCTGGTGTTGCTAACGTGACAGGCCTTCCATATCAGGGGTCGTCTTCAAGGCCTCCCTACCAACTCTGTAGGAAGTACTTAATCACTGCTTATGTATCAAATATCCAAAACGTGTTACATGCATTTATTGTTTTAATACTAGGATCAATGTCTCAGGACGGTACCTTGGTGAGGGAATGTGGATGTGTCAGTGAGTGCACGTTCGACAGGTACCCTGCCCAGGTGTCCTCCAGCTCCTTCCCAGCAAACATCTGGGACAACACCTTCCTCAACATCACGAGGGCTCGGGACAAGGGCAGCATGAAGTAAGACGTCCATACAGATCATGCTCTGTTTCCCAAACATAAATGTTAACAACAAACCATGGTTATTTTATTTCCCGCCATTGATGTTCTGAATGGAGGTAAGAAATTAACGGGTAAGACATTTAGGCAAGAAGTAGGCATCCCCACTGGCACCAATTGTGTTCCCCTTCTTGCTGATGCATATTTTTCTTCATGCATATGAATAGGTATTTGTGTTCGGATTGGTGGAGTCAAAACAAAGCAATCTGGACAAGAAGTTTAACTTAAGCTCAAGTATATCGATGATCTGATATCGTTCAATAACCACTAAAAGAGCCAATTCCCTTCCACTGATTTACCCTGAACAAGAAATAAAGAAGACCAGTGAAACCACCTCATATTTCATATTCAGATCTATGCATAAACATTCAGAGTGACAAAACAGTTTCCACAAGACTGTATGACAAAAGGGATGTCTTTTTATGGTAGACATGTGGAGGACATTTCTAAATTTGACGCATCAGTGGCAAGAATGATGTCCTTATTTTGACTTGAACCATATGTTCCCATGCTTTTTCAGGTTAACAATTGGCTTGCCTTTCCATGTAATTGTGATGCATTCCACCAGAGGGGACAGATAAGCTCACCTTTTCTAATGAATACGAAAAAACTTTTATCGCTTTCATTCAAATACTCACGATAAATCTTGGTTTCAAACCAATATTTCAGTCTTAATCAATTTCGCCCGAAACAAACTTCCCTGGCGTCAAATACTCAGTAACAGATCTAAAAAAGAATGCTGTATGTTTTATTAATAATCAAGTACAGAACAATGAAAAGTTCTTTCGGGAAGGTTTTGCTCTCAGAATAACAAACGTTTGCCAGATAGCATTAAAACATGCCTCGAACCATGTGAACCGTTACTGTTGATAGTTATACAATATCTGAGTCACGAAATGCTCCGGAACTGGCGTAGCAGTTCTTTTTGCGCCAAGATCGCTGGTGACTGATTTGATTTCCAGTTTCAGCTCGATTTTTATCCTTAGTATGGAAAAACCATGTTCGTGGGTTTTAGAAATGTCGGTGGCGTTTCTTCCAACAGATTTTCAAGTAGGTGTAAAAATATTTGCTGATGTCTATTATTCAGAGAAAACTTTCTGGAGCTGAGAGTGTTTTACGACCAGATGACAGTGACATCCATTACACAACAAGCTCAATATACAGTGGCCTCGCTGTTTTGTAAGTATCATATTTTTTCATTTCCAAGTGATATTGTCTCATTGCAAAAGATTCCTTAAATCATTCAGCCTCGAACGAGTGACAATGTGGTCTGAATCGTCGCAATTCACTGTGCAGAGTTACAACCCTTAGTCACGAAAGGACAGTGGGCTCTAATATCATATTCTCGTTGTTTATTACGTTTGGTCTGTCAGCAAAATAGTATAAAACCCAAATTACATACTCAACAGAGTTCAGAGTTTAAAGAATATTTAATCGAGAAAAAGGTATTGGCGTTTTGGATATTAACGCTAGCAGTTAAATAGCTCCACATTGCAAATAGAGCAGGACTCTGTCCCCATATCCTGCAGTCCCTCGTAACAGAGGTTGTTTTCTGATTTCCATTGTCGATGGGGTATTGTTTTTACAGCTAATGTCGGGGGTCAGATGGGACTGTGCCTCGGAGCCAGCATCTTGACAGTCATGGAGATCACGGAGCTCCTGGTGTTCATCATCCTCTTCCTCTGTGACAAATGTAGAGGAAGAAAAGCCCGAAACAGAATCAACACCTGGTAGACAATGACATCTAAGAGTATAACCATTCTATTAACCAGCACCCAACTGGTAGACAATACAACTAACATAGGAATAGACATTCTGTTTTGTTTGCTTCTTGTTAAACACCGCACTCAGCAATATCCCAGCTATATGAGGGTGGTCTGTAAATAATCGAGTCTGGACAAGACAATCCAGTGATTGATATCATGAGCATCGATCCACACAATTGGGATACGATGACATATATCAACCAAATCAGCTGGCCTGTCCACTTGATCCCGTTGGTCGCCCACTTACGACAAGCATTGTCGCCTTTCATGGAAAGTATCAGTTGCTGAAGACCTATTGTACCTCAGAGAGTCACAGGTCTATAGCCATTATGTAACATCCCCACACAACTGGTAGAGAACGCAAGTAGCATGAAGATAGCCATTATGTAACGTCCCAACCCAACTGGTAGATAACACAAGTAACATGAAGATAGCCATTATGTAACGTCCCCACACAACTGGTAGACAACACAAGTAACATGAAGATAGCCATTATGTAACGCCTCCACCCAACTGGTAGACAACACAAGTAACATGAAGATAGCCATTATATAACGTCCCCACACAACTGGTAGACAACGCAAGTAACATGAAGATAGCCATTATGTAACGTCCAAACCCAACTGGTAGATAACACAAGTAACATGAAGATTGCCATTATCTAACGTCCCCACACAACTGGTAGACAACACAAGTAACATGAAGATTGCCATCATGTAACGTCCCCACCCAACTGGTAGATAACACAAGTAACATGAAGATAGCCATTATGTAACGCCGCCACCCAACTGGTAGACAACACAAGTAACATGAAGATAGCCATTATATAACGTCCCCACACAACTGGTAGACAACGCAAGTAACATGAAGATAGCCATTATGTAACGTCCCAACCCAACTGGTAGATAACACAAGTAACATGAAGATTGCCATTATGTAACGTCCCCACACAACTTGTAGATAACACAAGTAACATGAAGATTGCCATTATGTAACGTCCCCACCTAACTGGTAGTTAACACAGGTAACATGAAGATTGCCATTATGTAACGTCCCCACACAACTGGTAGATAACACAAGTAACATGAAGATAGCCATTATGTTACATCCCCACACAACTGGTAGACAACGCAAGTAGCATGAAGATAGCCATTATGTAACGTCCAAACCCAACTGGTAGATAACACAAGTAACATGAAGATAGCCATTATGTAACGTCCCCACACAACTGGTAGATAACACAAGTAACATGAAGATTGCCATCATGTAACGTCCCCACCCAACTGGTAGATAACACAAGTAACATGAAGATAGCCATTATGTAACACCTCCACCCAACTGGTAGACAACACAAGTAACATGAAGATAGCCATTATATAACGTCCCCACACAACTGGTAGACAACGCAAGTAACATGAAGATAGCCATTATGTTACGTCCCAACCCAACTGGTAGATAAAACAAGTAAAATGAAGATTGCCATTATGTAACGTCCCCACACAACTGATAGATAACACAAGTAACATGAAGATTGCCATTATGTAACGTCTCCACACAACTGGTAGATAACACAAGTAACATGAAGATTGCCATTATGTAACGTCCCCACACAACTGGTAGATAACACAAATAACATGAAGATTGCCATTATGTAACCTCCCCACACAACTGGTAGATAACACAAGTGACATGAAGATTGCCATTATGTAACGCCTCCACCCAACTGGTAGATAATACAAGTAACATGAAGATAGCCATAATGTAACGTCCCCATACAACTGGTAGATAACCCAAGTAACATGAAGATAGTCATTTTAATACCCACAAACAACTATATACATTGCTTAACTTCACTATTTGTACTTCGGTATGCATTTTTGTAATTAAGCTGTTGTGATAAGTGGAGATTATCTCTCGCTATAAAGTGTATCCTGTATATAGTCGCAACTTTGACTTGTACCATATGTTCCCGTGTTTTATGTGAACAACATACATGCCTTAGCCTATGTTTTTGACGGATGACACCTGTAAGGCAGGTGACGCTCTCCTCGTGGTATCATCACTCATTGATGAAAAAGTCGGAATCGTGTAATTGATTCTTATGATTATGGAAATGGTTTCATCACTTTTTTCATGATTTTTTTAATGATTATATATAATATTGTGTATAGGGGTGACTAAAGACGTCTATCACATTTGAAGAAAAAAAGGATCCTTAAATCAAAAGAATCTTCAGGGATCTAGCTATCAAAAGGGTAAGTGATACCTTTACCATAGTAATATCTGGCGCTTATAATTATTAACAAGCGTTTATATTCCACAGGACAATTTGTAACATATATACATTGAATAAATTGTTTCTCTACATATTGTTTTCTCCTAATTCCCACTTTCCAGTGTAAATGTGAGGTATTCATCGTGTAATTTCTTCATCTTGAGCATTAATGTTTGTGAACACAACAGGGGACATCAGTACATTAGTATGTATACGAGTAATGGAGTCAAGTAGATAGTTCAAATCATCTGATTTGAACAACACAGACAACACATCCATATATTGGTATAACCTACAATCACTGTGGTGTAGTGGACAGTGTCTGCCAGAGAGCAGGAGGTCGATGGTTCAAACCCGGTCGAGTCATACCAAAATATGTAAAAAGATGTTACTTGTTACCCCGCCAGGCGCTCGGTGTTTTCGGGAATTAAACTAGGACTGGTCGGCTTGGATTTATTATGTGCGAGTTTCCATGTTTAAAATGGGGCATGGTATCTCAGGGGGCTAGCACTATAACACCTGCATTAGTGCGGACAAGTAAAAGCTGTAGCAGACGATACACACTCTTGAAACCGACGTTACACCCAAGTTCACATTCTCTCTTGTTTATGTTCCATCCATATAAAAACCTTCAGTAGTATTCACTTCTGTGGGCAGAAATATTATATTCTTGTTTCTCATCACTGTTTAATAAACAAAGTACCTCATCACACAGCTCATGGGAACAATACAAAGCAACAATGTGACAAGACGTCTGGGAGTGCTGAATAGACAGAAGGGATTGAGAGGGGTGAGGAAGGAGTAGGATTGTTGAGGAGGAGACTGCAATACACAAGAACAGATAGCCATTGGGGAAATACATAATAAACATCTACTGCCCCATGGTATAATAAATTGATGCAAGGTGGCAGCCATGGGTTCAAAATAACAGACTGATAACATATAGCATTACACTGATCCAAGGCAGGAATCCAAGGCAGGAATATTTGAACAATGAGGCTGAGATGTGAATGTGGGAATATTACTGGTGAAATCGACATCATATGTCTTGTTCAGAACAAAAACAAATTGTCTTTCTCGCGTTAGTTGTACCGTCTCTTTATATTGACAGTAGCGTGTGATCTCGCCTAGATGAACTCCACAAAGCTTACTGTCGTTTATCTCCCGATGAACGTCAATATGTCGCGTGATTGCGTTGGCAATCGCGTCTAAAGACTTACAAGATACCGACAAATAGGAACGATATCATTATACAATTTCCTTCAGAGTGTGCGCATACAGGCAAAGCTAATGCCATAATCTAAGTATTCAAATAAAAAATGAAGTTAAATGTTCCAGAACTTACCAAATATAGCTCCAAACGGTCATGTAGGCCAATCATTGCATCGAGAAATCCGATCGCGCGGCAATCCCCGTAATCAGCAGCTTATTTTGCCTAAGTGTGACTCAAACACTAACACAAAGTTCACAGAACGTTTATATTAATCCATTTTCACCATCAACCGGGTCTGGGTTTCTTTCGAGTTCCAGCTTTACTGGTTGCAACTTCTATTTCAAGTGAACCAAGCAGCCATTTTATGACTTTCGTAAAACCAAGGAAGATAACTCCCAACGGAATTTACAAGCTCCTTAACAACGCGTGACACCTTCGTTACACTCTCGGTATAGAGAGCTCCGCGAACGGGCTATCGCTGTGAGGAGGTTGCGGAATTTCTGTGACGGATGACGTCAAAATATGGCTTCTCCCTCTGCGTTTGAAATAGTTAAAATTTGGTGTTTATAATGTATGAATCGGTATTAGATGATGAACGTCAGCAAATACAACTTTGATCCTTGAACCTTAGCTCTGCTATCAACCCTTTTATGCGTAATGTATTTAAATTAAATCCAGACAACTGCATTTAAATAAATGACACATTTGCACTTCAATATGTCCATACAATTCAATGGTGACTCCAGCATGATAATTTCTTTTTTCTTCAAATGAAAGCTTTCATAAATTCTAATACAAACAAAGGCTTATGAATGTATTTATTTCTATGATAACTCCCTTCTAAACGATGATGAACTGCATGAGTGTGAAAACTATTAGCAGCAGTTCAAGAAGACAGGTTATGAGATAAGATACCTACAATACTATAGACTAGTGCAGTAGGTATACTACGCCCGATGCCTCATTGCAAGAGGAACCAACACAGCTACGGCGAGCGCCGATGGAACGCTGGTCTGAGTAGTTTGTTTGAATTGAAGACAAAACTTATGTTCGTACGCCGCCCTTGTTGAGGGCCAATATCAGTTGATATGAATTTAAAGGAAACTGTTGGTGGACCGGCCTTGTTCAGCGCCAGCCTCAGTTGTTTATATGAATTAAAGACAAATGTTGGGGTGCAGGTCTCAACTAAAATTGTTTATATGAATTAAAGACAAATGTAGGGGTGCAGGTCTCAATTAAAATTGTTTATATGAATTAAAGACAAATGTTGGGTCGCAGGTCTCAATTAAAATTGTTTATATTAATTAAAGACAAATGTTGGGGTGCAGGTCTCAATTAAAATTGTTTATATTAATTAAAGACATGTAGGGGTGCAGGTCTCAATTAAAATTGTTTATATTAATTAAAGACAAATGTTGGGTCGCAGGTCTCAATTAAAATTGTTTATATTAATTAAAGACAAATGTTGGGGTGCAGGTCTCAATTAAAATTGTTTATATTAATTAAAGACATGTAGGGGTGCAGGTCTCAATTAAAATTGTTTATATGAATTAAAGACAAATGTAGGGGTGCAGGTCTCAATTAAAATTGTTTATATTAATTAAAGACAAATGTAGGGGTGCAGGTCTCAATTAAAATTGTTTATATTAATTAAAGACAAATGTAGGGGTGCAGGTCTCAATTAAAATTGTTTATATTAATTAAAGACAAATGTAGGGGTGCAGGTCTCAATTAAAATTGTTTATATTAATTAAAGACAAATGTAGGGGTGCAGGTCTCAATTAAAATTGTTTATATGAATTAAAGACAAATGTTGGGTCGCAGGTCTCAATTAAAATTGTTTATATTAATTAAAGACAAATGTTGGGGTGCAGGTCTCAATTAAAATTGTTTATATTAATTAAAGACATGTAGGGGTGCAGGTCTCAATTAAAATTGTTTATATGAATTAAAGACAAATGTAGGGGTGCAGGTCTCAATTAAAATTGTTTATATTAATTAAAGACAAATGTAGGGGTGCAGGTCTCAATTAAAATTGTTTATATTAATTAAAGACAAATGTAGGGGTGCAGGTCTCAATTAAAATTGTTTATATTAATTAAAGACAAATGTAGGGGTGCAGGTCTCAATTAAAATTGTTTATATTAATTAAAGACAAATGTAGGGGTGCAGGTCTCAATTAAAATTGTTTATATGAATTAAAGACAAATGTAGGGGTGCAGGTCTCAACTAAAATTGTTTATATTAATTAAAGACAAATGTAGGGGTGCAGGTCTCAATTAAAATTGTTTATATTAATTAAAGACAAATGTTGGGGTGCAGGTCTCAATTAAAATTGTTTATATGAATTAAAGACAAATGTAGGGGTGCAGGTCTCAATTAAAATTGTTTATATGAATTAAAGACAAATGTAGGGGTGCAGGTCTCAATTAAAATTGTTTATATTAATTAAAGACAAATGTAGGGGTGCAGGTCTCAATTAAAATTGTTTATATGAATTAAAGACAAATGTTGGGGTGCAGGTCTCAATTAAAATTGTTTATATTAATTAAAGACAAATGTTGGGGTGCAGGTCTCAACTAAAATTGTTTATATGAATTAAAGACAAATGTAGGGGTGCAGGTCTCAATTAAAATTGTTTATATGAATTAAAGACAAATGTAGGGGTGCAGGTCTCAATTAAAATTGTTTATATTAATTAAAGACAAATGTTGGGGTGCAGATCTCAACTTAAATTGTTTATATGAATTAAAGACAAATGTAGGGGTGCAGGTCTCAACTAAAATTGTTTATATTAATTAAAGACAAATGTTGGGGTGCAGTTCTCAATTAAAATTGTTTATATTAATTAAAGACAAATGTTGGGGTGCAGGTCTCAACTAAAATTGTTTATATGAATTAAAGACAAATGTAGGGGTGCAGGTCTCAATTAAAATTGTTTATATTAATTAAAGACAAATGTAGGGGTGCAGGTCTCAATTAAAATTGTTTATATTAATTAAAGACAAATGTTGGGGTGCAGGTCTCAACTAAAATTGTTTATATGAATTAAAGACAAATGTAGGGGTGCAGGTCTCAACTAAAATTGTTTATATGAATTAAAGACAAATGTAGGGGTGCAGGTCTCAACTAAAATTGTTTATATGAATTAAAGACAAATGTAGGGGTGCAGGTCTCAACTAAAATTGTTTATATTAATTAAAGACAAATGTTGGGGTGCAGGTCTCAACTAAAATTGTTTATATTAATTAAAGACAAATGTAGGGGTGCAGGTCTCAACTAAAATTGTTTATATTAATTAAAGACAAATGTTGGGGTGCAGATCTCAACTAAAATTGTTTATATCATTTAAAGACAAATGTTGGTGGACTGGCCTCGTTGAGGGCCGGTCTCAGTTGTTCATATAAACTGCTTCAATAGATCGAGTGAAGAGAAGAGTGGTCTGTTCATAGGTTTCTATGTTTTGTCACTAGATGCTGAGGACTACTGATCAACCCGTTAATATAGTCTGCCAATTGGCTAAAACTCATAAAATATTTTCAATATCTAGGTCTCTCCCTTAAACCTCCATATGTGTACTATTTTTTCACCGCCATCATATAGCTGGAAAATTGCTCAGTGTGGAGTTAAACAACAAACAAAGAAAGTTGGGTTTAACCCTGCTGTGAACAGTATTTCAATTGTATCACTTCTGGTTCGTTCAATGAAGGACAAATGATTTGTGATTGGTATGTGATTCGGAAATGGATGCCACCAGAAAACACTTTGGACATGTTAACAAATCAATACAAATTATTTCCCACAAGTTATACCAAAGCAATATAATAGTGTGTGTGTATATTTTATTAGTTCCAGTATATATACCTTCACAACCAATAACGTTAAAACACAACAATCGATAAACATCTCCCTCGATGTCACACTTATTTAACTCCTCAATGGTAACATAAATATTTCATCACTAATGTGCATACCAATGTCTTCAGGTACAGAAAGCCTCCAACCCCGCATCTCTGATGGACCTATCCTCTACACTGATTAAACACACAGCCAGCTACGGTCCCTAGTGAGCTCTCGGAGTTGACAGTCATTATCTGATCAACATTAGGCCTGGAATGATTCATACTGGACTCTGTTAACAACATTTAAATAGATACGATACACAACATGTTTCTCCCCCTGGAATGTGCCTCATTAAATACCAATGTTTGTTTTGTAACCTGTTCTTAACTGTCTATTATTCACTAGTTGTTAACTTGGCTACTTGTTTAGGTACAATAAGCAATCTCTATGTGGATGAACACATCGTACAAACCAATTCCCTGGGGAACAGTCATCAACCATACTCAAACTGCTTTTGTTTGAAGTGTGTTAGATGTGGGCTTATCATGCGTAGTGTAGTATTAGTTGTCACTGGGGCGAGTATGTAAATTACACTGGTGAATCTAGGTGGGAGGGGTCACGGGGACACTGGCACTCCCTCTCCATTCCCTTATAACATATGGAGCCCAATCACAAACAAGAGTGCTCTGAGGGCACAATATCCCCCACATGAATTTTTTTAACGAGTTTATATTTTCTTTGTATTTTATGACAATCCACATTTTACCACAATCAAATTTATAACGACTGCGATATGTGTATCAATAACACATGTTGTGTGTAGAGCGGCATGTGTTTAGAGCGTCAGGGATATTCCCTGAAAAATGTAGTTGACATCACAAAAACAGTACCCTCTCTCACAGTTGTGCAAATCGAGCTTCATAAACCAAGGGCAGTAACTCTCTCAACATGAAAAGAAATGAAACGTGACTGTGATATGGATATATTAAACGTGCACATTTTAACTGTAGGAGGAGTTGATTTCACAAGCTTAGTACCCTCTCTCACAATTAGGCAAATGAAGATCCGTAAAACAGGGGCAGTAACTCTGTCCAAAGACGTATACGTCCGTGCTCTGTCAAAATTTGTCGAAATGAAACGGGACTGCAGTATGCGTATCATCAACATGTCGACATCTTGTGTGTAGAGTGTCAGGGATATTCTCAGGAAACTGTAGGAGGGGTTGATTTTACAAGCTTAGTACCCTCTATGGGACGGGCGGACGGACTGGACATAATCCCCCTTCGGCCATTCTGTCCCGGCAGGGGATAACAAACCTCCTCATGTTGTTAATATACTTGAGTAGAATATTGTCCGATCATCGTATAGCGGACATCCTTTTGTGCTTATCTTATTTCTTTCCAGGGGGGGGCATGTGTGGCCCAGCTCTCTAAGGTCTGCATTTCTCTGTGCAGAGTTGCATCCCTTGGGCACACCAGAAACTTGTGATTTCGGGTTCAAATCCCAGTTCACCCGCATTATGTTTCTAGGTTTGTCAGCACCATTCCCATGGTGAGGTGAGGTGAAATGGGGTTTAACATCACGTCCAAGATTATTGCACTTATATAGCGACATGCATGCACATGTGTTTGTGTGTGTGGCTGCTTGTACTAGTCCGGACTGATGCCGATTTATAGTGCTAGATCACTGAGATACCATGCTGCAGTATTACATGAATACCCTACTCAGACACAGTATACTGACTCCGAGCCGACCAGTCCTTGTTTTAGCCTCTTAATGCTGAGCGCCAGGCAGGGTAACAACAAGTACCATCTTTTACATCTTTTGGTATGACGTGGCCCGGATCGAACCTTGGACCTTCCGCTCTCTGGGCGGACGCTCTACCACTAGACCACGAAGGGTTTCACCAAAGTGGGAGACATCTAAGACCTGCATCACTTAAGGCTTTCCTCCCAAATTACGCTGACACTCTGAGATATAACTGGAATACTGTTAGAAGCTGCATTAGAACCAACTCACTCATTCACTCACTGTATGTGGATATTTCCAAAAGATACATGGAAGATTGGGATATATGAAAAATAAGGCTGGGGTGATGCTTAACCTTTTTCCATGTGTATATACCCCTCATTGGTCTGAACAAAGTTGTTCAATCCAACACATGATGATTACAAAGATTATTTATTGGAAAAACATGTAATCCAAGTCATTTGTCAACAACTCCCGAATATAGTCACAAATGAAACATCAATTTCTAAGCATCTGAAAAGTGGACTCTCAGAGGCATATTTGGCCAATACTTGGGCTGATTGGCATCAAGGTGTCTGTCGTATGTCATCTGCAGAGCTGTCTCCATGCCGTGAATCATGGCAGCACCTTTTCCATACAACAGCTTCATTTCCGATGTACGTCGCAGGCCTGGTCTCTCACTGGGAGCTTCTGATGTCCGCTCACGCTGCTGTCCTCGCACTGTGGTAGACATTAACAAAATGCAGTAACTAGTAATGCCTGATACACATGGCTCAATTGGAAAGGTGAGCTGGTGAAATGGGGTTTAACATGTGTTTAACGTCGCGACCAAGATTATTGCACTTATATAGCGATGTGCATGCACATGTGGGTGTGCGTGCGTGCTGCCCTGCCCTGCCCTGCCCTGCCCTGCCCTGCCCTGCCTGCCTGCCAGCCTGCCCCTGCCCTGCCCTGCCCTGCCCTGCCTGCCTGCCTGCCTGCCTGTACCAGTCCGGACTAAAGATGCTTTTTTAGTGCTAGCCCACTCAAATACCGTCCCGCAGTTTAACATTGATACTCTACACATACATTACACTGACTCCGAGCCAGTTTATACCCTTGCTACCGATCGCCAGATAGGGTACCAACAAGTATCATCTTTAAATGTCTTTTCAGTTTGGTAGAAAGAGGTCAGGCTTCCAACAACTGAGCTTCTACTTTCCAGACAGCTAGTATCCATCCACTAGACAATGGAGGCGGTCTGTTCTCACAGAGTTATGCACAAATACAAACAGGAATCACTTAGAGAGTGGTATCAATCCTAGGGAGATTGAAGGATTGGCCTATCCTGTAATATTAATAGAGAGAACCACAAAACAAAATGCAAAGATTGGACATAATATTAATAATAAGTCCATTTATAATTCACCAAGTAAATGTTCATGGAATTACATTGATTTTCATTCTCAGCTCCCTGGGCAATGTACAACCCAAAATGACTGTTTTCCCCTTACCATCTTCAATGTTGATCCTTTTATCTTTCTTTTCCCTCGCTATTTCTTCCTTTTTCTCAGCTTCTGAAAGACAAACAATTATATGTAAGGATTTAGCTTCACACTTTGTTAATAAACATGGCACATGTAGCCTGCTCGTTTCACCATTTGTAAACATTGTTGGACACCTGTAGCCATTTTAAATTTGCTGTCTGCTGTATAGGTATGTAACCTACACCTAATAAGTATACAACATGACGTGCTACTCAATGTATAACTGTAATATCCTATACTGTTTTGAATAAAAAATATTTTTAAAAAACAAAAAAAACACACAAAAAAACAATTATATGTATAACTATGAACGAAATTTCTTCATGTGACAATGGTGAGTAACTTTCTAGGGTTTAAAGTTTAAATTCAACAAATTTACAATATTTTACAAAATAAAATGTATTATTTGAGGGTCAAGAATGTAAATAAAACAATAGTACATACAGTCATTGACAATTATATGTGTTCAATGACATGAAAGAATTTGTAACAAAATAATTTTTTTTAAAAATCAAATTTGGAGTAAAATTATCTAAATTCGAGTAATATGAGCCTTTTTTTTAACAGCAAATTTCACTTCACATTTTCTTTCACGTCCCTACTTCTTTCAGTCTTTAATTTTGTAGGCCTGAATGTTGTTCTGTGTCGCAGTCACCAATATCCCCAGCACTGCAGCCTCTAATGGGGTTGACTGCAAATTCAAGGCTTTTCAAGCTATTTTGGTGGTCTATTCATGGTCTTTTCAAGCCTGTACAAACCTTGCCATAAACATAGGGTAATACAGTTCTTATGTACCAAGGAAACCGATGAACATAGGGTATTGAGGGGCTATCAAGGAAAACGATGAACATAGAGTATTGAGGAGCTATCAAGGAAACCCATGAAAATAGGGTACTGAGGAGCTATCAAGGAAACCTGTGAATATAGGGTACTCGGGACCTATCAAGGAAACCCATGAGTGAGTGAGTGAGTGAGTATGGTTTTACGCCACTTTTAGCAATATTCCAGCAATATCACGGCGGGGGACACCAGAAATGGGCTTCACACATTGTACCCATGTCGGGAATCGAACCCGGGTCTTCGGCGCGAGGAAACCCATGAACATAGGGTACTGAGGAGCTATCAAGAAAACCAATGAACATTGGGTTTTGAGGAGCTATCAAGGAAACCCATGAATATAGGGTACTGAGGAGCTATCAAGGAAATCCGTGAATATAGGGTACTTGGGACCTATCAAGGAAACCCATGAACATAGGGTACTGAGGAGCTATCAAGAAAACCCATGAACATAGGGTTTTGAGGAGATATCAAGGAAACCCATGAATATAGGGTACTGACGACCCATCAAGAGAACTGTTGAACATATGGTATTGAGGAGCTATCAAGGAAACCCATGAACATAGGGTACTGGAGACCTATCAAGGAAACCCATGGACATAGGGTACTGGGGACCTAGGAAACCCATGAACATAGGGTACTGAGGAGCTATCAAGGAAACCCATGAACATAGGGTACTGGGGACCTAGGAAACCCATGAACATAGGGTACTGAGGAGCTATCAAGGAAACCCATGAACATAGAGTAGTAAGGAAATAGTAAACCCATGAACATAGGGTACTGAGGAGCTATCAAGGAAACCCATGAACATAGGGTACTGGGGACCTAGGAAACCCATGAATATAGGGTACTGAGGAGCTATCAAGGAAACCCATTAACATAGGGTGGTAAGGAAATAGTAAACCAATGAACATAGGGTATTGAGGACCTATCAAGGAAACCTATGAACATAGGGTACAAAGGACCTATCAAGGAAACCAGTGAACTTGGGGTACTGAGGTCCTATCTTACCTTTTGTGCATTCATCTCCATGACCTTCAGGAGTATGGTACAGAGGACCAGTTTTCCCCAACATCGCCATGTCATTACTAGGCTATTACTAGGTACTTTAAGCGACCAAAGCCATATCCCCTGATGTAAACACCATCACTGATCTGATTAGAAACTGTTCATACCTCTCTGTTTCCTGTGTTTTTGAGATGTTGCAAAAAAGTCCAACATTTCATCAGTGATCTCCAACTCCATCCTGCAGGCCACATTCTCCTCTCGCTCCGACGTCTGTGACACATCACATGCCACATCATCTCCTGCTTCAACTGCATCAGCAAAGTCACTGTCTACGTCCATATTCATATCTCCTTGTTTCCTCTTAACAGGCACAGACCGCTGACTCAGCACCCTAGACCTGTCTGAAGTCGCCCTCCCTCTCCCCCTTCTTGACCTGACTGGAGTCTGTCTGTGCATGTACTGAGCATGAGAGAAAGGGTAGGAGTAAGGCTGGTATGAGTAAGGCTGATAAGGATATGCTGTGTGGTATGATGGGTATGATCGATGATAGCTCAGCTTCCTTTGAAGAGACCTCTGCACATGACCGTGTTTCTTATACCAGTTCATCACATAACCATAGTGACTCCAGTATCTATTGAAACATTTGTGTGAATACCAGTCCTGGGTGTCAAATTTAGGTAGATTACTAAAGATGGTCTTCTTGTCATCCTTTGTGTCAGTAGATGCTGAGGTGGTTGATGAAGAGGTATCTTGTGTTGTCTTACAAGAATCTCTTGTGAGAGCTGCTTTGGGGATGTTTTCTCTCACTAGACTTACACTAGAAGATAATTTGTCTTCAGTGCCTGAGTCTGCTGACATATCCTCGGTGCTGCCACCTGGTGGCTGTGTTTCACCAGACATTTTGGCTGTTAAGATTTGAATTTTTTTCATCCTGAGATGGTTATCTGAAAATTACAAAATAGTACATGTATATAATTTTCATGAATGTTACTGATGTCATATCATCACTCAAAAGTCTTTGTTTGTTAGTGATGTGGGTAGAGATGAAACTCTAATACCGTATTCGACGTAATAAGCGCCCCGCTCTAATAAGCCCCCACGGCAATATTTGCTAATATATTGGCTAGTGAACAATCCCAATTAGCACCCCTTCGATTGATCAATGTAACAAGACCTATTTATTCGTGTATAATACACACTCTTGTGTAATAAGTACCCTCAATTATGGGCAATTAAATTCTGGAAAAATATATCTGTCGTATATAAACATTTCAGGCTGTCAGCATAAACCACGAAATTTATCTTTCAACTCTGTTTTTTCACCAAAATAATATTTCTAATTTTGAGAGCGCCCTGGGCGCTTATTTCATCGAATACGGCAATAATTATTATGGCACTTGAATGTTTGCAATTGACTCTTCTTTGGTTTTGTTTTTACATGCATTGATCATGACTCAATCATAAATAATTAATCAATCTATTGTGTGGATGTGCGATAAATTGCATCTAGTCTTTTGCAAGTTGTCTCCCTTAGGTGTGATTTTACAGCTTTCTTGTATTTCATCAGAGTTCCAGATAACTTTTTGAGCAAGTTTTTTACTCTAGGGTTTCCATTTTAAATGGGTTATTACATTTTTCATTGAGTAACCAATATTTTTTCACTTTTCACTCATCTAGTGATTACTATTGGGTTTCTCCCAAAATTAGTGAACATTTTAAGGTTTAAAAAAAATTGAAATGTTTCAGGTGTATATAACTGTTTTAAATATATAGGTTTGATTCGGAAAGTAAATTAGCTCATAAGCGTGTTTGGGAAAATTAGCTCCTTTGTACACATGTTGCAAAAGCTTCATTGGGTATTTACGCGTGCTGTTTTTATACATTTGAGTTTTTCATTTAATGCATGCGTTTCTGTACGCAAGTGAATTGAAAGTAATTGGGTTTTGAATATTTTGGGGGGTACTTTACACAAATACGCTGCATATCTGCAGCTCTGACTTCACACATTAAATTTTAACAGTGTAATAGGATGAAAACTTTTGCTGGGTTTGTCTCATTGAGCGCTGATTTGGAAGGGGAAAGGACACTAAAATCCAATGTACTAGTTTCTGTTCACAAGGACTATTCACCTTATTTGACACACATGAAAAGAATTGTAACTCTTACTGAACAGAATCCAATTCTTGGGAGGTAACCCATGTTGTCTTTTCAATATGGCAGTAATAGTTCGAAGGCTAGAAAATTTTAGATGCATTTTCTCTTTTAGTGACAATAAGTTGAAAAGGTTAAAAATGGAAAGCGTTAATTTCTTTTGTTATTTCTGGCATTACTACTTCTCTCATTTCAAAATGGATCTGTCTTGAATTTTAGCTTGAATACGGAAACTAGAGACCTGCTTCACTAGTGAGGTAATGATTTGACTGGTTTTCTTAACACAGCTTAATCCTGATGTTATATCTCTATGAATTGCAAATAGTGTTTAGGGGTAATGATAACTAAGATCTGATTGGCAGGTTGGGTGTTCAAATGTTTTTTTCTCAACCTTTTGATCAAAATTATTATTGTCAGAAGCTTTAAAAACAGGTCACAACTGTGTACACGTCAGGGAAGTCCAAAGCGGCGCTGTGTAGGTTTTTCAACGTGCGAAATAACCTGACATGCAAAATGTGGTACTGGTAGTATGCATGGGCCTACGGTACCACTACCAGTACCACGAAAACATGTGACGGTCATCTTTCAGACAATGTCATTATTAATGGGCAACTGATCTGATACCATTCAACATTTGGAAACAAGTATAGTTTACCAACCAACTGATCTGAATGTCTTTGATTAAAAACCAATAGGCCCGATAGCAAGTTTATCACTTCGAAGCAATACGTTTTCCGTCACCGGAAGTTAATACAAGCGGAAGTCAATGTGAACATGCGCTTTGGATATGTTTGATCACGTGATTCAAATGGTTGCGAGCAGAAAGTGTTGATTATACTCTTTGTATGAGATATCTTGGTGTTGACAGTCAGCAGTGCACAACCAGGTACATGACATTTATCTTTTGACAGCGTTTATGTCACCAATGTGTGCGATATAATACAGGTTATCACTGGTTAAAGATTCCAACAGAAACCCAGACAGCAGTCTGCTTTGCCATAGATAGATCTGTCGATCTACCTCAGTACCTGGTTAACTTTAGACATCAGCAACCTTTTTGACAGTTGTCGAACGATGTATCTCTCCAAGTATATCTTCCCTTATATCAATGTCTTTGATCACCTTCGCATTTCCATTATTCAGTTTGTGGTTATCGTGAAAGGTACACATAGGATGTGGCGATTGATTTACATTTTTTTTTATAGATTTTAATAAAAATCAAAGCAGACTATTGTGCTCTTTGATTGGCTGATGCTATCTAATCATGTAATTGTACCAATCATACCTGCTGTTGCATACAAGCAGATTTTTGTGTGACATTGATGAAATGCATTACATATACTGTGCACAGCCACAATGTGGGTAAAATGATTATATTGTTCAGCAATAGAAACTAACAGCTTAGTCCACTAGTCCAAGTCCATGACAACATACAGCAAAACTCTTAAAAAAGGGCAAGTTTCTGCTAGTCTTTATAATACCTTAACTAATGGGCAGTTTGGCAAGGACTATAGGACTAGTGCCAATTTCTAATGCTGTTTTAAAGTATCAATACATATGTGTACGATAGGATGGTCATAAAGAAATGCCAAGTATTTTTTATGTTTATGCGAATCATCCCACCCTTAATCTGCCATGCACATGTAGCGGCCATAAAATTTCTGAGTCCCGTGATGGGACAAGGTAAGGATGTCATCTGTGGGATGACTCCACGCCCTGCTACATACTCCCCCGTCAACAGAAGGCACGTCCCGGGCCGCATAGTAGGGTACTGAGGCTTATTTTGCTCAAATTTAATATGAACGTGCTCAGTCCCACGTTGGGCGCCAATGTAGCGGCCATAAAATTTCCGAGTCCCGTGATGGGATTCGAACCACGGACCTTCTGATCCGAGGTCGGACGCCTTGTCCACATGACCAAAGAGGTTAACCCCGTCAGCAAGCTGACAAGGTAAGGATGTCATCTGTGGGACGACTCCACGCCCTGCTACAGACACAGTGTAGCATAATAAAGAGTTGCAGGGATCAAGCTCTGGATTAATGATATTAATGTGCTGAGTAGATTGTTTTAAAAAGCACTTAGTTGTGGTAGGTATACCAGTACACCCATGGACTTTACCACAAACAAAGACGTGACAGTGAAAGGTTTTATCATGTTTATGTGACTTTTAGTAATATGCTAGCAAAGTAACAGAAGGGGTAACAAAAAATGTGCTTCTGTGTAACCAAACTCTCCTTTGGTTTAAAAACATGGATGAGAAGGTGCCTTATGCACAGAGGCTACCCTACCATACCTGGTGATGATTTTTAAAATTGTTTAGTTCAACTTCATTTGATACTGAGTTTTGTGTTTTCTACTCTCAAAAAATTATTCCCATTTTACTTATTTGTTCTTTTGTGTTACAAATGTTATATTTGGGATGACACTTTCTTGGTTAAAGTACAGATTCTCGTACTTTTTTGTGTTGTGATCTTTTCGAAAAATATATATCAATTTGTTGAGCATGTGGATTTTGCGTACATGATATAGTCTCCTGGTATGTCGGGCTTGAAATAATCCCACAGCCTCGGGTGATAATTTGATTATCCTACATCATGGGGATGATTATCCTCAATTTGGACTGTGGTCTCAGGCGATATATTATAAGGATCTCTTGTCATGCAATATTTGTACTTCAGTGGTCATGTCATCATGGTTATCTGTATATTAAGTTTCCATAAATGAGATGATATGTATCAAAACAGAAAATATATATTAGGTTTATTTTCTGAACACTGCTTTTCAACATGTTCAAGTAATTTAATCATGTTAATATAAGTATTAGTTTCAATTGTGTCACATTGTCAATGTAAATTTGTTAATAACAGTAAAAATACATTGGGCTATCACAGAACTATGCAGGTATAACCAATATACATTACTTATGCAGTGTTTGTTTGCCTGACAACAACAAGTCCTTCCTCGTTATTAAAAAGGCAAAAATGGTCAACATGTTTAATTAGTCAGGATATTGTATGTTGCATGAACAGAAATCTCAATAATCATGATAATGGTAGGAAGCCAATCAACGGTTGGTCGATATTCACTTAACTAAAAGTCTCACGTTCAAACTGGTGCGGTGGGGTAGCCTAGTGGTGAAAGTGTTCGCTTGTCACGCCGAAGACCCAGGTTCGATTCCCCACATGGGTACAATGTGTGAAGCTCATTTTCTGGTGTCTCCCGCCGTGATATTGCTGGAATATTGCTAAAAGCTCAACCATACTCACCCACTCACATTCAAACTATTTTCACACTCTCTATACTTTCCTTTGTGTCATGTTGCATATGGAAATACAGGTAGTTCTACTTGTTGTCCAGAGGGATTTGAGACAATCCAAACTCATTAGACATTTTGGCAGGTCCTTACACAAACATTAATGATTAGCCTGATTTGTTATTGATTAACATTATTAGTGGCCATTGCCAGTCAAGGCTCCTCCATTGAATTCATTAGTCACCTATGACTGTGATGGCTTGCAGCTCCAGGATAGCTGTGCAATTATGGCAATGAATAGGAAACTGGTGGCTTAGTTTGAGTTTGTCTTTGTTCGACATAATCAATTAATGATTAAACCATGCCATAAGTCTTGAGGTGTTATGGTTTATATTTCCATAGGTGCATGACAAAGATATTTTTTTACCCAATATGTATCGCAAATTCGCAATACAGATCACTGTATTGTGGTATTGTGATATCTTACAATACGATTTTTGTGGCATTTTGCCAACCCTAATAGCAGCAAACATCAAGGAAGTCAAGGTCTGTTGAAGAAATGAAAGCCTTGTTGTAAATTACAACTTCTTTAATTACTGTAAAGGCAACGTTCAGTATAGACCTATCCTTATACCGTTGTCAAGTTAGACTGGTAGTCCAGTCTGACAAGACCAGCTGTGCTTGACAACAGTATAAGGATCTTACCGAAACGTTGCCTTTACAGGAATTAAAGAAGTTGTTATCTATCAATTGTGTCTACTTTGACTTGAGTTGATGGTTTCAGCATGTGTGTGCCAGCCTACAGGAGGTATGTCTAGCCGGAACACAGGAAGATGGTGAAGCAGGTGGGCCTATTGTCAGCGGGCTGCCAGCCCTGGAACCACGATGTGTGTGACTCCAGCCATGACCGCTTCGCATACTGCGCTACGCTGGCTATATATGTCTACCAGGTATGTCCACACGGGGACTTCAGGGCAGAATACACACTGTGTGGTCGTGGCTCTGGGGATCAGGTGGTCACAATGTCAGCGTTAGAAATTGGCACTAGTCCTGTGGTCCTTGCCAAACTGCCCAATAGTTAAGGTATCATAAGGACTAGAAGAAATTTGCCATTTTTAAGGGTTTTTCTATAAGTTATCATTATAAGGACTAGTGGACTGAAACTGTTAGTTTCCACCTCTGAATGTAGGAATCAGGTCGGTCGATCAGATAACAGATTTGGTACCAAGACATATGTGACTCCAGCCATTTACAGCGGTAGAAACTTACAGTTTTAGTCCACCAGACCTTATAATGATAACATATAGCAAAACCCTTAAAAATGGCAAATTTCTACTAGTCCTTATAATACCTTAACTATTGGGCAGACTACAGGACGAGTGCCAATTTTTAACTCTGCTTTTAACAAAATGTAGTTTTCCCATTACGGTTAGTTACTCAGTCTTTATTAATGGATCACTGTATAATTATTATAGGTCTGTGGATCAGTTTGTGAAATGTGTAGATTTTACAGGATTTAATTTCACTATATCCAAACTGCACCAGTGCAGGTACATCATTTTTAGTGCAGGTAACTTTCAGGGATAATTCTAGGGTGGGGCCTGTTGCTTTTAGCTCCTAAATATGAAAAAAAAGTCCACATTTTAAAATGCAGTGGGCATTTTAACATTGTGCTGTATGGGCAAGTGTGGGTGTACCACTGGAATACTTGAAATTTTCACATAAAGGGCCCATGTCAGAAATTTCCTAGGGTGAACCCTGAACTTTTATTGTCAGGTTGCACCAGGTGCAGTTGACTTTTTCCTCAACAAGTGCATTTATTTGTATAACTTTCCCATGAATAATGTCTACTCCTATCGTGTGTATCAGGTTAAAATCAATTGCAAGAACTAAAAAACTGTCCTCTTACCCATAAATCAGTTACATAGACAAAATGTTGTGTTCACAATCTTGTGACGTAGAAGGTCAGATAGGTCACAGTAGTGTCTGTGGTTATTAGTTTGTGCACACAATCTTGTGACATTTCATGCAAGGTCAGAATGTCAGAAGCCAATGTGTAAAGGTCATGGGTAATGTCAGACAAGTTGAATTTGCCGACATATTTTCTCACAAATTTATGAATGAAAATGTCAGTGGAAAGCAACGATCTATCAAAACATTCTTCCAGACATCCTGTGTTTTGAGCAGCACTGGAGATAGTGAAGTTGGTCATGGATAGTGAAGTTGGTCATGACTATCCCTCTTGGTCTTCTGATAAAGAATAATGTGCTGCCTGGATATCAGTAATGATATCAAGAAGGAGGTGAAAACTAGAAATAGTTGGACTGAGAAGGATCAGCTTCATTATGAAAAAACAGACAGCTTCATCATGTTGATGTACTGTCGAATTTGGCAAAAAAGTGACAAAAGTGGAAAGCTGAGTTCTTTTAGACCTGGCTGCAAATGTTTTAGGTTTCAGGAAATAAAAATCCATGAGAACTGTGAAATACACAGGAGGTCTAAATGCAGGGAACTTGCAGAACTTTGTGCCAAGACTAATTCTTCACAATTGCCACTAGACCAATGATGCATGAGGTTACAATCACAACAAACAGACACTTTGAAACTTTTGTTTAAGGTTGTTTACTTGATGGCAAGATGTGAGTTGTCATATACTGATTTAACCGCCTTGTGGTCTTGTGGTAGAGCATCCGCCCAAAGAGCGGTAGGTCCGATCCCCAGCCACGTCATACCAAAAGATGTTAAAAGATGGTACTTGTTATTACCCTGTCTGGCGCTCGGCATTAGGGGCTAAAACAAGGACTGGTCGGCTCGGAGTCAGTATAATGTGTCTGAGTGGGGTATTCATGTTAAACTGCGGCATGGTACCTCAGTGAGCTAGCACTATAAATCGGCTTCAGTCCGGACTAGTACAAGCAGCCACATACACACACACATACACACGTGCATGCACATCGCTATATAAGTGCAATAATCTTGGACACAGCGTTAAACCCAATTTCACCTCACCTCAACATATATATATACTGATTTCCCCCAAATTCTGGAGCTCTTGTCAGTGTTTGGAATTGACACAGGTCACAGTTATGTGACAGATGAAAAAGCCAGGGAGTTTGTTAACAGCATTAATGAGGTACTAATGAATAACATGATCACAGAGTTGAAATTGCTATTGGTTTCCAGTATAAATTTTTTAATAAAATGTACTGAGAATAAAATACTGGAACACATTTTCAAGTTTCATTTCACTTTCATTTTATTTAATATACAGTACTTCAATTCATGATCATGATGATAACTTGATACAGCCTGCAAAAAATCAAATGACCTATCAACATGATCAAGCTTCATGATGTATGTTGTCAACCTTTCAGCTTGACAGACGATTCAATGAATTCAAAATGGTGTCCATCATGTCAGAACACAAGAAGACCATCACAGCCTTCAGCTGGAATCCCCGTGACCCAGACATCTTTGTCAGCACAAGCGCCGACCACAGGCTCATCGTCTGGAACGTAGCAGAACAGAAAGTAGTATCTTTACTTTCCAACACCAAAGAGGCACCTTGTTCTGTAGGCTGGTGTCCGTACGATACAGACGTCATCTCCTTCATCGCATCCCGAGGCCCCATGTACTCCTGGAACTACAAGTCAAACAGCGCGGTGACGGTGGTCAAGGAGGCTCAGAGCTTCAACTGTGATGTGTGTCAGCTCAGATGGCACCCCAAGAGTCTGGGCAAAGTCGTGTTTGGTCATGTAGATGGGAGTATATCAGTTTGTATCATAGGTAGGTTATTATCCCAGTTCATTTTCTCCATGGGGCTGAGGGCAGAAAAGGTCCTCAGTACCCATGCTTGTCTCCCCATGGGGTCCAGGGCAGAATAGGTCCCCCAGTACTCCATGTTTGTCTGCCCATAGGGTTCAGGGCAGAATAGGCCCCCAGTACTCCATGTTTGTCTGCCCATAGGTTTCAGTGCAGAATTGGTCCCTAGTACCCCTTGCTTGTCTTCACATAGGTTTCAGTGCAGAATAGACCCCAGTACCCCTTGCTTGTCTCCGTTTGTGGGTTTGGGGAGAGAATAGACCCCCAGTGCCCCATGCTTGTCTTCACATAGGGTTCAGGGCAGAATAGGCCCCCAGTACCCCACAAGTGTCTCTGTTTGTGGGTTTGGGGAGAGAATAGGCCCCCAGTACCCCTTGCTTGTCTTCCTATAGGATCTAGGGCAGAATAGGTTCCCAGTACCTCGTGCATATCTCTCTGTTGGGTTCAGGGCAGAACAGTTCCCCATTACCCCATGCTTGTCTTACCATAGGGTTCAGGGCAGAATAGACCCCCAGTACCCCTTGCTTGTCTTCCTATAGGATTCAGGGCAGAATAGGTTCCCAGTACCCCATGCTTATCTCTCTGTGGGGTTCAGGGCAGAATAGGTCCCCATTACCCCATGCTTGTATCCTTGTGTGCAAAAAAAGAATCTGAAGAGACAGTATGAGACTATGTGACTTATGAATTTAGATTTGATGGGTTTTATACAGTTTTGTTTCAGGTGTATGTGGTGGTTTAAAGGTATTTTACCTGTTTTAAAAAAAACATTATTATTATTTTTGTTATTGTTATTGTTTAACATGGTTCTTCAGGATCCAAAGGGAAGAAGCATGTGTTCAGGCCTGAAAACTTGGGGGATTCAGAAGATATGGACCCTGTCACCTCCCTGGAGTGGGACCCCTTGTCAGCAGAGTACCTGCTGATGGCTAACCTTCACTATGGGGTGCGGATGGTGGACACAGCATCCCTGGTGGTCATCATGATGTTCCAGCTCCCTAGTGCTGCAGCTCATATTCAGACTCTGTCCTGGGTCAATGGGGCACCTGGCATGTTCCTTACTGGGGGTGAGTAGCACAGGTCACCTGCTTGTTCCTCAAGGGGGAAGTAGAACAGGACACCTGGCATGCCCCTTACTGGGGGTGAGTAGCACAGGACACCTGCTTGTTCCTCAAGGGGGAAGTAGAACAGGACACCTGGCATGCCCCTTACTGGGGGTGAGTAGCACAGGACACCTGCTTGTTCCTCAAGGGGGAAGTAGAACAGGACACCTGGCATGCCCCTTACTGGGGATGAGTAGCACAGGACACCTGCTTGTTCCTTACTGGGGATGAGTAGGACAGGACACCTGCTTGTTCCTTACTGGGGATGAGTAGCACAGGACACCTGCTTGTTCTTCAAGGGGGTGAGTAGAACAGGGCACCTACTTGTTCCTAATGAGGGAAGAAGAACAGGGCACCTACATGTTCCTTACTCGGTGAGAGTAGAATGGGGCAACTGCATGTTCCTAAAGAGGGAAGTAGAACAGGGCACCTACTTGTTCCTCAAGGGGGAAGTAGAACAGGGCACCTACATGTTCCTAAAGAGGGAAGTAGAACAGGGCACCTACTTGTTCCTAAAGAGGAAAGTAGAACAGGGCACCTACTTGTTCCTAAAGAGGAAAGTAGAACAGGGCACCTACTTGTTCCTGAAGAGGGAAGTAGAACAGGGCACCTACTTGTTCCTGAAGAGGGAACAAGAACAGGGCACCTACTTGTTCCTAAAGAGGGAAGTAGAACAGGGCACCTACTTGTTCCTAAAGAGGAAAGTAGAACAGGGCACCTACTTGTTCCTAAAGAGGAAAGTAGAACAGGGCACCTACTTGTTCCTCAAGAGGGAAGTAGAACAGGGCACCTACTTGTTCCTCAAGGGGGAAGTAGAACAGGGCACCTGCTTGTTCCTAAAGAGGGAAGTAGAACAGGGTACCTACTTGTTCCTCAAGAGGGAAATAGAACAGGGCACCTACTTGTTCCTAAAGAGGGAAGTAGAACAGGGCACCTACTTGTTCCTCAAGGGGGAAGTAGAACAGGGTACCTACTTGTTCCTCAAGAGGGAAGTAGAACAGGGCACCTACTTGTTCCTAAAGAGGAAAGTAGAACAGGGCACCTACTTGTTCCTCAAGGGGGAAGTAGAACAGGGCACCTACTTGTTCCTCAAGAGGGAAGTAGAACAGGGCACCTACTTGTTCCTCAAGAGGGAAATAGAACAGGGCACCTACTTGTTCCTCAAGAGGGAAGTAGAACAGGGCACCTACTTGTTCCTCAAGAGAGAAATAGAACAGGGCACCTACTTGTTCCTAAAGAGGGAAGTAGAACAGGGCACCTACTTGTTCCTAAAGAGGGAAGTAGAACAGGGCACCTACTTGTTCCTCAAGGGGGAAGTAGAACAGGGTACCTACTTGTTCCTCAAGAGGGAAGTAGAACAGGGCACCTACTTGTTCCTAAAGAGGAAAGTAGAACAGGGCACCTGCTTGTTCCTAAAGAGGAAGTAGAACGGGGCACCTACTTGTTCCTCAAGGGGGTCGAGTTGCACAGGGCACCTACCTGTTCCTAAAGAGGAAAGTAGAACAGGGCACCTACTTGTTCCTAATGAGGGAAGTAGAACAGGGCACCTGCTGTTCCTGACTTGGTGAGAGTAGAATGGGGCAACTGCATGTTCCTTTATGGTTGAGTGCGAACAGGGCACCTGCATGTTCCTCACAGGAGTTGAGTAGAACAGAACTATCGTTGTCAGTTATATGTCATGTATATACAGCCATGAACACCTTCAGGTTAATCATGTTCTCAGATTCCCATCATGGCACATTACGGATATGGAATGTCTCCAAAAGTACCCCCATTGAAAATGTCCGCTTGAAGAAAAGCGGGTTCCATTCCCTACAAGTAATCTACAACCAGTCCACTGAAACAAGAGAAACAGTTTTTTCATCCCGAGAGAAGATTATATCATCAACCAGTCAGGCCGTGGCTCCGTCCAAGACCACCCAGTCCAACTTTGCCCTCCCCCCAGCCAGACTGGTCTGTACATTCAGGGATGGGGGGATCGGCTTGTACGACCTGGGCAAGCGGAAGTGGAACTTCTTGAAGGATCAGGTACATGGATAACAGGTTTTAACATGTTTACCAGCACAAGATTCAAATCACGCAAAGCAAAATAATGATTGAAATATATGTAGGACTCACATCTATGTGGTGGGGTGTAGTCCTCTGCACAGTGCTCAGGTCACAAATGGGTAGCCTAATGGTCAAAGCGTTCGCTCGTCACGCCAAAGACCCGGGTTCGATTCCCGACATGGGTACAATGTGTGAAGCCCATTTCTGGTGTCCCCCGCCGTGATATTGCTGGAATATTGCTAAAAGCGGCGTAAAACCATACTCACTCACTCACTCACTCAGGTCACAAATCAGGTGAATTTATGCAATGTCAGTCGTTGAGAATTACAGGGATGTGAAATCTCCGCAGAAACGCGGAAACTCACGTTTTTTAAAACAGTAGTCCTTGGAAAAAATTACCTTCCACGTAAAATATAATCAAAGGTTTGAAGAAAAAAACACTCCAAAAAAATGATCAAAAACCGACAACCGTCCTGTTTACGATCAGGAATTTCAGCAGCATAGGTTTTCGGACATCATACGTTTTCTAATCAATTAGTTGCATGGGTGACCATGTTCGTCAGCTTGACTCTTGGGAGTTTCTAGGGCTTCAGTGCTGCCCGACACGTAAGCACAGGTGGTGTCTCCTTAGGCAAGTGACTTTGTTCGAAATATGCCTCTGTTCACCCACCAATAAATTGGGTACCCGGCAAGATGATATAGTATTGTGACTGTAAACCTTCTAGTGCCTGGCAAGTCACTTGGGTTGTATACACCCCAGGGAGCTGAGAATGAAGATTGAGTGCACATTGACCAGGGTAATAATGTTAGTGCTTTGAGCATGCACCTTCTGTATGGAGCCTAGCGCAATATAAATACACATATTATTTCTCTATGTTCTAATGAATGCATATATTAGTTTATAAATAGATCCACCATGAAGATCCTCGTTAGAACTGTTTTCAGTGACCCATGCTTGTCATAAAGGCGGCAACAGGATTGGGTGGTCAGGTTCGCTAAAATGATTGATGCATGTCATCGATACAATCAGTGGATTGTCTGGTCCAGACTTGATTATTTACAGACCGCCGTCATTTAGCTGGAACATTGCTGAATGTGGTGTCAGACAACAAACAATAATAAATATATATTTTGTGCCTTGTCCATGCACGAAAGCATGCTCATGGCGCTATACAATTGCTACCTCAATGGATGTGAAGTCAAATTCTCAGCTCCAGGGGCTCTCAAAGACCCCTAGCATGTATTAACGAAAACAATCACCCCCCATTTCATTGTCCTCCCCTTCTCAGTTCTAGTTGAGGGGCGGTCGGGTAGCCTAGTGCTTAAAGCGTTCGCTCATCACGCTGAAGACCCGGGTTCAATTGCCCACATGGGTACAATGTGTGAAGCAATTTCTGGTGTCCCCGACTCTGATATTGCTGGAATATTGCTAAAAGCGGCGTAAAACCATACTCACTCACTCACTCACTCACTCACTCACTCACTCACTCACTCACTCACTCACTCACTCACTCACTCACTCACTCACTCACTCACTCACTCACTCACTCACTCACTCACTCACTTACTTGAAATTAAGAGACTTAATATTTGTGGATTCTGGTCAGAAAATTCTTTTTTACAGCTTTATTTGGCACAAGAAGGCTTGCATTCACATAATCTCATCCTGCCGTGTCCCCAATCAATGCTGGATGACCAATTGAAGCCAATTTGATTATATAAGTGCTTATTTATTCCAGGGACATATGGAGACCATTTTTGACTGCAAGTTTAAGCCAGATAATCCTGATATGTTGGCCACCGCAAGTTTTGACGGAACGATCAAAGTGTGGGACATCAATGCAATGGAAGCTGTGAGTAGGCAGTGGAGACGATGTGCACTCAGGCTCCTTGTTCAACTTAGTATCAAAACTGTTTACGATTGTACTAGGTCACTAGCATTTGTTGTGTGTCAGTGAAAGAATGTTGTTTTAGGCCGCAGTAATCCACAATGATCAATATGACAGCTTCTCTGTGATGATCCGGGGTAGAATAGGTCTTCAGCAACCCATAAAAGGCGACAATGCTTGTCGTAAGAGGCAACGAACGGGATCAGGTGGTCAGGCTTGCTGACTTGGTTGATGATGCACATCATCGTATCCCAATTGCGTGGATCGATGGTCATGATGTCAATCACTGGATTGTCTGGTCCAGACTCTATTATTTACAGACCGCCGTCATATAGCTGGAAAATTGCTTAGTGCGGCGTTAAACAACAAACAAACAAACAAACAATATGTCAGCTGTATCACGGCAGCCTGTTATTCTAGTGTGGGACAGATACACAAGTGGCAGACAACATTAGCAATAGGGCTGGGATGGGTAACTCGGGTACTCTGGACCCGGGTACCCACAGGACTACCCGGACCCGTGGTTAGTCACATGATATAGTTTTATTTGATCTAGATCTCTATGGTTACTCAACAATTCACTAATGTTTGCATTTCTTTTTGACTATGCGCCCAAGCCTTCTGACTTTCATATGTTTGAATAAAGATTAAACTTCAGTCAACTTCAGTGTATGCATGACCAGATCGTTTTATACGTGTATCTAAATACATTTTGGCAGGGCCTACCGTCAAATAATTCTCAAATGGACCATTTTGTACCTGTCTCTTGAGACCTTCAGCGGGTATCCGGGTCAGGTCGGGTCAGGTCGCGTTATTGGGGTGTGGGTACCCAGGTAGTAAATTTGGACCCGTCCCACACTAATTAGCAATGATCCATGTTGTCTGGTTACAGTGACACACACATCAACCAAGGTCGTGCATTCTAAAAAAGCCTGTTGACTTAAAATAGTCACAGAAACAGGAGCTGACAAATATTGGTATTAGAGGTTGCCAGTGGCAGATTCCCAAGAGGAGCATGTTGTCTTTTGTGACCCATCTTCTATCATCTAGTGCATTGCCGACAGGGCTTGATTGAAGGAACTTGATTTAACTTGCACCAGGTGCATGCTGACATGAAAATCTAGTAGCACCAGTTAAAATCAGATGTCACTCTGGTCTCATAAATTTGTTTAGGTGCCCATTGTATGATGACTTCAAGCCCCCAAAAGTATGACAAATTAAACATGACACCAGGATAAGTGATGTAGTATTGTACATAAAGCTTAGAGGTATTGAATATGTTCAAAGATAGATGTAGCGTGGATGTGTATGGGTTAGACACAAATTTGGATGATGATGATGATGATGATGATGATGATGATGATGATGACAAGCTCTTGGAGCATGTAGACAAAAATATTTTGTTGCTTTTTTCCATATTATGTTGCACTGGTGCATGTTTTATATCGCTAAATCAAGCCCTGACTGGTATATCTCCATTCTATTATAAGTATCCTGCACTGATTATAATGTCCTTGATAATTGAGGATGCTCATTGTGCCATTCTACCCCCTTGTCTAAAGTATAACTTGTCATCGTTGTTCCTGTACAGTGATTACAACAATTTATCATCCCTCTGAAAGGGGATTTGTTTCATTAGTAGATTCTTTGAGTAGTATCTACAATGATGCCATGAACATATTCATGTGTGCTCTGTTTGACAGAAGTGTTTGTCTGCCAGGTGTTCTCGTCAGTAGGTAATGAGGGTGTGATATATCATATATCATGGGCCCCCGGAAACCTGGACTGCATTGCAGCGTGTACTTCCAAAAACGGGGTGTTTATATGGGACATTCAGAAAAGCAAGATCATTAAGAGATTCAATGAGGTGAGTAATTGTTTGTATGTTGTTTAAAGCAACAACATTCCTGGTATGTGACTGTGTCCTGTAAGTAAGCCTGGAACAGACAATTCAGTGATTGCTAACATGCACAACGATTTATGCAGGGCTGAACAACAATCAGAAGTTATGTTATGTTGATCGAAGCTCCTTCCTCAGCCTATTCCAGAGCTGATAACTTATACTGAAAGATGTTTAATATTGACAAAATATTGCGAGTAAATATGACCCTTGCACTCACTCCTTACTTCCTAGGGAGAAACACAATCATTCAGTCTGTTTATAAATGCTTATGTCATATGACCAGTGTCTGTATGTCAGTCTGTTTATGCTTATGTCATATGACCAGTGTCTGTATGTCAGTCTGTTTATGCTGATGTCGTGTGACCTGTGTGTGTATGTCAGTCTGTTTATGTTGATGTCATATGACCTTGTGTGTGTATGTCAGTCTGTTTATGCTGATGTCATATGACCTGTGTCTGTATGTCAGTCTGTTTATGCTGATGTCCTATGACTTGTGTCCCTATATCAGTTTGTTCATGCTGATGTCATATGACCTGTGTCTGTATGTCAGTCTGTATATGCTTATGTCATGTGACCTGTGTCTGTATGTCAGTCTGTTTATGCTGATGTCATATGACCTGTGTCTGTATGTATGTCTGTTTATGCTGATGTCATATGACCTGTGTCTGTCTGTATGTATGTCTGTTTATGCTGATGTCATATGACATGTCTGTATGTCAGGCTGTTTATGCTGATGTCATATGACCTGTCTGTATGTCAGTCTGTTTATGCTGATGTCATATGACCTGTGTCTGTATGTCAGTCTGTTTATGCTGATGTCATATGACCAGTGTCTGTATGTCAGTCTGTTTATGCTGATGTCATATGACCTGTCTGTATGTCAGTCTGTTTATGCTGATGTCATATGACCTGTGTCTGTATGTCAGTCTGTTTATGTTGATGTCGTATGACCTGTGTTTGTACGTCAGTCTGTTTATGCTGATGTCATATGACCAGTGTCTGTATGTCAGTCTTATTATGCTGATGTCATATGACCTGTGTTTGTATGTCAATCTGTTTATGGTGATGTCGTATGACCTGCGTCTTTATGTCAATCTGTTTATGGTGATGTCATATGACCAGGTCTGTATGTCAGTCTGTTCATGCTAATGTCATATGACCTGTGTCTGTATGTCTGTCTGTTTATGCTGATGTCATATGACCTGTGTTTGTATGTCAGTCTGTTTATGCTTATATCATATGACCTGTGTCTGTATGTCTGTCTGTTTATGCTGATGTCATATGACCTGTGTTTGTATGTCAGTCTGTTTATGCTGATATCATATGACCTGTGTCTGTATGTCTGTCTGTTTATGCTGATATCATATGACCTGTGTTTGTATGTCAGTCTGTTTATGCTGATATCATATGACCTGTGTCTGTATGTCTGTCTGTTTATGCTGATGTCATATGACCTGTGTTTGTATGTCAGTCTGTTTATGCTGATATCATATGACCTGTGTCTGTATGTCTGTCTGTTTATGCTGATGTCATATGACCTGTGTTTGTATGTCAGTCTGTTTATGCTGATATCATATGACCTGTGTCTGTATGTCAGTCTGTTTATGCTGATGTTATATGACCTGTGTGTGTATGTCAACCTGTTTATGTGGATGTCATATGACGATGGGGTAGCCTTGTGATCAAAGCATTTGCTCGTCTCACCGAAGACGCCACATGGGTACAATGTGTGAAGCCCATTTCTGGTGTCCCCTGCCATGATACTGCTGGAGTATTGCTAAAAACGGCATAAATCCATACTCATTCACTCACGATTTGACACTGTGTTTGTATGATCTGTTTATGGTGATGTCATATGATTCTGTGTCTGTATGTCAAAGTAAAGATATAATACGCCTCTCTCAAGGAAGGTTTGTTTTGTTTATCCCTCTCCACAAATAAAGCCAGTGATGAATCTGCTGTACCTTGTGTTGCAGCATGGGAAGAGCAGCGTGTACTCTGTCAGCTGGAGCCAGAAGGACTCCAAGAGGATCATGTCCTGTGGCGCTGATGGATATTGGTAAGTTTTCTCTATACAATATCTTGTTGCATCAACAATCTTCAACATAAAGAGCAATGATAATGCTCTGTAGATACAATGCTGATCAGGGGTTCATACATCTTATTGCCTGAGGGGCAAGTAAATTTGAAGCAGGGCAAGCAAAATTTTCTGTCACTACTTGTTTGTGGGTTAGTGAGTCATTTGGAAGTTAACGGATCCACACTGTAGTCCACATTTATCCCTGTGAAGATCCGCGTTTACAAAACCCATGCTTGCCATAACAGGTGACTATGTTTGTGGTAAGAAGCAACTAAAGGGATCAGGTGATCAGGTTGATGCATGTCATCGAATCCCTATGGTCATGATGGTGTAGATCAATACTCACGATGTCAATGACTCGTTTATTTACAGACTGCTGTCATATAGCTGGAATATTGCTGAGTGCGGTGTTAAACAACAAACAAACAAAGTACACATTTTAGTCCTCTTTTTATGCTATATGGTTATAAAGATAGTTCAGTGTATATATCTGGATTGATGTTTTTAATCTAATTCATTGATTTTATTCAAAGTTGATCTGGTGGTCAGACTCAACGAAGGTGTCGATCCTTGCTCATAATATCAATGCCAGGATTGTCTGATCCAGACACGATCATATAGCTGGAATATTGCTGAGAGACCTTTAGATCAAGATTAGATATGAATACAATTGCATAGATATCAACCTGCAAGCAATGCGTGGAATAATAACCCAAGTGAACTGTTCTGGCTGTTGAGTGAGCAGAATGAAACGTCCCATAGTTGACCATGTCAACAAAACCGATAAATACATAAACAATGTCAGTTTAAAAGGTGTAACGTTAGTAGAGTCAGATGTTTTCATAGCACCGGTAAGACATTGTGACTATCCTCATCATCCATCTCTTGTTGTACCTGTGTCATCAGCATCGTGCGGCAGGTGGATGGACAGGTGGTGCAGAAGTACCGGCACCCCGGGGCCGTGTTTGGGGGAGACTGGAGCCCTAACAACAAGTACGTGTACACTCCCTAGGGAGCTGAGAATCCAATATGAATGCACACAGTGCCTGTAAAAATAAGTATTAGCATGCTTTGTGAAGATGGTGAGACTGGTGTTTTGTTGTTATTATTGAAGACTGGTGTTTTGTTGTTGTGGTAGTGAAGACTGGTGTTGTTTTTGTTGTTGTTTTTCCCCTATGTGTAATTAAAGCTATGTACCAGAGATATTCTAATGCAACACTAAGTTTTAGCTCAATAACTGCCAAGTTGACAATGCCTTTGAAATCTGATTTCCTGTGCTAGTCACTTTACTTTAGCTTTGTGGCTTTCTTCAAGCGCTTAAAGTGTACGCTTATGTCTAAATATTCTCCTAGTTTTCTTGTCAGCTAGTTATCAAGAGTATATAGGTAGTGACATGGTTCTCCTGTTCTAGAGACATCCTGGCCACGGGGTGTGAGGACAAGAATGTGAGAGTGTACTACCTGGCCACCAGCAGCGACCAGCCTCTCCGGGTCTTCACAGGTACACACACACTATACCCACACACTCATGTACTTCAGGTGGGTGGGGGGACAAGAATGTGAGAGTGTACTACCTGGCCAGCACCAGCGACCAGCCTCTCCGGGTCTTCACAGGTACACACACACACACTATACCCACACACTCATGTACTTCAGGTGGGTGGGGGTGGGGGGACAAGAATGTGAGAGTGTTCTACCTGGCCAGCACCAGCGACCAGCCTCTCCGGGTCTTCACAGGTACACACACACTATACCCACACACTCATGTACTTCAGGTGGGTGGGGGTGGGGGTGGGGGGACAAGAATGTGAGAGTGTTCTACCTGGCCACCAGCAGCGACCAGCCACTCCGGGTCTTCACAGTTACACACACACTATACCCACACACTCATGTACTTCAGGTGGGTGGGGGCGGGGGGACAAGAATGTGAGAGTGTACTACCTGGCCACCAGCAGCGACCAGCCTCTCCGGGTCTTCACAGGTACACATACACTATACCCACACACTCATGTACTTCAGGTGGGTGGGGGTGGGGGGACAAGAATGTGAGAGTGTTCTACCTGGCCAGCACCAGCGACCAGCCTCTCCGGGTCTTCACAGGTACACACACACTATACCCACACACTCATGTACTTCAGGTGGGTGGGGGTGGGGGTGGGGGGACAAGAATGTGAGAGTGTTCTACCTGGCCACCAGCAGCGACCAGCCACTCCGGGTCTTCACAGGTACACACACACTATACCCACACACTCATGTACTTCAGGTGGGTGGGGGCCGGGGGACAAGAATGTGAGAGTGTTCTACCTGGCCACCAGCAGCGACCAGCCTCTCCGGGTCTTCACAGTTACACACACACTATACCCACACACTCATGTACTTCAGGTGGGTGGGGGTGGGGGTTGGGGGACAAGAATGTGAGAGTGTACTACCTGGCCACCAGCAGCGACCAGCCTCTCCGGGTCTTCACAGGTACACACACACACACTATACCCACACACTCATGTACTTCAGGTGGGTGGGGGTGGGGGGACAAGAATGTGAGAGTGTACTACCTGGCCAGCACCAGCGACCAGCCTCTCCGGGTCTTCACAGGTACACACACACTATACCCACACACTCATGTACTTCAGGTGGGTGGGGGTGGGGGGACAAGAATGTGAGAGTGTACTACCTGGCCAGCACCAGCGACCAGCCTCTCCGGGTCTTCACAGGTACACACACACTATACCCACACACTCATGTACTTCAGGTGGGTGGGGGTGGGGGTGGGGGGACAAGAATGTGAGAGTGTTCTACCTGGCTACCAGCAGCGACCAGCCACTCCGGGTCTTCACAGGTACACACACACTATACCCACACACTCATGTACTTCAGGTGGGTGGGGGTCGGGGGACAAGAATGTGAGAGTGTACTACCTGGCCACCAGCAGCGACCAGCCTCTCCGGGTCTTCACAGGTACACACACACTATACCCACACACTCATGTGCATATAGCTCACACATGGTACATGCACGCACACAACATCTCGCTTATCGTAACTGAGACATGCATCACTAAGGTTATGCAACATGTTACTCACTTGAGGCAGCACACAAACATATGTTGGGCGGTGGGGTAGCCTAGAGGTTAAAGCATTTGCTCATCACGCCAAAGACCCGGGTTCAATTTCCACATAGGTACAATGTGTGAAGCCCATTTGTGGTGTGATATTGCTGGAATATTGCTAAAAGGACCATACTCACTCACTCACAAATATATGTAAATTATAAGTTACCTGAAACAACCTGGAATATGTTTGTGTTTAAAATATGGAGAGAGAAAAAGTTTGTTTAATCATCCTGACATTTTACTTTCTGCAGTCAAATGTATTTGCTGTGCATCTCTCCTGTCACAGGCCACACTGCTAAGGTGTTCCACGTCCGATGGTCGCCGCTCAGAGAGGGCATCCTATGCAGTGGATCTGATGATGGGTTGGTTTACTTCTGTTTGATAGAACCATCTCACTGTGTTTTGTGTGGCATCCCTTGACAGACATATATGGGGGTTATTGCTTTTAACCGGGGCGGTTGGGTAGCCTAGTGGTTAAAGCGTTCGATCGTCATGCCAAAGTCCCGGGTTCGATTCCCGACATGGGTACAATATGTGAAGCCCATTTCTGGTGTCCCCCGCCGTGATATTACTGGAATATTGCTAAAAGCTCACTCACTCATTAATTTTCTAAACTGTAAACATACACATATGATAATTCAATATTGCTTTTTGGAAGAGACTGACTGTTTATAACTGGTATTGGTAAAATACAAATATATCTTCTTAGTATACATACCAATACACATCATCATATCAGGATGATTTGCAGCCCTGTCTAACTGGACTGCTTTAGGGTTTTTTTTTAATTTGACCACCAGAGGCGGGGATTTTTCTAAGGCCAATTTCATAAATGTTATTGACCAGCAGGACATGATTTACTAAAAGTTTTTAACAAAATATCTTTGTGTCAGTACGATACGAGTGTGGGACTACACACAGGAGCAGTGTATCAACGTTCTAACGGGGCACACAAGCCCTATCCGAGGTCTGCTGTGGAACACGGAGATACCGTACATGTTGATCTCCGGCAGTTGGGACTACTCTATACGTATCTGGGACACCCGAGACGGAGCCTGTATAGACACAGTGTTGGACCACGGAGCTGACGTGTATGGTGAGTGAGTGAGTGAATGTTGTTTAAACTATCTGGGACACCCGAGACGGAGCCTGTATAGACACAGTGTTGGACCATGGAGCTGACGTGTATGGTGAGTGAGTGAGTGAATGTTGATTACCTATCTTGGACACCTGAGAAAGAGCCTATAAAGACACAGTGTTGGACCACGGAGCTGACGTGTATGGTGAGTGAGTGAGTGAATGTTGTTTAAACTATCTGGGACACCCGAGACGGAGCCTGTATAGACACAGTGTTGGACCATGGAGCTGACGTGTATGGTGAGTGAGTGAGTGAATGTTGTTTAACTATCTGGGACACCCGAGACGGAGCCTGTATAGACACAGTGTTGGACCATGGAGCTGACGTGTATGGTGAGTGAGTGAGTGAATGTTGTTTAACTATCTGGGACACCCGAGACGGAGCCTGTATAGACACAGTGTTGGACCACGGAGCTGACGTGTATGGTGAGTGAGTGAGTGAATGTTGTTTACCTATCTTGGACACCTGAGAAAGAGCCTATAAAGACACAGTGTTGGACCATGGCGCTGACGTGTAGGGTGCGTGAGTGAGTGAATGTTGTTTCAACAATATTCCAGCTATATGACGGTGTGTGTGAGTGAGTGAGTGAGTGAGTGAATGAATATTGTTTAACTATCTGGGTCACCTGAGGTGGGGCCTGTATAGGCTCGAAATGCATGTTCTTATCCTCCAGATATATGGGTTGACTTATAAGTCCTATGTGTTCACAGGTCTGACCTGTCATCCAAAGAGGCCGTTCTTGCTGGCTTCCTGTTCCAGGGATTCCACAGTGAGGCTCTGGTCCTTGACCTCCCTCATTCAGCCAATAGAATTACACATTCTAGCAGGGAAGCCAATCAGCGATGTTGTTGGTATTTCAGGTAAAATGGACTTGTAATCGTTGCAGCACTTACATTAATAAAGGCACATCAAGCAAGATAAATCTTCAAGAATGCATTCTCTTATCTCCCTTTGCTTTTTTTAGGGATAATTAAAATGGGATGAGTTTTTTAGGATAATTGAAATGGGATGATGCTAGCAATGTTTCCATTGTATTACGCAAATGACAAGAAGGACCTGTGAAGATCCGGGGTAGAATAGGTCTTCAGCAACCCAGGCTTGTCGTAAAAGGCGACTAACGGGATCGGGTGGTCAGACTCGCTGACTTGGTTGATGCATGTCATCGATCCCAATTGCATGGATCGATGCTCATGATATCATTCACTGGATTTTCTGGTCCAGACTCGATTATTTACAGACCGCCATCATATAGCTGGAATATTGCTGAGTGCAGCGTTAAACAACAAACCAACCAACCAACAAGAAGTGATTTTCTGTTTTATGCTGGCATGTGTTACAGACTCTGCCATGTCCCTGGGCACGTCCCCCATGTTGGCTGGGAAGGAATCTAAGGACCTGAAGCAGCACATAGAAAACATGCCAGGGAAGGCTCTGGCCAATCAGATCAAGTTCTTCTCCAAATTTTTTGCTGTGAGTTCAAGACATATTCAGAAATGTGCTAACATCCATGGTTACATTTAAATTGCAAGAAATTATTTTGAGGAACAGAATCAACCCTGAATCCTCCAAACACAGGGTTTATTCTAGTTGTTAACAAGTTGCCCATCAATGACAATTATAGATGGGGGGGAAGGGTGCTCAAGGAAACACAGAAAAAATCATTTTCTTGTAACAAAGTCAGTCCGAGATGAGGCTTGCTTGGCGACTATGCTTGTCGTAAAAGGCGACTATGCTTGTCGTAAAAGGCGACTAACGGGATCGGGTGGTCAGACTCGCTGACTTGGTTGATGCATGTCATCTATCCCAATTGGCTAGATCGATGCTGATGATATCAATCACTGGATTGTCTGGTCCAGACTTGATTATTTGCAGACCGCCGTCATATAGCTGGAATATTGCTGAGTGCGGCGTTAAACAACAAACAAACAAACAGTACCTCATCCCTAGTGCACTAATCTGTGAGGTTAAAGAAGGTGTCAGGCAATAGAATAGAGCTTGCTTCGTCCCCTGTCACATGTCGGGGATATTTCTTGCACCGTGCTCTCAAATGAACTCTGCAAGCAGTTGTTCGTAAGCAAAATGTTTCTTGTCTGTGTGGAAGAAACTAGATATTACAGTCAACAAAATATACACATGATTTTGAGAATTTCATTTAATCTTTGAAATAGCATTGTAATCAATTTTTAAGAAGATTAATCTCCTTCATGGCAAATTGTTTAATTGCAAAAGAGAAATGTGAAAATTTTGGGTGACAGAAAATGAGCGGACAACTGTTTGCTGTTGTATATATTAGGCAATTGAGGAAGGAACATAGATGAGATGTATAATAATGGTGACATAGAGTAAGAGAAAGAAATGTCCTCTTGAGCAAATCCACCATTGATCTTGTGTGGATGGTGTTTCAGCAACCGACCGGTACCAACAACCTGTGGGAGTTGGTGTCCGTGGTGATGGGGGCAGACAGCTCACTGCTGTCTCCGGAGTACAAGACAGGCATCTTGCATAGCAAACATGTCACCATGTATAGAGCAGTGAGTTGAGACAGGCGCCATGCATAGCAACATGTCACCATGTACAGAGCAGTGAGTTGAGACAGGTGTCATGCATAGCAAACATGTCACCATGTACAGAGCAGTGAGTTGAGACAGGTGTCATGCATAGCAACATGTCACCATGTACAGAGCAGTGAGTTGAGACAGGCGTCATGCATAGCAACATGTCACCATGTATAGAGCGGTGAGTTGAGACAGGCGCCATGCATAGCAACATGTCACCATGAACAGAGCGGTGAGTTGAGACAGGCGTCATACATAGCAACATGTCACCATGAACAGAGCGGTGAGTTGAGACAGGCATCTTGCATAGCAACATGTCACCATGTACAGAGCAGTGAGTTGAGACAGGCGTCATGCATAGCAACATGTCACCATGTACAGAGCGGTGAGTTGATACAGGCATCATGCATAGCAACATGTCACCATGTACAGAGCAGTGAGTTGAGACAGGTGTCATGCATAGCAACATGTCACCATGTACAGAGAGGTGAGTTGAGACAGGTGTCATGCATAGCAACATGTCACCATGTATAGAGCGGTGAGTTGAGACAGGTGTCATGCATAGCAACATGTCACCATGTATAGAGCGGTGAGTTGAGACAGGTGTCATGCATAGCAACATGTCACCATGTATAGAGCGGTGAGTTGAGACAGGTGTCATGCATAGTAACATGTCACCATGTACAGAGCGGTGAGTTGAGACAGGTGTCATGCATAGCAACATGTCACCATGTATAGAGCGGTGAGTTGAGACAGGTGTCATGCATAGCAACATGTCACCATGTACAGAGCGGTGAGTTGAGACAGGCGTCATGCATAGCAACATGTCGCCATGTACAGAGCGGTGAGTTGATACAGGCATCATGCATAGCAACATGTCACCATGTACAGAGCGGTGAGTTGAGACAGGTGTCATGCATAGCAACATGTCACCATGTATAGAGCGGTGAGTTGAGACAGGTGTCATGCATAGCAACATGTCACCATGAACAGAGCGGTGAGTTGAGACAGGTGTCATGCATAGCAACATGTCACCATGTACAGAGCAGTGAGTTGAGACAGGTGTCATGCATAGCAACATGTCACCATGTACAGAGCGGTGAGTTGATACAGGCATCATGCATAGCAACATGTCACCATGTACAGAGCGGTGAGTTGATACAGGCGTCATGCATAGCAACATGTCACCATGTACAGAGAGGTGAGTTGAGACAGGTGTCATGCATAGCAACATGTCATCATGAACAGAGCGGTGAGTTGAGACAGGTGTCATGCATAGCAACATGTCATCATGAACAGAGAAGTGAGTTGGAACCATCAGGAAATGGTCCACGATGTTTGAATATGCATAGATGCCTGGACAGAATGTTTGCGAAGATATGCATTTCTTAGTCCTCAATTCATCGATATTTTTTTTAAATTATTGTTGTCAAAAAGCATGTTCCACCATTGAATTTCTGCTTGTCCTCAGCACAATTTGGTAGTCTTGGGCTCTTGGACTAGCATGAATTTCAAAGGCTTCTAAGCTACCAGGATCAGTTGTCTTTGGTTCATTGCCAAATCACAATTGTGATCCTTGGCCTGTCAGGATCACCATGCCTATGGAACTCTTTCTCAGTCTTCATCACTTTCCTTTGACTCTGAACTGACTTGCCAAGTTATGAATGAAACAATGCTGTAAGCATGGTAGTGTGAAGCCAGGATATTGCTGAAATATTGCTACACGTGACAGAAAACCTAAATCACTCACTCACTTTAAGCATGGTAACTCAAACTGACTCTGTCCCCATTCTCGTGCCAGTCTGAAGCCCAGGAGCTGGAGATGGTGAAGATGTCCCGGCACGGCAGCGGTATCGGGGCCCCCAGCAAGGAGGAGTCGCTGCGGGAGGCAGCGGCCACCCACATCAAGCTGGGCAACATACAGCGCTACTGTGAAGTCATGGTGGAGGTGGGCGAGGTACGAACACGTTGACATGCAGAAAAACATAAAAGAGGAAATCAGGATAGAAATTCTTCATCAAGTGGACTTAACAGGCAGATAATTTGTTCTTTGGAATTTGTATGGGCCGGGGGATTTGTCATCGACTGATGTCTCTTGTTTAAATGGGTTCTTTCCTGTTATTCCCATTGGCTTCCATGTTGTTATCTATTGTTATCTTTGTACATTAATCCTGCCCTTTGTAAACATATCAGCATGTATATTATATTAATTTTATCTTATCCTGACTCATACTTATACTCATGTGTATCAGTCAGGATAAGTATAAATGATATTTTTACTCTCAAAAATACATTATTATATTATATTTATAAACTCAATACGCTTACTCGGTATTCACCTGTTTAAAGGGCAAGAGGTCACTCTAAAACTTTATTACAACGAAAAAATAAGTTATCTATAGAAAGTTTCATGTCTTCAGATTTGTATCTGTTGCAAGAAGTGCCTGGGTCTAGTGTGTGTATATCTCTGCTACATTGGTTGTTCCAGTGGCACAAGGCTCTCATTGTGGCTCCCGGTGTCTCCATGAAGTACTGGAAATCTCTGGCAGAAAGGTGAGATGCAGTCTGTCTCTGATAACTTGGCTGACACCCGTCAGATTCCGGGTTAGAATAGGTCCCCAGCAACCTATAGTGGTTGTAAAAGGCGACCAAATAGATTCAGTGGTCAGGCTCAGTGACTTGGTTGATTGTGTGTCATCCTACCCTGACGGCATGGATCGTTGCTCCCAATATCGATCACTGGATTGTCTGGTTCAGACTTGAATATTTATAGGCCACAAGTTGAGTGTGGCTTAAACATGTTAAACAACAAAGAAACAAAAATTGCCAAATCACAAAAGACCCGTGAAGATCCGGGGTAGAATAGGTCTTCAAGCAACCCATGCTTGCCATTAAAGGTGACTATGTTTGTCGTAAGAGGCAATTAGAGGATCAGGGCCCACTTGCACAAAGCGATCTTAGCGCTAAGACGATCGTAACTCCCATACTTTAACATAGGCTTACAATAGTCTTAGCGCTTAGATCGCTTTGTGCAAGTGGGCCCAGGTGGTCAGGCTCGCTGACTTGGTTGATGCATGTCATCGATCCCCATTGCGCGGATCGATGTTCATGATGTCAATCACTGGAATGTCTGGTCCAGACTCGATTATTTACAGACTGCCGCCATATAGCTGGAAAATTGCTGAGTGCGGCGTTAAACAACAAACAAACAAACAAATCACAAAATGTAACCATCTTTGATGTCCAAAAAACTGCATCCATGCTTTCTAATTTTCATCCATGATTCTTTCAAGATATGCACGGTCCCTGATGATTGAAGAAAAGGATGACGCAATCCCATTGCTGGTATCCACATGTAACAGTGAAGGCCTTGTAGACTACCTGTCTTCTAGAGGTCAGATGACTGATGCATTGCTGACTGCCCAGGCGGCGTGCGAGGGTTCCTACCCACAGTGTGTCGGGACGTCAGCGGCGCAAGGCTCAGCTGTCAATGGCTGTGACTCCCCCTCTGAGGAGCAGCTCAGGTAGGAGGAGATGAGACCCGTAGTAAGGCTCAGACATAGTCTAATTATGATCAATACATCCTATCTGCCGCCAGGAATCCGAGAATGGCCAACTTGAAAAAGACACTCAAGACCTGTCTCTTCAAGCAAACCTTTGACTTAATCAATACTACTGTAAGCACATTTGAGCAGTTGTTAATTTGAAATTTTAATTTTAATTTCAATTTCAATTTCAATTTTAATTTTAATTCTCAAGAATTTCTCCAGTACCCATGCTTGTTACATTGGAGCCAACGAAGAGTTGAATCATGCTGAGATATCAGGAACATTGTTTATAAATATATTTCAAAATTTTGACAGCTTGTAAGGAAGCGCAAATGATTCACTAAAAGAAATGAATCTGAGTGATGTTGATGAATGCATGTGTGAACACTGTATGTTCCAGTCTGGTCCAGCGTGCTACCACCCAGATCGCCGAGTGGTACTTTAACAACGGTCTTCCAATCCTGGCAGCCTGCTGTCATCTGGCTGTAGACGACTGCCAGGTAATGTCACATCACAACCACCTACTATGGTACTTCTTGTTTCCCTGGAGGGCACGGGGGGCCCAGTCGTCTAAGGCGCAGCGATTCGCTGCGCACAGTTGCGTCCCTTGGGCACGCCAGAAACCTATGATTGTGGGTTCGAATCCCGGTTCGCCCCGAGTATGTTTCTAGGTTTGTCAGCACCATGGGTTTCACCGAAGTGGTAAACGTCTGAGACCTGCATCACTTCAGGCTTTCCTCCCACATTAAGCTGACACGCAGTGATATAACTGGAATACTGTTAAAAGCGGCGTAAAACCCAATCCACTCACTCACTCTTGTTTCCCTGTTACCTTCTTGTGCTTGGCAGAGCCCGATTTGGCTATATAAAACATGCACCAGTGCAACCCAGAGCATGTAAAAAAAATTCATAGTTTGTGTCTGACTAACCCTTACCAAACATGGAATAGATCTTTGAATACAGTCGATACCTCTGTTTTCCATACTACATCACTAATCCCTGTGTAATTTGTCATACTTTCTTGGGCTAGATGTCATCAAATTGTGGGTACTTAAAGATTATGTGCACATGATCCCATAATGTTTTACAGCAATACATCATTAACGTATGTGACACTGGAAGAAGACCGGTCTATGTTTCAACTTTGATAAATTTATAAGACCAGGTCAGCAGAGTGCAACCTGGTTTTGTTTGGTGCAACTTGGTTTTCATGGCAACATGCATCTGGTGCAAGTTAAATCAGGTTCCTTAAATTGTGCCCTGGCTTGGCATTAAGGGGATAAAACAGTGTCTGAGTGGAGTATTCATGTTAAACTGTGGTATGGTATTTCAGTGGGCTAGCACTATAAAATCACAATACAAGCAGCCACCCCCACACACTTACACACACACATTCACACACTTGCAATAATCTTGAACACAACGTTTAACCCCATTTCACCTCACCACACCTTGTTTGTAATTTTCTCATATGCCATGTTTCAGAGTGCCATGTCAAAACTTATCCAAGGCAACGAACTAGAGCTTGCAGTCGGGGTAGGCACAGTCCTCCGTTCAACACCACAGCACCTCTCCATAGCAACAGAGCTGCTCTCACGTCGATGTGAGGCGCTCGGAAAATGGTAGGTAATTTTGGGTAGGAATCAATTGTGTTATGTTTGATCTCTTGAAAAGTTGACCTGAAAAATAGTTGATCGGGAGTAAAGCCCGCAGTGATGCACGTCTCAGACTTTTACCGCTTTGGAGAAACCCTCAAATGGGTATGGTGCTGACAAACCTGGAAACATACTCAGGCAAACTGGGATTTGAAACCGCAATTATAAGTTTCTGGCATGTCCAAAGAATGCTACTCAAAATTACTAGTGCCTCCGTGCCCAGACTTCATGCATAAATTATAAAATGGCACAATTGAATTTTATATATACAGTACCTCTTGGGCATGGTCATTTTCATTAAGGTACTAACGTTACTTTTTCTTTTTCATTTCTTTGTGAAATGAAAGAGTTTTCCCTGATAGCCTGGTTGTATGATCCACTATCGCAATAAATCCAATCAGCATTATTTGGTGATTTCCGCTGACTGTATCCTACAGACATTTTCTGAGGTGTTCAAGATTGCATGAACTACATTTGAATGTAATCGCTTCTTTCCGTATTTTGACAGAATATCGCAAATATTATGTAGATCGTGCTTTTCAAACAGAAGTGTTTATTCATGTTGTGGAGAACCTAGCAGACGATCGCTGTTTGTCAAAATAGAAGTCTAAAGAGAAAATTCCACTTTTTTTTTACCCTCCAGTTGTGGAGAGTCTGTATTTTAAATGAAGCCTTGAACTTTTCCACACAAGGGAACTTGCTGTGGAACTGTTGAAGACACTTCCAGACAGTGACCTGCTGTTGGCCAAGCTGTGTGCTCGCTGTGCAGCCAGCATGGATGAGATCAACTTCCTCCACAAAGCTGTGAGTTAACTGGACTGCAGCAGTTTGACATTATCACTGTGGAATACTGTCTTCATTAAGACCACTCTTGGCTGCTCTTCTCTGCAGAGCCACAGTGTAGATCAGATCATTTCATTTCTTGTTTTTAGAAACGAATATGAACTAAATTTAGAAAAAGTCAAAGAATTGTGTTTGAAATACCTTTTTTTAATTAGCTGAACAGAAAGATTCCAGTAATTGTGCCTCTAAGAACTGTTCACAGAAATCAGATCCAATTTTACCCATGGATGCCAAAGCAGCCATGTTGGAATCTCAACTTTGCCCTAAACCCATCAATAGTATGTTACATATCTATGGGGTCATACAGACAACACATGCGCTCCTCTTCTGCAGGCTGGCTTCCCCTCGATGGACGGCTGCCTAGGGGAGGCCGAGAAGTTGAGAACCAAGGTGGACATCTTCAACTGTATCAAGTACTTTCTCATGTCCACCACACCAGAAGTTGGACTAGATGTCGGCCTGGGCCATGTCAGAAGTAAGTACTATCTACCACACCAGAAGTTGGACTAGATGTCGGCCTGGGCCATGTCAGAAGTAAGTACTATCTACCACACCAGAAGTTGGACTAGATGTCGGTCTGGGGCATGTCAGAAGTAAGTACTATCTACCACACCAGAAGTTGGACTAGATGTCGGTCTGGGGCATGTCAGAAGTAAGTACTATCTACCACACCAGAAGTTGGACTAGATGTCGGTCTGGGGCATGTCAGAAGTAAGTACTATCTACCACACCAGAAGTTGGACTAGATGTCGGCCTGGGCCATGTCAGAAGTAAGTACTATCTACCACACCAGAAGTTGGACTAGATGTCGGTCTGGGGCATGTCAGAAGTAAGTACTATCTACCACACCAGAAGTTGGACTAGATGTCGGTCTGGGGCATGTCAGAAGTAAGTACTATCTACCACACCAGAAGTTGGACTAGATGTCGGCCTGGGCCATGTCAGAAGTAAGTACTATCTACCACACCAGAAGTTGGACTAGATGTCGGTCTGGGGCATGTCAGAAGTAAGTACTATCTACCACACCAGACGTTGGACTGGATGTCGGTCTGGGGCATGTCAGAAGTAAGTACTATCTACCACACCAGAAGTTGGACTAGATGTCGGCCTGGGCCATGTCAGAAGTAAGTACTATCTACCACACCAGAAGTTGGACTAGATGTCGGTCTGGGGCATGTCAGAAGTAAGTACTATCTACCACACCAGACGTTGGACTGGATGTCGGTCTGGGCCATGTCAGAAGTAAGTACTATCTACCACACCAGAAGTTGGACTAGATGTCGGCCTGGGCCATGTCAGAAGTAAGTACTATCTACCACACCAGAAGTTGGACTAGATGTCGGTCTGGGGCATGTCAGAAGTAAGTACTATCTACCACACCAGACGTTGGACTGGATGTCGGTCTGGGGCATGTCAGAAGTAAGTACTATCTACCACACCAGAAGTTGGACTAGATGTCGGCCTGGGCCATGTCAGAAGTAAGTACTATCTACCACACCAGAAGTTGGACTAGATGTCGGTCTGGGGCATGTCAGAAGTAAGTACTATCTACCACACCAGACGTTGGACTGGATGTCGGTCTGGGCCATGTCAGAAGTAAGTACTATCTACCACACCAGAAGTTGGACTAGATGTCGGCCTGGGCCATGTCAGAAGTAAGTACTATCTACCACACCAGAAGTTGGACTAGATGTCGGCCTGGGCCATGTCAGAAGTAAGTACTATCTACCACACCAGACGTTGGACTGGATGTCGGTCTGGGCCATGTCAGAAGTAAGTACTATCTACCACACCAGAAGTTGGACTGGATGTCGGCCTGGGCCATGTCAGAAGTAAGTACTATCTACCACACCAGACGTTGGACTGGATGTCGGCCTGGGCCATGTCAGAAGTAAGTACTATCTACCACACCAGACGTTGGACTGGATGTCGGTCTGGGCCATGTCAGAAGTAAGTACTATCTACCACACCAGAAGTTGGACTGGATGTCGGTCTGGGGCATGTCAGAAGTAAGTACTATCTACCACACCAGAAGTTGGACTGGATGTCGGTCTGGGCCATGTCAGAAGTAAGTACTATCTACCACACCAGAAGTTGGACTAGATGTCGGTCTGGGGCATGTCAGAAGTAAGTACTATCTACCACACCAGAAGTTGGACTAGATGTCGGTCTGGGGCATGTCAGAAGTAAGTACTATCTACCACACCAGAAGTTGGACTAGATGTCGGCCTGGGCCATGTCAGAAGTAAGTACTATCTACCACACCAGAAGTTGGACTAGATGTCGGCCTGGGCCATGTCAGAAGTAAGTACTATCTACCACACCAGAAGTTGGACTAGATGTCGGCCTGGGGCATGTCAGAAGTAAGTACTATCTACCACACCAGAAGTTGGACTGGATGTCGGCCTGGGGCATGTCAGAAGTAAGTACTATCTACCACACCAGAAGTTGGACTAGATGTCGGCCTGGGGCATGTCAGAAGTAAGTACTATCTACCACACCAGAAGTTGGACTAGATGTCGGTCTGGGCCATGTCAGAAGTAAGTACTATCTACCACACCAGAAGTTGGACTGGATGTCGGTCTGGGACATGTCAGAAGTAAGTACTATGTAGTTATAGGCTGTATGGGGGAGGGCAGGTTGAGGCCAATGCCTACAGTACATGTAGTATGGGGAAGATAGGTTCTGGATAATGGTGTGCCCATCTATTGCAGGTTGTATGGGGAAGCCAGACTGGACAGCCGGTGACCTGTTTGACCTCCTGCAACTGCTGGGATGTATGAAGACTGACAAGCTGCAGCAGCAGAAGTGTGAAAAGTAGGTCCTAGCTCACAGAGCAAACATAACAGTTTGTGCAGAACTAAACATCAGTAATGAGTGTGGATTGAATGACAATATGTAGTTAACATGGTATAACTTGGATCAGTTACTTCCTTCATTGGGCTGCTTTTTCCATACAAAAAATAAAGTGATTCCTCTAAAGGGGCTCATTTATACCTATGATTTGTCAAGCATATCATTGACCTTTGTTTCAGAAAGCGACTTGAACTACTGGTGTACAGTGCTTACATTGGTGGGCTGGTGGCCATGAGGAGGGAGTACAGCCCTATTGTACCAGCTCTCTTCTCCCATGCTATGTGAGTAGACCTCCCACAGGAACGGGGAGCAGTTTGCTTGGCGGAGTTGTGTACCTTATCTGTGTCAGGATCTGCTGGTTGTTGGTTCGGAAGATTCTCTGAATAGTGATCAATGGTCTGTCAGCACCATACCATTGGGTGCCGTGAAATAACTGAAATGATCTTCTTAGTGGTGGTGAACCCCACTCGCACGCTCACTCACTCATTCACTCATCCACACTCTTTCACTCACACACTCATCCACCAACCCATTCACTCACTGTCTGGGGTGGTCCGGGTTCAAAGAAGACCTGGGTTTGATTTCCAACATAGGTACAATGTTTGAAGCACATTTCAAGCTCCCCACCCCCCATGATACTGCTGGAATATTGTTGCTATAAGCGGCGTAAAATCTCTCACTCATTCACTCTCACTCACTCACTCACTCACATGAATGGCCGATGCAGACAAAGAGATTTTGTCATAATGTCTCAGTCTTTTTCCAATGATATTTGTCCATTTCCATTTTAGGTCACATAGAATATGCAACAATTTATAATGTTTATGTTAGCTTGGATTAAAGAGAGGAATTTCTTGCACAGCGATCTGATGTCGAAGGAAAGGTTGGACCTCCCCTTTACAGAGGCTGACTTGACCTCCACACTGCAGATATGGAGAGATGCTGGGTGTGTCACTGGACATACTGACCACAGGTAGACTAAGAGGGCTTGTGTTGTTTATTTTCTGTGATCCAGGTTTGCTCTGATCCTGATTCTAGTTGTATCAGCACCATACAGCACAGTACATGCCTGAGACCAACAACATTCAGGCTTTCCTCCCACACCAAGCAGAGATGCCAACCATTTACTTTTGGCGAAATAATTACGCTTTTGAAACTAAAACGTCGCTATTATGCTTATCCTCCCCAAATTTTGGGCATGCCAGAAACTGGTTGTGGGTTCGATTTCCGGTCCACCCCAATTATGTTTCTAGGTTTGTTGGCACCATACCCGTGCTCATGGATTTCACCGAAGAGGTAAACGTCTAAGACCTACATCACTTCGGGCTTTCATCCTACATTAAGCTGACACGCTGTGATATAACTGGAATACTGTTAAAAGCGGCATTAAACCGTTAAAACCGAACTCATTCACACTAGCGAACTTATCAAAATTTACATATGGATTAAAACCTGGCATGCCAGTTTTTGATGATGTCACTAACAACAGCTGTTTTATGACTCTACTTCTTGGTACTTCCCAGACATACAAAATTATACAATCTTGGCATAAAAATGCATTTGAATTATTGTGGCACTGCTCTTGGTTGTATTTGTGCTTACAGTTCAGGGCTCGTGGTAGCCATATAAAACATGCCCCAGTGCAACCTATTATTGAAAAATGCTAGCTGATATTTATGTGTACATGTGTGCATGTAAAAATCATGTTTATGTCCAACCCTTACTTGGCCACACAACATCGTTCTTTAAACTCATTCAATACTTCCAATATATATTTACCACTGTGTTATATATAAAGCTAAAAATAATAATAGTCTTGGTTCTCAGGCACCGCCCACATCATCATAAAGTCTGCCGCACGTTTCGTTTTTATTTCCATTTTTAAAAGAATTTAAGAAATCCTAATACTTTATAACAATGCGATCCAATTAGCATGCATTTACTTCCCTTTACATGCGCACTGCTTTACTGCACATCTCGTGTTATGGTCATGGTGGCAGTAGGAGTTTGTATGCTTGTTTATGTAGGAAAGCCCTTTCCCAGATTGATGGTTCACACCTGTTTATTTGGTTACATTCTAGTTTGATCAAACCAAATAAAGAAAACCACCTCCCGCCCGCCCGCACCATATTTTCCAAAGTCATTGCCTGAAAACCAATTCTTTTTCTGTTTTTATGCCTAACTTGTCATGCTTTCTTGGGTTTGATGTTTGTTAAATCAAGTTCCTTAAATTGAGCCCTACAACATGCATGTCCATCTTGATATCATCAGTAGACTGACTGTAGATTCTACTTTAAAAGGGCGGTCGGGTAGCCAAATGGTTAAAGCGTTCGCTCATCACCCCGAAGACCCTGGTTCGATTCCCGACATGGGCACAATGTGTGAAGCCCATTTCTGGTGTCCCCCGCCGTGATATTGCTGGAATATTGCTTAAAGTGGCTTAAAACCAAACTCACTCACTCACTCTACTAACATATTAAAAATTGGTCTGTGTTGACAGAAATGAGAGATCTGATGATGCGTACAAGATGTTGATGAGACGTGTTGGTACTGAGACGTACGTGATAGATCCCGGCCCTGACTGTGTTGCAAGTTCTCAACTCCCGTCTCACTCTGATGTGCATGTCTCGTGTCTCACCAGTCAAAGGGTGCAGGTCAGTACTGCAGCCACCATGTGCAATAAATGTCCCGAAACTAGGAACTCCACCCTGTGGCTGGTTCTTGAAACATTGGTCCTCCAATATCCACGGCTTGTCCTTTGCTTGCCCCCTTTTATTCCAAATTTTACTGCCTGTGAAGATCTGGGTTAGAATAGGTCTTCAGCAGCCCATGCTTGTCGTAAGAGGCAACTATGCTTGTCGTAAGAGGCGACTAACGAGATTGGGTGGTCAGGCTCGCTGACTTGGTTGATTCATGTCATCGTATCTCAATTGCATGGATCAATGCTCATGATATCGATCACTGGATTGTCTGGTCTAGACTCAATTATTTACAGACCACCGTCATATAGCTGGAATATTGCTGAATGCGGCGTTAAACAACACACAAACAACAAAATTAAACAGTGCTTTTAGATGATTTTTATCTCACATTATTTCAACATGTCTGTGTTTGATTCAAGTGTACTACTCTGTTTAATATCCATTGTCATTGCCATCGAAACTATTGTCACCTACAAGCATGCAAAGCCAAGTCTCTACCAGTATGCCAAAAGTTGAATATTGCAAGAGGTAAATGCTTGTATTTCCCTGTAGTTGTACCCTTTAGGACGTCAGTAACCTATGGTCGTGGGTTCAAATCCTGGTTAACCCTGATAATGTTTCTAGGTTTGTCAGCACCCGACCCATGCTCGTGGGTTTCACCGAAGTGGTAAACATCTGAGACCTGTATCACTCCTGGCTTTCCTCCCACATTAAGCCCACATGGCGTGATATAACTTGAATACTGCTAAAAGCAGCATTAAACTCACTTGCTCACTGTAGTTCTGACACCAAGGAGCTGTTATATAGGAATGTTACAAGCTAGTGTTAATGGTACCTTATATTGTCTTGACATCAGGAGCTGACTATTTGTTGCTGTATAAGGTCAGGGGTCACGGGTGGCCCAGTCGCCTCAGGTGCCGCGATACGCTGTGCAAAGTTTTGTCCCTTGGGCATGCCAGAAACCTATGATTGTGGGTTCGAATCTCGGTTCACCCCGATTATGTTTCTAGGTTTGTCAGCACCATACCCGTGGTTGTGGGTTTCACTGAAGTGGTAATCAACTGAGACCTGCATCATTTCGGGCTTTCCTCCCACATTAAGCTGACACGCCGTGGTATAACTGGAATACTGTAAAAGCAGCGTTAAACCCAACTCACTCACTCATTGTATAAGGTGACATTCTGCGTTAGGACATTAGTATGCTTGGCGAGATCTGTGTACATTCAGTAAACGTAATCGTTTGAGTGAGTATGGTTAAACGCCCCTTTAAGCAATATTCCAGCAATATCACGGCGTGTGACACAAGAAATAAGCTTCATGCATTGCAGTAGATGTCAGTAGACCATCTTAATGTGTTTTGTGTTTGTAACAGAATCTGTGTAACCTGTTGCTTTTCAGGGTCTTGCTTTCTTCCTGGAAGACGGGCAGTCAGCACTGTCTGTGAATGAGGCTCTCATGTGGGCCAAGGTTAACCCCTTCTCCCCTCTTGGATCGGGGATGAGGATTAACCCTTTCTGAGGGCATCACCCAGTCAAGATGTAGTTTGTGTTGATAGTTATTTTCATACAGAACAAATATTCTGAACAATAGTATGACGTTTTAACTTGCTTTGAATATGCATATTTGAGATCTACACATATATGCCAAATTATTGTTAACGTGTTAATGCATAATGTGATTCTGTACATATGTTTTTGCTTATGCATGTGTTGCTTTTGACTGCCAATATGGAACATCACTTGAAAAATGATAAAATGAAAATAAACTCAACTTGACTAAGAAAAGTTCTGCCAGATACTTCGGAGATAAACATTATGTGTTATAGAGCACTTGGGGCATTGAAATTTGAATTGGAACCAAAAGGGTTAATCTGTAATGCTATGACACCATCTTGCAATGGATGACGCCATGTGCTTTTATGATGACTGTATCCACCTGGTGAGCAGAATGTGAAAAAAAATCAATTTTTTTTAAATGAATATTTAATTATGTGGTATGCAATTCGCCGAGCCAAAGGGTATGTATTTTATACATTTGACGTTCCTTTGTACAGTGCCATGATTGTGTTTTAGGAAAATGTGTTAGTCCTATGATTTACATGTCCGTCCTATGATTTACATGTCCGTCCTATGATTTACATGTCCGTCCTATGATGTACATGTCCGTCCAAACATTTTTGTTTGAAAATATTATCATGATGTTGCTAGTTGTTATGTTTATTGACAACAGATCTGAATGTTTATTTTCATCACTACAAATACATAATAATGGCATGTTGTCAGTGTCATCCATGATAAACGTTGTCTACAAAATCTCTTTTTGAGGTGAATAATTTGGGCGATGTGAATAAGCTGTCATTTAATTTTAATGTAAGTATGTTGAAATATGGTGTGGAGTGTGATAAAAGAAATATAGCACATGTATGTGTTTTGAAAACAGAGATAATTTCAGTCTGCGACTTAAGCCGCTAGCCTGACACCAGAGTATTGTAAAATTCTGTTTGGCTTGTAAGATTAGCCAATAAAACGCTGTATCATAACAGTAACATGTACAAACAGGGATATTAAATGCCAAGTTAGGAGGCTCAAACGTTTTTGCACAGACTGCACATTTTGTCAAGTCTTTAAGTTGCATTTAGAAGTAAAACACACAAGGTAGAGAATTTATGGATGTCAGCTTCTTTATGATGAAATTTCACCTGATGAAGGAGTAGGTTTTTATACTCCGAAACATAGTGTTCCTCATAATAAAGAAGGTGACATCCATTAATTTTCTTCCTTATGCGTATTTAGTATCAATCTTCGGAACCAATATACTGGTGAAGATCCGGGGTAGAACAGGTCTCACCAACCCATGCTTGCCGTAAAAGGTGACTATGCTTGTCGTAAGAGGCGACTAACAGGGTCGGTGGTTAGGCTCGCTGACTTGGTTGAAGCATGTCATCAATCCCAATTGCGTGGATCGATGCTCATGATATCGATCACTGGATTGTCTGGTCCAGACTCGATTATTTACAGACCGCCGTCGTATAGCTGGAATATTGCTGAGTGCGGCATAAAACAACAAACCAACCAAATCTGAACTAATATTTCATCTTCAAACACCAGCTGCTATATTTTTTAACATTATGTCTCTTAAGGTTTATTTTTATCATGTTTGGGGTCTATTTGCTCTTGGGAATGTACAGATGAAAAAAGATATATCTTGATATGATGTCTCATCTTATCCAGTGCTCACAGTATTTGTACAAGGATACATATTAAACCTTCCCCAATATACGGGTCTATTTTAAGTCAGGTGGGCTACAGAGCCTTATGACTCCAGTTGATACATAGATCAAAGCCTGCATGTTTGGCCTTTCCTTGCTGTAATGAGACTTCTCATGTTTTATAGGCAGAATATCCTTTTCATCGTTTTACAGATACCTTAAATATTTCAAAATTTATAAAATATAAAATTTTGATATTTGATAAAAAAGAAATCAAAGGATGTGTTTTGAAAATATACCGAACAGAATTTTGGTTTGTTTTTGTGTTAATTATCTTCAAATTTAAATTTTGCTTCTCTGAATCAAGTTGATTTAACCAAATTATGTTTCTCTTTCTGATATATGTGTTTCTGACTTTGGTTGTTGATGTTTACTGTTATAACCTGATCAGCTAGGTTTGCTTCACACTGATTGTCACAGGGTAGTGATTGTTATACCACAATGCATGTGAATGTTGTTATTTATCAGAAATGTATTTATGTTGTTTTTTTCTATATTTCTATGAGATGTATTCATATATAATGATTATAGTGACAACACGTTTCTATTTTACAAACGAAGAGTTACAGCTGACAAGTGAATGCTCATCTTGTATAGCTCTGATTGGTAAAAGGAGTCATTATAACCATGGTGTTGTTACCTATAGGTAGAAAAATCTTATTCTATTATGATGTTTTCAAATCCTTCAATCTGATTGTTCAGAAACAGTATCCAATCGATGTTAGACCACATCTTCCCAAGGCAAGGGAGTTAACTGATTTCAAAAGTTCAGTTTCCACTTTTGCCAAACAAGGCTGGAATTATGGAGTTATATTTTGGTTGGACTAACGTTTCTAATCATAGTCCAATCAAAATCCTGTAATGATATTGACATCCGGTTTCTAAACAACATGGCAACTGCCGTGTTGAATTGGTTTTATTGCAGGATTTACAGAGCATGTATACCGTCAATTTGGAGTTATATTTATTTCCAAATCTTTTCATGTTTTTAATCAAGGTGCTCAAGTGACAAAGCCTGTTTTATTACAATAAAAGTTCTTTATTATTGATCAGATCATCATGACTGGATACTTACTGTAATATTTAGGGGAGAATTATTTGTTAGGATATGAGTGAATTACTTGTAAGTATGTCAATGTTGGGCCAGTATAAATTAATCTTTAGATTAGTGCTGCCAGCACTGCCATTCTCCATGCCCACCGTCTTATCTTTTTGGGGCCATACATTTAGGAGGGGTACAGATTTTGGGCACTGACAGTTAGGTCAGGTAAAAATAAAATAGGAATTCCAATTTCAAATATATATATTTTTATTTCGGCAAAATGTAAAGTAGCTAAGAAAAAAAGTGGGGCCAGGAGTTTTTTGACAAATTTTCAACAGGTTTTGATTATGGTATTTTGAATAATATGTTTTACTTTACCTGACGCAACATAGTGCTTTAACTTCCCTACATTTCAGAATAAATGAAATGTTTTAACCTTACAAGACGCTACACCTTTAGGCCCACCCGGGCTGCGTGTGTCCATCTCCTCCTGGTTACCGTTTTGGCACCGCTGTCTATGCTGTGCCTGCTATCATAGCATGAAGAATATGAGGTTCGAGCCAAGGTGGGGTATCAGGGCACGGGCTATAGTCTGTTTCAACTGTCTCTGTTCCAGTGCTGCCTATTTGTTAAACGTAGGGAAGCTTGTAGCTTGAAGCTATGTAGTGTCAGATAAGTATAAAAACATTGCATTATTCCCAATGCTCATATTTGAATTGATAGCGAGAGTAAATGAGTGGTGTTTCTCTTTTGTTTTTTTAATTTTACTTACATCTGATCAGTTGTTTTAAGAAAACACTTTCCATTGGTTTATTCTTTCACATTTCAAATTTTTGGAGTCAGATTTGTAAACATATGTAAAAACGTCTGGCCTCATATTAGACTCAAGTTTTGAGTAATTAGTGCCAATATTACCCAGGTGGTTGTCATGCCTTGGAACCAATTAAATGACAAATGCCTCTATCTCACTTTTAAAGAAACATGGATAATAGTCTAATAGTTTACACTGGCTGATCATATCTAAGTGTTGTGGTAGCCATTTTGAATTTTGTACACAATGAGCTCCATCCATGTAGTCTGCTCAGTGACATTCACTGAGCATTTCGATGAAGAATGTGAAAACTTATGTTAAATGTTGAAAGATTATGTTGACCATACGGGACTTATTATTAGGATGGGAAAATATGTAGGGTGGAGATGAAACAAGATGACCTTCTCAAAAGAATGTCAAGAACGTGATACAGTTGCTTGTCCAATTTGTCATGGCTTTCCCCAAGGATGCAAGAGCGCAAAATGGTTTGTGGTCATACATTTTATGTCTATGTCTAGCCGTAAGATAAATGTTCATTTCTCTATTAATTGTGTATTTTTTGTTTTGTGACCTCCATATAAGGTCAAGGTCACACGAAGAAACATGTCTCAGTCCTTAAGACATTGCTGTTAACGTCACGAAACTTCAAAGCAGTTTAACTGTACAAACCTACTTAGACCTGATAATTAATATGGAAGTGCTAATATTTCATCATCTAAAGCTGTCAGTCGCACAGCTATTGCGTCTAATGATTCACAATCTGCTTGCAAGTTAGACAGTATTTTCAGAATCAGTTCTGGATGATGTTGCATTCTCAGAATCAGTTCTGGATGATGTTGCATTCTCAGAATCAGTTCTGGATGATGTTGCATTCCCAGAATCAGTTCTGGATGATGTTGCATTCTCAGAATCAGTTCTGGATGATGTTGCATTCTCAGAATCAGTTCTGGGTGATGTTGCATTCTCAGAATCAGTTCTGGATGATGTATTCTCAGATTCAGTTCTGGGGGATGTTGTGTGGTTATAAGTTCTGGATATACTGCCACTGTACAGTTTGCATGGAACCCTTTGTATCAGATTGGTAGTGAAATATAGCTCACAGCAATCTCCATTCAAATGTTTTAGTTTTGTTTGAAGAGATTGATTGTAATCTGTGTGGTGAGCCAAAGATAATACAATTTATTGGTATTTAGATATGGATCAAGAAGAATTGATCCAATGCCGTCTATATAGTGTTTCTTATGTAAATAAACCACTTCATCACATTCCATACCGCAAGACCACAGAAAATACTGTTAACTATGTGTTTTGATTGATGTAATAAAATTATACATCAGTAATTGTTTTGTGTTCACTCATTAATCATACTCTGTTATTGACTGTCTGCTCTCTGGAAGGTTTGCGGACAACACTCTGCATCACTTTTGACTTTCTGTGATGTTTTGCTTGTTTGTTTATTTGTTGTTTAACGCTGAGCATCGATCCACCCAAATGGGATACGATGACCAAGTCAGCTAGTCTGACAACCCGATCTCGTAAGTCGCCTCTTAGGACATTAGCATTGTCGCCTTTTACGGCAAGCATGGGTTGCTGAAGATCTATTCTACCCTGGATCTTCACAGGTCCTGTGATGTATGTAAATAAGATATACATATATGCATAAGACTGTAGGATGAGAAATGTTGATGTGTATGCAGTTGTGGATAGATGTGACCAGTGTAGGGGATACATTTAAGGTTGATGTTCAGAGGTAAAGAATTCCATAGATTTGTTGCAGCATGTTGGAACCTTTTCTTGCCAACTGGAGAGGTTGGGGGATTTGGGGGACTGTAAGGATTGGTCTTGTGATCCGAGAGTTCTAGCAGGAGTGTACTGAGTAAGGATCTCGGAGAAATACTCTGGGGCTTGGTTGTGAAGACATTTGAAGACAATGCATAGAAGCTTAAAATTCTTCTTGTGTTTTACATATTTATTCAGAATCATTCAATGTACAATGTGGAACATCAATGACTGATTATCATTATTTACAATTGTCTGTCACCTACAACAATTTCATATACAGTTTCATAACATCAGCATGTCAGCCTGACCGTGAGTACGACAACCACTTGTATCTACTTATGACAAATAGATACAAAATAATGTCAATACTTGCAAAAGACAAACAAAAAAAATTATGAAATGAAACCAAAAAAATGAATGAATTAACAAAAAAACAAAAAAATTAACATACCCGCCGGTGCCAAAATACTGACAATGATTTTAAGAAATTGGATATATCATACAACTTTTTCTTACCTAATTTGTCAATAATGAACTAAAAAGTTGCAAGAGTTGATTTATTATAAACAACTGACTGCTTGTTGAATGATCATATCCCAAAGTTTGACATGCTGTTGTAGGCAGAAGCTGACAGTCTCCCCATCACAAGACTGGGACTAGTAGCCCTGGATGGGCATGTTGTAGAAGGCTGATTTGTCCACTTGATTCACTTGGACTTCCTTGAAGTGGACACTTGGCTCTCGTGGCATTGACTGGAAGTTTGAAGTATCCGCTGAAACGTCATCCAAAATAGCAACTGTAATCATAGCAGTAAATAACATGTTTGTGAAAAATTTTCTGAGGTTATTGTTTTCTTTTATGTATGAACTCATCAAAGAAAATGACTAAAAACTACTGTTTTTTACCAAAAATATCATCCAAAATCATTCTTCTAACTTTTTCAGTTTCAAACAGTAATTACCAGTGTCTTGAGTGTACAACGTACCGCCACTGGCGGTTCCAGATAGGGTGTGCACATGGTCAAGTCACACGCACATGCAATCCTGGTTTTACCTCTAACAGATAAGCAGCTTTATTTTACTAATATGTCCTGGGGGATATCGCTTGACCTCACTTAAGCTATATCTCCTATGGAAGCCAGTTTGGGATGATAATCTTATGTATTCATAAATATATTCAACCTACTGTGTTCTCTAGCAGGCATACATTCAGTGTCTTCCAAAGCTTGACTTGCGTCAGACTTTTCCTTCAGTGGAGGTGGTGGTCTGCGTAGACTTTTTTCACCAATCGTTGGTTTGACATTAAACCTTTGTGGATCTTCAAATCTTTCCACCCTTCGGTGATCGATGTGATCATTGATTATTTTCTGTGACTGGAAAGATATTAAATACCACATTCTACACATATTTCAATTGTTTCAGTTTTTAAAGTGACTGCATGAGTATGTGTTTGGGTGGTACACAATAGGGTACGCGAAGTACATGTATGTTCACAAATTAAACCCATGTCGTGACGGCGGAATCATGATGGAATTCTGGAATCACTTAGCTATTGAATGACCATACATGAACATAGAGTTTTGAACTTCAGTATTAAAGGTAACATGTCTGTGTTGTATGACAGCCTCTGTGGCCTACAACGATAGAAACTAACAGGTTTAGCCCAGTAGTCCTTGTAATGATAACATATAGCAAAACCCTTAAAATGGGCAAATTTCTACTAGTCCTTAGGATACCTTAACCATTGGGCAGTTTGGCAAGGACTATAGGACCAGTGCCAATTTCTAACACTGGCCTAGTGGTAGAGCGACTGCCTGTAGAGCGGAAGGTCCGAGTTTCATCCTCGGCTTCTTCATACCAAAAGTTAAAAGATGGTACTTGTTGTTACCCTGCTTGGTGCTTGGCATTAAGGGGCTAAGACAAGCACTGGTCGGCTCGGAGTCGGTGTACTGTGTCTGAGTAGGGTATTCATGTTAAACTGCGGCATGATATCTCAATTGGTTAGCACTATAAAATCGGCATTAGTCTGGACTAGTACAAGCAGACACACAGACACACACATGTGCATGCACATCGCAATATACGTACAAAAATCTTGCACACGATGTTAAACCCCATTTCACCTCATCTTATATCTGTGTCTTATGTTTTTAACCTTCAGCTACCAATAACATCCTATTCTTTCACGGCTTCCTCTTAATATATTAATGACAAAGAATATTAGGAAAAAATGAATTTAGACTTTGTCTTGCTTTAACATAAAAAGCAAATTTGAACCATCAGGGCAAATATGGAGAATCTAACCAGAATGTCTTTTGATATTAAATATATCAACATGAGTCGATAAAAATGTATCTCTCAGATTTGCCAATGTCACAATGGTCTGCAACTCATTGTGCTGCAAAAAACTGAAGTGAATTCTCTGAGGAGATGCCGCTTGATCTCTCCCAAGTGATATCTCCTGTGGAAGACAGTTTGATGAATCTGCTTATCTCAAAATGATTTCTGTTCACTCACTTGTTGATAAATATTTATGTAAACAAAGAGGGGCAAACCTTTTGTGCACCGAGTATGAGGTCCTGATCGGCCATGATTTCTGTGATACGTAGATTATTTTTTATCGACTTTGATGCTGTGGATCTGGCATGCATTGGCAGCTTGCTCTGGTAGGCCTTGTCAGTGAAGTCAACCTCCACCTCGGATGGGACTTTTTTTACTCTGAATATGAAAATTTAACTCTTTAACAGCTCGATTGAGTCAAACAAACTATGATTGATTGATTGATTGGTTTGTTGTTTTACACCGCACTCAGCAATATTCTAGCTATATGACGGCAGTCTGTAAATAATCGAGTCTGGACCAGACAATCCAGTGATTGATATCATGAGCATCGATCCACGCAATTGGGATCGATGACATGCATCAACCAAGTCAGCGAGCCTGACCATCCGATCCCGTTAGTCGTCTTTTACGACAAGCATAGTCACCTTTTACGGCAAGCATGGGTTGCTGAAGACCTATTCTACCCCGGATCGTCACGGGTCCAAACAAACTATGAAACTGATCCTATGATCAGGCCTGATTTCCCCAAATAAACGTAAGTTTTGACTCAAATCTCAAACTCCGTTTGCAAAAACAACTCTGCTGAGTTTTTAACTCAATAGCATTTCTTGAATCAAACTCAGCAAAATCTCAGTAGTTGGACACAAGTGACACGATATATAGAATCGTTTCCATCCGAAACCTAAATCCAAGGAATAGATTTTCATCCGACATGTATTCCAGTGGGTGTTCTCGATCAGTAAGCACCCTAGAAATAACCTGTCTCCTTCTCAATCTTTGCTTACGTCTATTAGCAATTGCTATTTTTGTCCATATCAAAATTTAAGTAACCATTTAGGCTAACCAAAGTTTTACGTGGTTTCGAATTCAGTTCGAGTAAAAAATTGAACTCAGTTTTGTTTTAGGAAGGCATTTTGTTTTGTTTTCTCAAATTTGAGTAAAAACTCAGACTTAAGTTTGTTTTTGAACCTAAGTTTGTTTCTAAAAATCGAGGCATGGTCTACAGTATATTATTGTTGAATTGACTCAAGAAGCTTGAGGTTGAGCATGCACCAGGGCCCACTTGCACAAAGCGATCTTAGTGCTAAGATGATCGTAACTCCCATACTTCAACATAGGCTTACCATAGTCTTAGCGCTAAGATCGCTTTGTGCAAGTGGGCCCAGGTGGGAGTAATACAGCATCTTCTAGAACTTGGATCGATTCCAAGTTCTACGGCAGGTAAATTTAGATTTTGAGAACCACTAGGATGGATCCAGGGGTAAGTGTAGGTTTACCGAAATGTGAGCCCTGCAGATATATAGGATGAGTTACCCAGTGGTAGAAACTAACCGTTTTAGTCCACTAGTGGATAACATACAGTAAAACCAAAAAGAACGGCAAATTTCTACTAATACTTATGCTACCTTAACTATTGGGCAATTTGGCAAGTACTACAGGACGGTGCCAATTTCTGACTGGTTACCACTTACTTCCTGTTAGTGAGGATCTCGTACATCCTCTCTGTGAGAAGATTGGCAGCTCCCTCCTTGCAGTGAATGGTGCCTTCTATGTAGTCCTCAGGGATTTCAAGGTGCTGGCGTTTGATGAACTGAAAGGAGTTGAAAAAACAATTTGATTTGTCATCCTGGGAAGCGTTTTATCGAAGTATCATAATTGTGAATACACATGATATTGTGGATCAGATACTATAAAACTATCTGAATTGCTGCAGCACATAAAAAAGGTTATCAGGAACTAAGATAATATTTATAAGTTGTAGCCGTATCACTGATAAAATCACATATGAGTGATACAGCTACAACAAATTTATCTTACCGACATGTTTTAATCTGTCATTGTAAAAGAATTAAAACAAATTCAAAATTGTTAGAAAACAGTTGTTCGATCGAGCTGAGGTCAATTTGTGCTATGTCATGTGACTTTCATTGACTCGGAAAAAACATGCTGCTTTTTGCTTTGGGTATTCTTATGATTCAGCAATTCAAATGATGTTGGAATATCTTTGAAAGGTTTTTCATTTCCAGAAGCTGTCCATTCTAGTACCAATCTCATTAAAATCAGATCTTAGTTCTCGCTATCGCTAAACAAAGATCTGAGGACATCCCATTGTATATTCTTAGGCATTCATAAGGATATTCATGGATTGGAATAACACTGTATCGCAGTAAGTAAGAAATGTATGTACTCTGAACATGAACTGTCGTCTGTAACGACGCACCGCCATTTTGAAGAATCTGTCATCGGAACTGTAATCAAAATCATTCAATCTACCAGTGTATGTGAATACTTCTCATAACAAATATCATCGTTCACAAGAACTGGATTATTGGGAACACTTTTCTTGAATTGAAGATGTATTATTTGACATTATTGGAGCTTTCATGACATCTCAGAACGTTGGTTGAAAACCCTGCAAAAAGTAACAAGCATCAGAGTAAAATGATGTCACAAGATTGCCGGATATGACATACCGGACATAAGTTCTTCTTCCGGAAAAATGTAAACAAACACACATATTCATCTGGAAACTTCATAATAGTGACATTTCATAACCTTTTGAACTTTTGACTTGATCATTGACAACAATATGGATTTTGGACCTAAGATGGACTGGTCTAACCCAGACCAAGTGGGAGCTTTCAGATTATTTTGTCAGAAATGTGAACTTTATTTTTCCGTGAAAGAAACCAAAGTTGAAAAACAAGTTGACTATATTTTACTGTATACCAGTGATGAAGGTTTGAAGATGTTCAACTCATGGTGTTTGTCAGAAGAAGAAAAGAATAATCCAGAAATAGTTTGGAACAAATTTCAGAGTCAGATAGAGCCTAAGATAAACTTTCGTGTTCAACGATTTTATCTACAGAGACACAGACAAGGAGAAAATGAGAGTATTGATGATTTTGTAACAAGAAGTAAACTACAAGCATTCAAGTGCAGATTTACGGAAGCAGAGTTAATTATCGGCACGAGATATCCTGAATTACAGAAGGAATTGCTAGGGAAGGAACATACCCTTACATTAGAAAATGCCATTGAATGTGGACGTACTCATGAAGCATCAATTCAACACATGGCACAGTTACAGGATGTTCACACTCAACAGAATGGAATTCATGCCATACAGAGAGATAGACAGCAATGTGGATCATGCGGAGGATCGCACCATATCAAACAGAAATGCCCTGCCATAGGAACTAATCAGCGATAATGGCAGACACTTTGATAGCAAAGATTACAGAAAGTTTGCTGAAGAGTGGTGTTTCGACCACACAACCAGTTCACCACATTACCCCTAGTCAAATGGCTTCATAGAAAGGTCTATCAAGACAGTGAAGAGTACCCTAATAAAGTCTAAAGAAGACCATATGGATCCTTATATGGCGCTGCTGTGTCTAAGGACCACATCTATAGATAATTACCTACCATCACCAGGAGAATTACTCAGCGGTAGAAGACTGAAGAGTAACCTACCATGCAAGATGCACAACAACAAACATGACAGAGACAACATCCAAGCTAACCTGAAAATGCGTCAAGACTCACAGAGAATGTATCATGACAGGCAAGCCCACGACTTGCCACCATTAGCAACTGGACAGAGTGTCCGTATTCAAGATCAAACAACAGGACTGTAGACTCCTGGTACTGTCAAGCAGAAGTGCACAGAGCCAAGGTCATACTTAATTGAAACTCCAAATGGTCATGTATTAAGAAGAAATCGACGACACATCTTAGACTTAATTTCTCCAAGAAAGCAGGTAACCTTTAGAGAAGAAGAAACTAATGGACATAATGAGACTATAACACCAAATGAACACAGAGAAGTAATAGCTGACACAGGAAACAAGAACCAGCTGAACAACAAAAGAGTTCCTGATAGAAGCCCACAATGTAGAAGACCATGTGAGAGATGTGTTCCAATGACATTAAGTGACAGTGTCAGTGATTGTGATAGACATCAGTATCGAACCAGGTCAGGCAGAGCTATTCGCAGACCTGATAAATTAAATCTGTGACTGTGTTGAGTGAGTGAGATGGTTTTACGTCGCTTTTAGCAATATTCCAGCAATATCACGGCGGGGGACACCAGAAATGGGCTTCACACATTGTACCCATGTCGGGAATCGAACCCGGGTCTTCAGCGTGACGAGCGAACACTTTAACCCCTAGACTACTCGACCGCCCCTTGACTGTGTTGATACTCTAAGATCAAGAGTGACTGTTTAAAGCTGATGTTGATAATTTACAAGTTAATGATAAAGTTAGAGTTGTCTTAAAAGTTACAAAGTGATTAAGCTGAAAATTGTTACTCCCTGTGAAAATATCTTGAAGAAGTGGGATGTAACAGATTGACATTAATATACCTATAATAATATATGATCCATAATTATCCGTCAGGATACTAGCATCTTAGACTATTGGCATTGTACATGTATACGCATGCGCGGCGTGAGTCCCAGTAAGCCGTCAGCCTGTACAGACAGTGATTAACCAAACCCAGCGTTCGTTATGCAGTTCTCAGCTGATACAACAACCTGGGAATATTACACTCAGGCCACCACAAAAGTGACCCAATGGTAAAATAAACTCACATTTTTCAACAAAGACCAGTTTTTCTGTTTGGGATCTAGTGATGTTCCATTGTAGTATGAATGCATCTGTATTTCTTGTGGAAAGTACCATGAAAATATCTCGGCTACGAGGTAACCATTCGTCAAGTCCCTGAAACAAATCAATATATATATTTAACTCACCTGACTGACAGGTACAATACTAGAAGAACTAGTCAATATGTTAAGGGAGCAAGAATGCTGTATACCAGACACCGTCCGCCATTTTGGTAAGGGATGTGCACGAAGTGTTTATTGCAGTCAATGACACAAATTATTGGTAGAGAGACATTAATTATTGTTATGATACTGACAGTGATGTATAATACGGTATTCGACGTAATAAACGCCCAGGGCGCTCTCAAAATTACAAATAGGGGGCTCTTATTAGAATAACATTTTGGTGGAAAAAAAACAGAGTTGAAAGATCGTAAATTTCGTGGTTTATGCTGACAGTCTGAAATAATACAAAAGAAAAGTCTATGCGTATTATACACAACATATATACATTGATCAATCGGAAGGGGTGCTAATGGGGATTGTTCACTAGCCAATATATTAGCAAATATCGCTGTGGGCGCTTATTAGAGCGGGGCGCTTATTACGGTGAATACAGTAGATCATAAATGTGCTGTTTGTACATGATAGATCTGATCGGTAATTGTCAAGTTTTCAAGAAAAAAGTAGACATGTCACCAAAATCTACGTACACAAATTACGGTGTGATAATTGATGGTACACATTAAGTTTAGGGTATTTGTAATCCTAAAAATTGGGTTTTAACAAAATATTTCTCCCCCAGATATTTAAACAATGATGAATTGCCCGCATTATCATGCACCTTTAAAAGAATTGAATTTCAAACACGATTTGGAAAAATATTCATTGGAATCGGAAATTTTGTAGACTTCAAGTATGGGTACAAACACTGAAATCGCAATTGCTAGTTATTGATTAACATACCACTTCGGTGTTTTCATTTGCCATGTCAAATCTAGACTTTGGATCCACCTCAAAACTTCTCTGGACAACCCAGACATTATTAAAGCCACCAACAACGAGGTGTTATGAATGTGTGTTCTCTCTCTGACATACACCGCATTACACTTCTCCATAAACTTCCGTCGTTGCCAATGACAACGCCATGCTCCGAAGTGAATATTACTTCATAAAATTGTTTTTATGATTTTGAATACAGATTTATTAATCTTAAACATTTCTATCGGTGTTTTCAAGTCGAGTTACCTTTTTGTATGATATATGTATGTAGACTTTAGGCTCTCTTTTAATATTCATAAATTTCGCTTTACCTCGGTACTTGCGGAAGCCAATGACTTCCGGTGTGAACAGACGATTGACTCGACGAGCTACATGATCAATGTGTTTTGACAGTCTTTTGAAACTAGCTGTCATATAAAACAAAGTTACTTCGTGGCCGTTACTTCACAACATCAGTTCGATTTTTTCGTAAGTGATGATTTAACAGTTTTTACAGTGCATTAATTTTATGTCTTGAAACATGGGTGATGCGGCGAAGTTGGCAGGAGTGGAGGCTTCTGCAATAAGTCTTTTGAAAAGAGCTGTAGAGCTTGATTCGTCCAGGAGGTTTGACGAGGCAGTTACGTGCTACCAGGAGGGACTGCAGTTGTTATTAGAAGTACTCAAAGGTAATAGTTTTAGCCTCTTGCTAGTACATTCTCACAGTAACTAAATTTTGCCGAACGAGCACCAAACAGACGAATGTTGTTGATAGCTGTAGAAAAAAACAGTTACAAGATTCATTTCACAGACTCACTGTGTTAACTGCTTAGCAACTATTACACTTTACCTGGTGCACCTTTTCCAAATCAATTTAGGGATGCGTGGAAGATCGTTTGTCATTTGTAGCTAGGCTATGTTCCTGAGACAATCTTACTAGCCAACACTTTACCATGCGACAATGGCCACATGACAAATAATTAGTGCTTGTTTACCTAGTCATCAGCACCCGATAGTTTGCCTTGATATGCAGGTGTAATAGCCATGTTTTCCTGCAAAACTTCATAATATTTTTATGGGTTTACCCAATATTACATTATGTATCCTTGTGTTTTGTGTTTTCGCCCCTTACAAGTATTTCTGATTGTCGTATGTGTCTAAAAACAATCCCAATACACTAAAATTAGGTCTTACCTTTGAGAACATTTATTTCTGTCCATACTTGGATTGTTAAATGACCATGTTTCGTTATTTTTGTTAGAGATAAGTAGATCAGATGCCATCTGTAACTGTCACATGATTCTGTGCCCCTCCATAACAGTGAAGTTATAAATAGATGCACAACATGATCAGTCACATGACATTACAGACAGGACATTTACAAACAGCAGCCGATGCATTTTCAGTGCATACGATTGTTCTGATCCGAAAATATCATCAGATCAAGTTTGACTAAGATGTGCATTAGTGAAAAAGTAAGTTTGTGGGTAAATTTTCATTATTTATCATGCTTCTTGAATATCTTACCTCATGTAGCTTAATAAGCGCATATTACGTCGAATACTGGACATATTGGATCGTGAGCAAGGTATCATGGTACATATCGGAATGCACAGTTTTGTATCATCCCAGCCCTAATGTGTTGTTATACAGGTACTCAGGATGACACAAAGAAGAAGAAATATCGTGAGAAGATATCGGAGTACATGGCTCGGGCAGAAGAACTGAAGCAGCATGTCAAAGATGAAAAAGAGGGTAGGACAGTAAACTTGTCTCAAGCAACAAGTAATCTTTCAGAGTGTTTCTTCAGCCTAAACTTTACCATTATTTGTAGTATTCCTTCTCATAATGAGCATGTCATTTACAATTCCAGTCTGTGGTCAACTGGTAAATAATGTCATTACCACTAAAACCAGGGGTAACTGTTCATTTCTTCTTGTTTTTTTTAGAACCATTGATATGTATACTACATTCCACTCAAGTCTTCTCCCCAATGTCATAAGTCCCACAAAGAAATATTTGTAACTCGACGACATGCTTGATCTGTTTGTGCTGTTGATGAATACATATTTCATTTTTGATAGAACTTCCTGTTCTCAGTCTTAGAAAATCAATATTTTCAAGACTAGTCATGAGGATTGGTATAAATCTTATTTCAGAATCTTAAGAGGGGTTATTATATAACTGAATACATAAGTAGTCTAAAACATGTTAAAATTACCTGCAAGGCAGGTGGAGAAAAATTTCATGGAGCCAGACAGACAGAAAAGTTACCAGCCACGGGCAGGCGGGCAGTCAGTTATTTCGGACGCTGTTTAGCATGCTTAAGTGATGTAACATGCTTAATAAGACATGAATTACATTTTGTCTTGTAATATTCTATGTGTACATCATCTGTATCATGCTGTATGGTGTAATTGTTTGTCTCGATGGTGTTTTCTCTGAGCATGTTCAGTTGTTGAAAATATGAAGATATATTTCAGAGCCATTGGATGACGGTAAGGCTTTGTGGGACCATCTGTGGGTCACTGGAGTTGTCACAATTGTTACCATGGTAACAAACTGATAACTATGGGACAGTTTGTGCACAACATGGCTTTTCTTTAGTCTGCAAGATTTTATGTTCATGCTGTCACAATCTCATTGAAGTCAGATATTTTACTCAGATACGATACCTCTCTGCATGAATATTATCATGATTAGAGCTATAACAAACCCTTCAGTTGAATCTTCTAATTAATGTTAACAGTAATAATCCTGATATCCTGTGTTTGGAAATTTCACCAGGATCACAGTTGACAGAAATCCCATTATCACCATGGTTACAAAGAAAGAACCATTATATTTGAAAATTGGAGTTTCTGGATTGGCTCCATTTTAATTTGATCAATACTTGTCATCCTTCCTGACTTTGATTTCTGTTGGCCTTCTCAAGCTGAAAACACTTCAATGTATGATCTAGACTCTCCCAGGTTCAGATATTTGGCAGTAAGAATGTAAAGTCTTGTTTGCGGTTGTTTATTATTTCCTAGCTCTTACATGTTTTAGGTCTGTGAAGATTCAGGTTAGAATTGGTCTTCAGCAACCCATGCTTGTGGTAAGAGGCGACTAATGGGAGCTGGTGGTCAGGCTTGATGGCTCTGTTGATGCATGTTGACTGCTGTCATATAGCAGGAACCGTGCTGAGTGTGCCATTAAACAATGAACAACCCAGTTTGGGGGTTAACATTTCCCCAAAATCTCATTACCATGTTTATTTGCCAATGAAATTTCACATCATGTTGCATAGATTTCTATGCACAGAATATAGTACTCAACATTTAATTATGGTGAAGTCCTAGACGTGCTTGATGTTTGATTTATTTGAAGAATATTATTTATCAGGTTTGCTGGTGCTTCCAAACAAAAGTGCTTGTGTCAAGTTGTGAACAGTTCTTTCTAGTTTTACGATTTGTTTATGCCAGACCAATTATATAACATGTTTTACCATTGATTATTTAGGACAATACGCATGATAAGGAAATTGGTAAAACAAATCATGTAAATGGGTTCGAGTTGGTGTGAAAAAGGTAAAAATATACAGAAACAGTGTCCTGACGACTCATCAACATTTTCCTATTTTGTCTTGTGTTACCGTGACTACTGATGGTGCTGATGAAGAATAGTGCCAGAAATAGGTGTACAATGATGATTCTGTTTCACACAATCTTTTGTTGGGTACATCTTTACCAGTGGTTATCGGGGAAATCAGAGTGAACATGGTGAATGGGTATTTCTGTATCATGTGTATGGCAGTGGCTGTCTCTGTCTTCATGACCTGTAAAGATCCAGGTTACAATTGGTTACAATTCAGCAACCCATGCTTGTCGTAAGAGGCAACTAACAGGATCAAGAGGTCAGGCTCACAGACTTGGTTGATGCATGTCATTATATTCCAATTGTGTAGATCGATGCTCATGATGTCAATCCCTGGATTGTCTGGTCCAGACTTGTTGATTTACAGACCGTCGTCATTGAACTGGATTATTGCTAAGTGCGGCGTTAAGCAACAAACAAACGGACTCTGTCTTCATAATGTTCATTGCTGAGATTTTCATGATTTGGACTTTCATGATTAACCCAGTACATGCTTATCCTTGATGAGGAATCATTGACTGGCACAATCTCTTCCACATGCAGTGTTTTGTACCACAATAGCTTCAGAACTCCAGATAAGCTGTGTATTTGCATAATATATGCAAAATAAATCTTTACAACACAATTTATCTGGAGTCGCTTGTATTCAAAGTTTTTTTTTATAAAACAATAGTATAAGCATGATAACAACACTCTTCAAAATTATGTAGCCATTTCAACTTGTGTACCTGTTTGTCTTTAAAGATTTTGTTTATGGCAGGCACCACAAATGCATACTCTACTGCAGTGTATAATGCATAAAAAGGACATTTGTCTCCCTTATTATTAATCAGACATGTATCGCTGTTGTGAGCTTATGTTACATCTGACACATTTGTGGCAGCACTTGGTGCACCGGTGGCCAAGTCATTTAAGGCGCCTCTATTTGCTGTGCAGAGTTGCGTCCCTTGGGCACCCCAGAAACATATGATTGTGGGTTCCAATCCCAGTTCGCCCGATTATGTTTCTTGGTTTGTGAGCACCATGCCCGTGCTCGTGGGTTTCACCGAAGTGGTAAACGTCTGAGACCTGCATCACTTCAGGCTTTCCTCCCACATTAAGCTGACACGGTGGATATAACTGGAATACTGAAAGTTACGTGAAAGAGCATTTTATGCAGAATTTCTTTTTCATATGTCTCCTCAATTGTATTAAAATACCAAAGATAACCTTTTCAAGGTTGCATGAAAATTATTAGAAAACACATTCCGACTGTAACTTTCCTGACCTGGCTAGCGATGCTCTGAACGGTGGGATGAAAAGTCTTTCTTACATGACCCATAATGGGATGTCCTCAGATCTGTGTTCAGCGGTTGTGAGATCTAAGATTTGATTTTAATGAGATTGAAAATTATCAGTACCCAATGTAAAGATATCATGTGAATAAATACTCAGTTGTTCAAAACATTATCTGGAGCCCTGGAGCTAACCATATGTTTGCATTGGATGCTGATTATAGTGATTTTATATTTTCATAGGAGTATACATAATCTGTCATGGCTGGTGGGCATTGCAACACACAGCCTTTAACTTGTGGGTGTTCCTGAACTTGTTTTGAGTAGTATATTTCATTGTTTTGGGTTATTATATGTATTCTTTGACTTTGACACAACTTTTGTTTGTTAATTTTAGCTGGAAAATATCATGAGCAAATCCACATTGAGGCAAATTCTACAGGTCACACTTACGAGAACTTGTTCTCTCGCTTCATCGACAAGTCTGTGTCGGAAATAGAAGTGGAAGACCCCTACATCCGATCCCCTCACCAGGTAATATCAACACCTCAATCTTACATGGAAAGGAGTCAAGGAAGTCACCAGTCAATCATGATTGTTTTGGAATCATTTAATCATAATCGCTGTGGGGAAGAAGAGGGATGATTGACAAAGGCCTGATCATGACTATCAATCTTCCTTTTGTTTCATTACCTAGAATGATAGTGTCGTAAATATTATCAATGATTCTGATATATGAATTTGTTTGTTTGTAGTTTAACTCTGCCCATCGCAATATTCCATCCATGTGATGGTGGTCTCAAAGTAATCGAGTCTGGACCAGACAATCTAGTTGACATCATGAGCATCGATCCATACAATTGAGTAATTAGTTCACCAATTTCCCATTTACAACAGTAATCATGCAAGATATTTAACTTCATTTGTCAGTTGTTGACAGTATTGCCAAACACAACAAGGTCATCTGCAAATAGAAGTAGATATGAAAATATGAATAAATTCCGGATATAACTGAACACCAAAATGACAATTTTGTTCCATTTCTGTAACCAATTCGTTTATAAATAACTGAAACAAAAAAGGACTAAGCATACACCCTTGCCTCACATCCATGAAGGAATCAAATGTACCAGATACTCTGTTGTTTGAACGAACACAAGCTTTTACATTACTGTAGATGGTTTGTAACATTTTACCCATTTTAGAACTCAAACCATGTTTGTACAATAGCTTCCATAGAAGATGATGCTGAATGGAGTTGAATGCTTTAGAGAAATCAATAAATGCTACATAACACCTCTTTTACGTGAAAAGTAACGCTGAATGAAAACAAAACAGTTATCAATAGTTGAATAACATTTTCAAAACCCTGACTAACATTCAGATATGTTGCAGCTCAGTACACCAAGAGGCGACTAATGGAATCAGGTGGTGAGGCTCGCTGACTTGGTTGATGCATGTCATCATATCCCAGTAGCATAGAATGATGCTCATGATGTCAATCACTAGATCGTCTGGTCCAGATTTGATTATTAACTGCCGTCATATAGTTTGAATATTGCGGCGTTTAACAAAAAAAAAAGTAACACACATCATAAGGAGGATGGTCAGAGGTTGATTGTGTGTCTGTACAGGTGTACAACTTCCTGCGGTTCTGTGAGCTGGTTGTGAAACGTGGCCCCAATGTGAAGAAGATGAAGCTAATCACTGGAGCTGATAATGTGAGTTAACAGCGGTAGAAACAGTTTTAGCCCACTAGTCCTTATAATGACAACATATAGCAAAACCCTTAAAAATGGAAAATTTCTACTAGTCCTTATGATACCTTAACTATTGGGCAATTTGGCAAAGACTACAGGACAAGTCCAACTTCTACCGATGGTTAATCAGAGTACCAGTAGAAACTCAATAACCTTTGGGACACTGGTGGCCCAGTCGTTTAAGGTGCTGCAAGCCAAATTGTTGTTTCAGAAACCTATGAACGTGTGTTCGAATCCCAGTTTGCCCCAATTAGGCTAAACAAAATAATAGTCTTGGTTCTCAGGCACCGTCTGCATCTTCATTAAGCGCATGGCACGTTTCATTTTTATTTCCATTTTTTTTAAATTTAAGAAATCCTCAAATATTCTGCGTCTCAAACACATGACCCAAGCTACAATATAGCATGCAGTTACTTCCCTTTACATGCACATTGCTGTAGTGCGTATCTTGTATTATGGTCATGGCAGCAATAAGGGGTTGTATGCTTGTTTTGCCATTTGTAAAGTTGGTCAATGAAAACATGAAATTTACGATAAATCATCACTAGACATGATGATTACAAATTTAGTGGTATTTGGGTGCTGTATGCTGAACAGTGTTTCATATGCAGAGAATAAGATCACATGTGTATTTGTCTCGGGAATGGCAATCAGCTGTCGACACATTATCTATGCATGCTATGGGTGATTTAGTTCAAGCAATACTGGTACTTAATGTCTGCAGTACATTTCCTCCCACTTTAAGCTGTCATAGTGTGATCACTGAAATATTTGTTGCAGTGTTTTGCTAAACGTCCCTCACGTCCGTTCACCAATGATAGTGACAGAAAGCTGTGAAGCAAAAGATAAATATTTGTTTTCTTTTACCATATTTTTCAATGTGACAACTAGCAATATGATGTCAGCAATAATCGGAAGCTTTGGTTTCCTTGTTGCAGGAGGGCCAGGGGCAGCAGCAGCGACTACACCAGGTAGGGCAGAGTCTACACCAACATGGCATACAGCTGGAGGTAGACTTCTCCACAACACTACATGACAGGGAGATCAGGTATGACCTTGACCAACACTAACTTTGACCTTGACCAACACTAACTTTGACCTTGCTTAATTGTTTATACTTACTCAGGAATAATCTGGAGTTTTCATGGATCCTTGACCCATACTGTAACTCTCCTCTTGACTGATAGTTCAACATTTACTATGTTCACTCAAAGGATAATGTGAAATTTTCATTGATCATGTGTCAATGTACCAATTCATAATTTTTTTTTTTTTAAATGATGTTCAATTCCTTGCTTTTTTATTATTATTTTTGTTGTTGTTGATGTGAAACTGAAAGGAATTCAATATTACCATGATCACAACTTTAATCCATGGTACATGGCCTACCAACCTCACTAGCGACAACCTCTTGTGGTTTCAGATTCAACAACGGCTGGGTGATCAAGATTGGACGAGGGCTAGACTTGTATAAGGCCACAGAGAACAAGTTCTCTATAGGATTCTGTGACTTTGAACTGAGACACTGCCATGAAACAACTGTTGATATTTTCCATAGGAAGCATGTGAAATCTGAGCCTTCTGAAAGCTGACATGTGAGAGACCTGACCCTCTGACCCTGTCATGTGCAGTGTCAAGGTCGTTGCGTCTGTGATACTCAGAATTACAGCTTCCATAATTCAGTGATGGCGTGATGCAATGGCTGTTTTCTGCATATTTGTACACCATGAGTGTTGTGCGATGAATGACATGATATCTTGTATTCTTGTAAAAGTTTCAATTACAAACTTTATATCTCATATTCTAGAAAAGGTTTCAAATTTCAAGCTTTTAGCAACCAGAATTTTTAAATGATGTCAGTGCTTACATCTGTTAGCTGCCATGATCTCCTGCAGAGACCATATACCGGTATATGGTCTCTGTCTCCTGGTAGCGGTTTCTTCACAACATCAACATCATGATCATACCGGTGCAGCACATGGCTTTAGCCGACATTAATGCTGTGATAGAAATGAAACACCAATTGACAGTTATATCTTTTTCAAAAAGAACAAAATAGATTTTACCATTATTTAGGGTAGAGACTGGTAATTTATTAGGGGGGGGGGGGGGGGGTCATGAAATAATGTAGACCAATCTCGATCCTCTCTAATACACTGCTCTAATAAATGACCCAGTCTCTTATAACATGGTATAAAGCTCTCAATCTTGAGCCCGTCGAGATAAGATTTTAGGGTTTGATTCCCCACGAGTAAACATACTTGCCGTAAAAGGTGACTATGCTTGTCGTAAAAGGCGACTAACGGGGGGATCGGGTGGTCAGGCTCGCTGACTTGGTTGATGCATGTCATCGATCCCAATTGCGTGGATCGATGCTCATGATATTAATTACTGGATTGTCTGGTCCAGACTCGATTATTAACAGACCGCCGTCATATAGCTGGAATATTGCTGAGTGCGGCGTTAAACAAGAAACCAACCCCACGAGTAAGTTGTGTGAAGCCCATTTCTGGTGTTCCCAACCATGATATTGGTGATATGTTGCTAATTAAAAGTGACATAAAACATTACTCACTCACTCTCTTTAACAAAGTTTCCACTGCAGGGATTGTGGGTTTGTTGATGGTTGTAGTTGATATTCCATTATGTTTAGCTTTGTTTTAAGTTGACACTCATGTACCGGTATGCAGGACAGATGTCTTTGTATATAAAGTGGAGTTTTATTGTACTAGTACTGAAGACTAGCACACATTTTGATGTAGGAAATAAATATTTTATGATTATTGTGACAGATGCTTGTTGCTGGGCAACACTGTTGAACCGATTCCCTGTTTTATCACTTTCCATCCTTGACAGATGAATATATAGAGGTGCAATATACAGAGGTGGGATACGTATCTGAACACGCCAGAAAACACAAAGGCCATGAACTGTAATACTAATGTATTTCAGATGAGTGGAAAATGGCAACAGGCTGTTCTTGCTTGTTAAACTTTTCGGAGTCGTGAAATGTAACATGGAATCCAAAATGGTACAAAATAGCTGATTTGTAGGACCTGTGAAGCTCTTCAAAGCTTACATTTATTATATTTAGATGGGGTTATTCTTTCTTTAGGCCACACTTTTTTAATTTTATGTCTCACAGATTTATTACAGCTTTTCAAAAGAAAGTCGGTTGAAATTAAAATAAAATAAACAGCTAGCTCAATTATTTATTTATGTGAAATCATTCTGCTGTGGAGTAACTGCAGCTGGCTTCTTGAATCTGTGATACTGATGTAGACATGGAATTTATAATAACATTTTATATTGTGTAAGCATGGTAAGAGGGCCTATATAACTGGCTGGAATCGTAAATAAATTAAATCTTTTCATGTTAAATTTATTTCTTTTCCCGCTGCTTTTCAGTAGGGGCGGTGTGCCCGTGAAATGAAAAATATAAATTGTGTGGTCTTAAGTAAATATATCGTCATGTATCACTATAATGGTCCGTATGTATTGTGTACCATTTCAGAAGGCCATGTATTCAGGTGCATTGAGAGTTTTAGTGTTTCACCCATTTGAATAAATCATATTTTTGATGACAAGCTGTTTTTTTGTTTTCTCTCACCAAAACTGTTTTAACTCAGCTGAATGTATCGTTTACATGTAGCAGGGCATGAAGTCATCTCTTACCCCATCATGTTGCCGATGGGGTTAATGTCTTTGGTCATGTGGATAAGGCATCCAACCTCAAATCATAAGATTTTTTTTTAATCCCAATATTGGACCCAGAAATGCTATTGCTCATATCTTGTCGCCCAACATAGATTCGAGCCTGTTCATATCACCTTTGAGCTAAATATGTCGCGGTACCATAATATGCAGCCCAGGATGTGCCTTCTGTCAACACAGGAGTAAGTGTCACAGACGTCATCTCAGACACAGTATACTGACTCCGAGCAGTTCAGTCCTTGTTTTATCCCAAAAATGCCGAGTGCCAGGCTGGGTAATATTAAGTACCATATTTAAACATCCTTTGTTATGACACGGCCAAGGATCAAACCACCGACCTTCCGCTCTCTGGGCAGATGTTCTATCCTACAGCTATAGTCCACGGAGGTGGTCTAATTAACCACAGTTCTGGGTTCTGGATTCTACACCGTCATGCTGCAGTGTCATAGGTTATTACAACAACACAGATATATAATAAAAAGATCAACAGTTTATTACAAAAGGTAAAGTTGTATTTAACTATAAATATTAAAATTAGTAAAATAACATGTTTCTTGTTTACAATTATCACATGTCTTTATACATTCAACAAAACCATTGTCATCAGTTTGTCTGCATATGTGTTAGTATAAAAACTGTTAGTGTAGCCATTGTGAAACTGCTTTTGACGGATAATAGCCACTTCTGCCATTGAGTGAGTGAGTGAGTGGGTTTGGTTTGAACACTACTTCCATCATGTCACCTTGATGTGGGAGGACTGAATATATGAACTCTGCCTTACAGTTTCGATTGTTCATATGCCACAATGGTCAACAAAGCATGTCTCCTTGGATTTCACCCATTCAAAATCTCCTGTGGAAGCAAGTTTTGGATGATAAATGAGAATTCTTTCACACTGAAGGCTGTGATTTTGATTCACTTGAAGTTATATTGTGAAAAATCCACTATTCACATTACCTACTTTGATATTCCATCAAAATCATCCATTTCCATAAAAGGCAATTGCAACACAGAATTACAAGGTGTAAGTATAATATTAATATACATATCGACATTATTGCATGACATTAATACATGTATAAATGACATAAAATGCATTATCAATACTTCATGTGTTTGAGCAGTACTGGAAGTACAGTAGTTACTCTGAACCTTCACCTTGAACCTTCACCTTGACCCAAAATATTTCTTTAATATTATGCCTACCAAGAAACTAACACTCGGTTACCGGGAATGCACATATTTAAGCCCGGGGCTTAATAATAGGTTTTATCACAGTTTAGCTGATACTATAACATAGAAAACTAAGCCCTGAGATTAAATATGGAAAATATGCAAATACGACAGTCTCATCCAATTTTATGAACTAAGTCTTCTTAAATTCTGAGGTACAATAAAACACTAATGCTACCCTTAAACACAAAAACATCATGAAATTCAATTGAGGAGTGTGTATCATAAATAAGCCTTAAAAATGCATTCCCGGTACCCATGGACACAAATAAAATTAACATTATTTTTAATAATTCTCTCAGAGAGATATAAGTGCTATATGCTATATGTATTGCACATACTATATGTGTTGCACTTGATAGTCTATACGTATTGCACATGCAGTATGTGTTGCAAATGCTGGCTTACCACCATATTGTTTATACACGATAGGGGCTGGACTTAGTAACTGTTGCACCTTATGAAGGCATCTGTAAGGTGCACCTGTCATTTTCAGTAAAAAAGTGTTGGTGTGTCACGTATACATACACCACTTTCCCTTGACGACAGGTGTATCAGTCAATACACATCGAGAAAACCATGGCAATGAGACTGAAAGTGGGGTATAAGAGCCAATTAAACAGACCACAGTGATAATAATTTTGCAACAAAGCTCCTAACAGTGATACTTTTTTACCTTGATCTCATCTGGGTGGGCTAGGAAGTTGTCATGCAATGCTAGGGAGCTTGTATTGTAGGATGACCTCTTGTTCAAGTAACCACACACCCAAATTAAAGATTATGTATTATCCAAAGTAGAAATCTCACGATGCAGTGAACGTTCACCGTGAACACAAATATTATTGCACTTGTACAACAAAATCATGTTGATCAATTATGACAAATAGCAAAGATTTGTTGACGTGAAATTATGCAAAACAAATCGGAGTAACGTGGTAAATTTGGCTTCCACAACAGTGAAAAATAACAGCCAAAATATAAGGGGGGTAACTCTAACACCTCAAGCACCTTAATTCTACAGTTCGATCTAAATCCAAATGCTACGACTACACCTTACTCTATATAACTCCTGACATGTTCCTGGGAAACTATTCACAGAAGCATCATAAATTTTGAACAAAATGGACGTTATATCATGGACTGTTTAAAACTAAACTAACAACCCAGCGGAAAAATGTTGAATTAATGTTGAATCAATGTTGAAACAATGTTGTGCTTCAGTGTTGTAATTACATTGATTTATGGTTGGATTTGAAAGTTGATGATGTTGATGAAGTCGATGATGTTGAAACGTGGACATTGAATCAACATCAGATATCAATGCTGAAACAAATGTTAGATTTCAATGTGTTTAAAAATATCGAAAGTTAATGTTGAATCAATGTTGAAAAAAAAGTAACATTTCAACATATCTTCAAATATCAAATGATGAAACAATGTTGCTACAACGTTTTTCAACATATTAACCTCTGATCAACCAAATTTTAACCTTGAAACAATGTCATGTGCCTGCTGGAAATATCTTCGCTTGCAAACAATTACTCATCAACTTCTGTCACGTCAATCCCCTGTTTTCTACCATACTGCATGTGATTTAATGCATTGTGTAGCCAACATGTACAGGTAAGAGAGTCTGTGTGTGATTGAGGTTTGTGTGAATATTTTTACTTGGAAGCCTAGTGTCATGTATTTCATCTCACAATATTTATTCTGAGGAGACTCAGGCTTTCATGGGCAGAAGTTCCTATCTGTAACAGGATTCCATAAATAAAACAGTAATTACAACAACAAAAAACAATAAACATTAGAAATGAACAGCCAAACATACAGGTACAATTTTTGGCACCATCTGTTTTGGCATTACCAAAGCTTAAACAAAACAGCGAAATATATTTAAACCTTGTTAGTCTGGGCTCTGTTAAAAAAAACCCTGCCTCTCAGACATTTATTGTCGGCATTGTCTCTATATACATGTACTACTCAAAAGAAGTTAAGGAACACCCAATTATTTCAAGCAACGATAGGTTAACTATGGTAATATGAGTGGGTGAGTGAGTGAGTGAGTTAGGCATAACGCTGCTTTTAACAGTATTCCAGTTACATCACGGCGTGTCAGCTTAATGTGGGAGGAAAGCCCAAGGTGATGCAGGTCTCAGACGTTTACCACTTTGGTGAAACCCAAGAGCACGCGTATGGTGCTGACAAACCTAGAAACATAATTGGGGTGAACCGGGATTCGAACCCATTATCATAGGTTTCTGGCGTGCCCAAGGGACGCAACTCTGTACAGCGAATCGCGGCGCCTTAGACGACTGGGCCACCAGTGCCCCCTATGGTAGTATGAAAGAATTTTGTGTTGTTTTACTTCTTTTCAATAGCGTTTATCAAAAGGTACATAACCACTTTGCAATGATTCATTAAGAGAAAATTCATTATTTTATATGCTATCACTGTGAACCATCTCAATAACAAAGTTATATAATCTTTGTCTTTGGTATGACATATCCCTCTGATGTGGGAAAATGGCGACATTCATGTACCTCATGAGTGCAGTCAAGATTGTTTTTTTTCAACCAGTGACATTGTAAAAACAAACAAAATTCCATAACCCAACCAAACACAATTAATAGCCTTACATAACGATTCTCTCAGTCTGAAACTGATAACAGAAACATGTACAATAACAGCTTTCACGAACATCCACATGGTGTTATCCTGCCTATCAGCTTTCATCTAAATATATATACATGTATTCACAGATCTGTATCTTTTGCTGCTGATAATTAAAAGAAAAAATGCAAAGAACAAAAACAAAATGTACAACTCAAAAGATGTTAAAGAACACCCGATTAAATAACAGATTAAATGTAGTAATATGAAAATCGGATGGTCTTAACTTCGTTCGAGTAATATTATCAGAATAGTTTCAACTAAATTTCTAAAGAAATACTCAACATTTTCCAAATTAACATCAACATAAAAAAAGCAATCAACATTAAGCCTGTAAGCAATGTAAAATGTTGTAAATATGGGTACCGTATTCGACTTAATAAGTGCCCAGGGCGCTCTCAAAAATAGAAATAGGGGGAGTTGAAAGATGACTTTCGTGGTTTATGCTGACAGCCTGAAATGTTTATGTACGGCAGATATATTTTTATAGAATTAATTGCCCATAATTAACACACCAGGGCATATTATACACAAATAGATAAGACTTGAGTACATTGATCAATCGGACGGGATGCTAATTGGGATTGTTCACTAGCCAATATATTAGCAAATACCGCCGTGGGCGCTTATTACATCGAATACAGTAAGTGACACGAACCCCATTGTAAATGTGTAAAATAAATGCACTGCAAACCCTCCAGTAAACGTGGTGAAGATACATCATCGTGTACAAGATGTGAGACTAACTGGGATTATTTCCCAAATGAGTACAAACGACAAAGGCCATTCACGATTACATACTTACATCTTGTTACATCAAAAGAGAAATCCTACCCAACATCACATCTACCTTCTGTACTGCTTTATTTATAGTATTACCTTATTCATCGTACTAAGCGCCTTGCTCCATAAGTGTCAACTTCTAGACCAGTCTGCAAGTAATCTTTAGAAACTCTCCTGTAAGACCAAACACTTATATGACGGTCCATATTTTCTTGTGTAAATGACAGATTTGTTACAGTGCCAGCAGTACAGAATGGGTACATAACATTTTGGTTTCATCGACGTCTGTTCTTTAGCTCAATCTCTAAAAACAAATTTCACTTGAGTATGGTTTTAATCAGCACCCAATTTGGCCAAGGGCATTTTTACAGCAACTACAGCATTATACTGTAGGGATGTTCACTGGTGTTGGCAATATGTTATAAAAACATGATCTATCATCACATGGAGATAAAAAAAACTTTCTAATAATTTATCCTGTTTAAATCTTAAACATTGAAATGAAACATTGAAAACAACAAGAAGTGTTCATGACTGGAGCGTTTCTCATACAACTTTCTATTTAAAATGAGGTTGAAAATAAGTCATGATGATTTTTCCCCATCCAGATCTACTGACTAACAAATTGATAATCATAACATCAATATAATAACCTCTGAACACATTTGTAAATAATACTGACATGCATATTTGATGTAATCTCATAATTCTTTGGTCACCTCCAAATTCAAAATCTCCACAGCAAATCTATACTCAATGTCATTACTGAGGGGACAATAAGAGATAAAATTATTTCAAAAACATATTTTCAACTTCTGACAGTACAGTTCAGTTTTATCTGGAATGAACCATTTTATACCCACATTGACTGTTACTTGTCATGCATTGCACTGCATGGGTTAAACCACTGGTTGAGTTAAGCCATGTGTTTTGGGTAGCTTTTTCCATCACCTTCAATATTGCGCTTTTATATTCTTTATAACAGTCGTCTATTTTAACAGTTTCAAAAAAGCATCCGATCAGTGTGACAAAGGCAAAAAAACCATGTTCTTCAATGGTTAACCACATTGTCAACATACTCAGACCAATTGGTGCTTGTTGGCATTCACCCTAGTTTGCCCTCCAAAAAGTTAAATACTACATCACTTAAATGTTCTTCAGACAACAAAGCCATTTGTTTATCTAATTTCAGATTTGTTGTCAATTGGTTTTGTGAACCAACTAACAAACAAATAGAAGGGCTCAAACAGCATGACGGACAAGACTGTTTCATAAACACTCAAAAAATGGTTACATATTCAGATATTGTTTTGAAGAACAAAAAAATCTGAAATGTCTTTGTTATTTTTCTCACCTACAGGAAATAGGATTACAAACAAAATTTGTAAACCAAGACACTAAAAGCGTTTGTGGCCTATGGACAGTCAAGTTTATACTGGCTTCCACTTGTACCCCATCACTCCTGAAACCACAGAACTCATTTGTTCAATTGTCTCTTCCCTGTTGTCGTCATGGCGATGGAATCTATGCAGCCCTACCAGTATATACTCTCCAGCTTCGTTCCTCCTGATGGCCTCATCAGCATCCACATCATCCCCATCTTCATCATCAAACGTGTCCAGTTTCTTTTCCACAAACTCCAGCTTTGACCACTGTCCAGATTTCTGTGTCGCCATGGTAACAACTGTGGAACACTTGATGCTCCCATGGAACACCAGAGTCCTCAGACCAGAACACTTGGACACCAGGTATCTAAGTTCAATGTCTACATCAGAGGTGTCGGCATAACAGATGAAGTCTTTGAGAGACGACATAAACTTGTCTGTGATGGAGCCAATAATCTGCCCATTGCATCTGGAGTATGGGAGAAAGGTGATAGACTTGAGCGGCACATCAGGACACAGGAGGAGAGAGAGTTCCGGGTTCGGAACCTGGGACATCACGGAACACTCCACCTCCAGTTCCGGACTTGCCAGCACCAATGTCTTCCAGATATCTGATGATATGTCTGGAATCTGAAAGGCTTGGTTGAAGGCCGAATATGTGACATATATCTGTAGCAACTTGAGCCTGCATCTGTCTGGAGAAGACAGCATGGTGAGAATGTCCTCGTTCAACATGGGAGATCTCACAGCAAGGTGAGACAGCTTTTTCAAATCTGGTAGAAATGTCATCAGAAATCGGGGTGATGGTAAAAGAGGCTCTCGCTCAGACCATGCACTGTCGTCTCTCCAAAATAAACTCAAGGATTCTAGATCCTTGAGTTTTTCATTCTTGACAATGGCGTTGAAAATATTGAGGCTATTTTGAGTGAATAACGCTGGATACATTGGCCATGATCTGATATTCAATTGTTTCAATCTAAAAGCATTATTGATAAAATTTATGAAAATTTGTATATCTGACTTAAATGGTGGAAATCCACTTATATCAAACTGGGTGATCAATTTCCCGGCCTCAAGGGTCAGACTCTCCAGACGACAGACTTCGCTAAGTTTTGTCAAAATTAAACGACTGTCATCATCAAAAGTGCTCACATGACCAAATATTTTGATGGTGAGCTTCTGAAACAGATGGCCAAACTTGTCAATCATCTGGACCAGTCTGTTTGGAATATAAGTGTTACTGAGTGAGAAGTTTGTTGACCCTCCCGTCAAGTTGACCTTGACATTGCTCCACAAGGAGGGGTGATAGAAGTGTTGGTACAATGCCTGACAGGTGATGGACAAGCTGTATCTGTCCTTCAGTTGTAGATACTGCATAATCTGAACCCATGCCACCTCTGGAAGCAGACCAAAGTCGTAATTCTCTCGTCCTGCATCCACAGGAATCTCACCTTCGGCAACCTCCATGGCTTTGCCCAGTCTTGGTTCAGTACTAGAAAACAGAAAGAAAATTCTAAGCAATACAAATATACTACCATATTTTCTTGAGTATAGTGCGCACTTTCTTTCCCGAAAACACAGCTGTGAATAAGGGGGGGTGCATTATACACGCCATGATGAGTTTTGAGTTTTTTACCCCCAATGCAAAGACCTTACTGAGAGCACATAACACTGGAAATACCATGTCAACAAATCCCTACTGAAGTAGGCAAATTAATCGTGTAATTACACTGTCTAGCTATAACAAGTGTTCATTGTATATCCGGACTTATGTTTGTAACTTATTTCATTAATTTTATTCACATTTTATGCATAACATTTGCGCTTTTGGTTCCGGCGCCAGCACTGGACAGTCTAAGTGATACAAACGGTCAATTTTTTATGTCAAATGTTCGCACATTCTGAATCCTACGCAGACCTCAAGGTTAATATTTTCCTTGGGATACACCGGGTCACATTGTTATTTTCCAAGCTAAAACAATGTTTAAGACACAAACAAAATTTCACAAGGAGTAATCATTTAAATATTTAAACAATGTAGATCCAGTTTCACAGTCAAGATAAAAATCCCAAAGAGTAGAAACTGGTCGATATTTGAAATAGTTTTGATAGGTTTTGTATTGCATCAGACACATGGGTTCCTCGTCTAACCAGTGTATCATATCTCAATTCTGTTGCGATAAATACCCTACGCCCTTTCACTACCATAGGATAAATTTAGAAATGATGTCAGTCACTGGTCACAAAGGTGACTTCATGAAAGTGAGAGATTGAGTGAGTGCATTCAGTCTAAACGCACTTTGAACAGTATCTCAGTTATTTCACAGTGTGTCAGCTTCATGTTGGAGGAAAGCTTGAAATGAATCACGTCTTAGACGTTTATCACAAGCACAGGAATGGTGCTGACAAACCTACAAACATAATCAGGTCAAATCCGGGATACTAACCCACGATCATAGGCTCCTGGAATACCTAAGGGACAAAACTCTGCACCACAAATTGCAACTACTGATAGATGAGTTGGTCACCTGTGCCCCTACTTCATGATAATCATTGAAATGTAGAGGTTGGTTGCACTGCAACCAGATATGGCCACCTAACCCAGGGCTCTTCAGATTCAATATTACAAGTACCGTATTCGACGTAATAAGCGCCCAGGGCGCTCTCAAAATAAGAAATAGGGGGGCTCTTATTAGAATATTATTTTGGTATAAAAATAAACAGAGTTGAAAGATAAATTTCGTTGTTTATGCTGTCAGCCTGAAATGTTTATGTATGACAGATATATTTTTCAAAATTAAATGCCATAATTAAGGGTGCATAACACACAAGTGCGTATTATACGCGAATAAATAAGTCTTGTGTACATTCATCAATCGGAAGGGGTGCTAATTGGGATTGTTCACTAGCCAATATCTTAGCAAATGTCGCCGTGGGCGCTTATTAGAGCGGGGCGCTTATTACGTCGAATACGGTATTATTAATTAATTTTACTGGTTCAATACAATTTTCCTTTTTGGAGCCCTATGTACAGCTGTGCATGCCTATATATGTTTTCATTATCATGATTGTCATTAAAACCAAAATGTCTAGGATATTACTTTTTCCGTTTTTAATGCATGGGTACCCGGTAGGATGTGGTGGTAACGTGACTGTCACCTTTCTAGAGCCTGAAGGCAGCTTTGGTTGTATCAAGGACACGTAAGGTCCATGGCTGTATACTCAGCAGGGAGCTGAGACTGAAATGGAGTGCACATGCACTGATCCACTGACCGGGGTACTAATAATGTACGTAGTGCCAAGAGCATTTACTTAATTGTGAGTGGGGGGCGGTTGGGTAGCCTAGTGGTTAAAGCGTTCGCTCGTAACGCCGAAGACCCAGGTTCGATTCCCGACATGGGTACAATGTGTGAAGCTCATTTCTGGTGTCCTCCGCCGTGATATTGCTGGAATATTGCTAAAAGCAGCGTAAAATCAAAACTCACTCACTCACTACTTGTGAGTGGAATTTGGGGCACTGTAAATATGGGCTTATCAATATCTAGGGTTGGCTAAAAAGATTGATAATCTGAATGATCGTCGATGAGAAGAACTATTAACTATTATCTATATTGTTGTCATTGATAATAACATATACATAAATTATTGTGATGAAATAGATTTAGATTTACTGGTCATGCATACACTGAAGTTGATTGAAGTTTTATAACTTTATGCAAACATATAAAGTTAGTAGGAATGTGTACATAGTCAGAAAGATATGTGAACACTTGTCACTTATAGTGTAACCATAGAGTTCTAGCAACAATATAATCACGTGACTAACCACCGGTCCGCGATGTCCTATGGGTACCCGGGTCCTACTCAGTTCCCATCCGACCCGAGTACCCGAGTTACCCGTCCCAGCCCTTATACTCTATCGACACAACATAAACACAAACTATGACAATGTACAACAGTTTGTCGGTTAAATGACTCAACCACCGAAAATAACTTTCAAGTTTTAAAAGATAAATACATAATGCATCACCATTCAAGATAATGAAACTACGATACTAAGAAACCCTACTTCCGGGATACTGCGTATATAAGTGGAACAAAGTAAAGTTGAAAAAGATTTTCTGTTGATTTTAAACACATCTGATAAACATACCTTATAACATTGTCACCTGAAACCGAGGCAACGCCTCACACACATCTGAGGTTTGTCCGTATCTAAACCAACCAAGTAAATTCCGGACACGGGAATCTCCCTATGTCATTTCTAAAAATAGACCAAATGCGGATGCGTTCGTGCGATTTTTCGTGTTCTGGAAACACAGGTTGAGCAGGGAATCGTAACCACGCGGAGCCCACTGTGGCCTATTTGAATCTGTTTCGAACACAAAAATTATAGAAGTCGACTGTTTGTGGCAGTTTATGCATCAAATCCTCAAAAACAAATTATTCGTTGTTAGTTTTGTTTTTGTTTTAGGTCAAAGAAAATATCATCAAAACAAATGTAATTATGTTGTCATGCTCAACTGGGCATATGTGGCCATAAATTATTGGGGTGTATGTCATGTTGATGTGGTGTAAGGTGTATAACTATCTCCCAGTCATGCGACACGCCCTCGGTGAGAAACCGCCTCCGTGATCTGGTGGAGGAAGTCTGCCCGAAGAACGGAAGGTCGATGCATGTTTTGAACCAAGGCTGCGTATTACCAAAAATCGTTAAATTATACTTGTTGTTACCTTGCCTGGCAGTTGGCATTAAGGGGCTAAAACAAGGACCAGTGGGCTCGGAGTCAGTATACTGTGTTTGAGTGGGGTATCAATGTTAAACTGTGACGTGGGATCACAATTAATGAGCTTGCACGTTGCTATATATATAAGTGCACTTATCTTGAACGCGAAGTGAAACCCCTCATCTTTAGTCAACAATACACTATTTTTCATATATTCATATGTTTGATTGGTTACTAATACTTTGTCGTAAAATCGTTGAATAGTATGAGTGAGCTGGGTTTAACGCCGCTTTTAACAGTATTCCAGTTATATCACGGCGTGTCAGCTTAATGTGGGGGGAAAGCCCGAAGTGATACAGGTCTTAGACGTTTACCACTTTGGTGAAACCCACGAGCACGGGCATGGTGCTGACAAACCTAGAAACATAATCGGGGCAAGCCGGGATTCGAACCCACAATCATAGGTTTCTGTCGTGCCCGCGTGACGCAACACTCCACAGCGAATTGTTGCACCTCAGATGACTGGGCCACCCGTGCTCACGAATATTGTTTATGAAGAACATTGATCAACATATGACAAATCAACGTGCTTCCAAACTCTCATATGAAATGCATTTAATTTCTTTCTCCATATCACAAATTTGGTGAAAATGTTAGACTTATTTGGTTATCTTCTCGAGGCAAGGGAGTTGACTGACTGAAAAAGTCCAGTTTCCATCCTTGCCGAACCAGGCTGCAATTTTGGGGTTACATTTTGGCTGGATTAACGAGTCTATGCATAGTCCAATCAAAATCGCGTTACGAACTAGACATCCAGTATTACCCATAGGCTTTTTTTTCTAAGAAAATATAGGAAAACATGGGTATGCTGATCACCCGTGGAGGTATTAAATTGAGGAAGACAATGAAAAAAATGGATGAACTAGCTAATCAGCATGAATCAAAGTTAATAAAATATTTTCACTGATAAACGTGTTTCTGTGGGCAAAATAGCTTTAGAGAGGGGTGTTTCTTTATTTAAATCAGACTGCGAATTCACCGTGCATGACCCCTCGGGCTCGTACCGAAAAGTCATTTGTATTATTGGAGAAAAATATTGGACGCTGATATTGACAGTTCAATACAATCGTCAAACCTCGCCCCTTTCCTTGGTCTATCTTCAAAGTTAACTTAAAGCTGCAAGACACGGAAACAAAGTGCGGTTAGGAGCTGCACTTTTGGTGATGTCGGGAGCTTAACACCGACAACGAGAGTTAGCTCCCTTTGTAAACACGCTCTGTCATGATGTGTTGATTGTTGATACTTCGTCTTGCAGAACAGAAGAGATCGTAGTTAGGTATAACTTTCTATTCGAATGTTAATGTTAGTTGATACAACTATAGATATACACAAATTTTAATTATTTATGCTTTGTATACGAAAGTCAATCGAGCCGAGAATAATCTCACGGTGCCATATGACTTGACGACGTTTGCGATTAGAGTGAGTGAGTGGATAGTGTTTTAGGCCACAGTCAGCTGTTTTTTTCAGTAGCCTGACCAGCGATCTTGTTGGTACGATGATACACAAGCAGCCCGGTCATACATGGTTGTGAACAATTCTCGGAAAATCTTTACTTAAGATACTAATTCTTTGAATGTGAGTGAGTTGGGTTTAACGGCACTTTTAACAGTATTCCAGTTACATCACGGCGTGTCAGCTTAATGTTGGATTAAAGCCCGAAGTGATGCAGGTCTCAGACGTTTTACACCTCGGTGAAACACACGAGCACGGGTATGGTGCTGACAAACCTAGAAACATAATTGGGGCGAACCAGGATTTGAACCCACAATCATAGCTAGGTTTCTGGCGTGCCCAAGGGACGCAACTCTGCACAGCGAATCGCAGCCCTTAGACGACTGGCCAACCCGTGCCCCCTCTTTGAATGTATGACAAAGTATATTAATTAACAAACTGTGCAATGAAAAGAATGCTCATTGTTAGGAGAATGAAAATCTCAAAACAGTCTTTAGATCAAGTATGATTTTTGTATTCAGTCGACTGAAGAAATATAAGCATACAATTTTGTAGTGTCTATCGATGTTTGACGTTTAGTTCACCAAAATGGAGACTAAAAAGACAAATTTTCACACCCTGTTCTGGCTATCAAAATGTTTTTTCCTCCTGTTCAAAATATTATCAACATTAAGATTCTAACCACAGACCTTCTGATCCGAGGTTGGACGCTTTGTCCACATGACCAAAGAGGTTAACCCTGTCAACAAGATGACAAGGTAGGATGTCGTCTGTGGGATGACTCCACACCCTGCTACATACTCCCCAGTCAACAGAAGGCACGTCTCGGGCCACATTGTAGGGTACTGAGACAAGCTCAGTCCCATTACTGGCACCAATATTGCGTCCATAAAATTTCTGAGTCATGTGATGGGATTCAAACCACGGACCTTCATATCAGAGGTCGGACACCTTGTGCACATGACCATTGAGGTTAACCTCGTCAGCAAGCTGACAAGGTAAGGATGTCATCTGTGGGATGACTCCATGCCCTTATACAATTGCGTAAATATCTATAGGTCATAACAAATTAGTTTTGTTCATACAAAATACTATATTCAAAGAATGCATTAATTACAGACATATATTAAAAAAAGTTTTCAGCAAACTCATCAGCTGTATTGGGTAAGGGCCTGTCTGTTGAAGATTTACCCAACATTGTTAAATATCATATTTTGCAAGAAATATCTTCGGAAATGTTTGTAAATTAAAACCAACAAAACACTTCCCATACCGGTAATCATAATAAAAGCAGAGTCCATTGTATGATTCCAACTATATCATAACCATGTGTTTATGAATCTCTAAAGTAGAGATACTGGCAGGTGTTTGCAAACAAACATGGGAATGCATGGTACATGTTAAAAAAGGAAGTTTTGTTTGTTTGTTTGTTGTTTAACGCTGCACTCAGAAATATTCCAGCTATATGACGGCGGTCTGTTAATAATCGAGTCTGGACCAGACAATCCAGTGATTGATATCATGAACATCCATCCACGCAAGTGGGACACAATGACATGCATCACTAAGTCAGCGAGCCTGACCACCCGATCCCGTTAGTCGCCTTTTACGACAAGCATAGTCACCTTTTACGGCAAGTATGTTTACTCGTGGGGAATCAAACCCTAAAATATTATCTTGACGGGCTCAAACTTGTGAGCTTTATACCATGTTATAAGAGACTGGGTCATTTATTAGAACAGTGTATTAGAGAGGATCGAGATTGGTCTACATTATTTCATGACCCCTCCCCCCCCTAAACTTACCAGTCTCTACCCTAAATAATGGTAAAATCTATTTTGTTCTTTTTGAAAGAGATATAACTGTCAATTGGTGCCTCTTACGACAAGCATAGTCACCTTTTAGAGCAAACATAAGTTGCTGAAGACCTATTCTACCCCGGATCTTCATGGGTCAAAATAGGAAGTAAGTGAGTTACATTTAACGTTGCTTTGAACAGTATTCAAGTTCTATCACTGCATATTAACTTAATGTTGAAGGAAAGCCCAAAGTGATGCAAGTCTCAAATGTTTTCCCTTTGGTGAAACCTAGAACCATGATCAGAACAAACCAGGATTGAGACCCACGACCATAGGTTACTGGCGTGCCCAAGGGATGCAACTCTGTACAGCAAATTGCAGCACCTTACACAACTGGGCCACCTGTTTCCCCTTAAAAAAGCAAACTTAAAATGCGTGAACCTTGTATGTTTTGTATATTTTCTCAATTAACTTTTTGAAGCTTTCCTACTTCCCAGAATGCTGTAACACAGGTCACATTTAAAGACAAAACTTAATATTCATGTTCTTTGTTCACAGTCCACAATGAAATAGACAGAAGAACTACAAATTACTATTATGTCTACCCTGGAGCAAGAGTTGCACAATGCAGTGAGGGGTGGTCAACTGCCCCAGATTCAATCTTTGCTCAAGAAAGGAGCCAAAATTGATGGCATCTACTATGGATGGACGCCACTACAGCAAGCCATTGATGTTGGTAGGTGTTAAGAAAAATAGGGAATTGAACATGTTGAAGCGTGGAATTATTTCCCTTTTGTCTAGAACAAGGAACATTTTGTAGTAGCACCAGAAGTGTTCAAAAGTAAGCGTGAAAAAAAAAGTGATAGTTGTTTTAACCCTAATGTAAAAGGTATTTTTTCTCAGTGTTAATTGTGTTCAGGCATGTTGGAAGGGTAGAATCTAACATTTTTAGTCCACTAGTCCTTACAATGATAACATATAGCAAAACCCTTAAAAAATGGCAAATTTCTACTGGTCCTTATGATACCTTAACTATTGGCCAGTTTGGCAAGGACTACAGGACTAGTGCCAATTTCTAATGCTGCATGTAGGGGAGAAGGATTGTTCTTTAAAATACAATTATCACCTATTTGTGACATGTTCTACTCTGTGTTGTTGTACTATATATTCAAATTTCTTCCCAAGGAAATGAAGATGTGGCGATATTTCTAATAGGGGAAGGCTGTGACATCAATTACCATGACAACAACCATCTGGCACCGTTTGAGAATGCTGTCAGAAAGAACCTGGCCAAAGTAAGATTCCTTAGACTGAATCCTCCTGATGCCGTCCTGTTAATGTAAAAAGGGACAGGTTTGCAAAGCTCCAGATAAGCTGTGTATTTGTGTAAAATATCCACAATAAATCACCATGACCAAATTACTATTGAGTTGCTTGCACACAAATATGCATGAAGAAATTTGATACCCCAATAGTATAACAACACTGGCTTAATTACCCAGCTTGCATTCATGCATGTCTTTATTTAAGGATTGACTGTGTATTTTTTTTCAGCAATGCTTATAATTAAATTCGACAACGAAAACATACAATAGTTTAACCCAAAAGAGTTGTATGTATCAAAACAGACGAAAATGACGAGATTCATAGACATGACAGTTGAGGAGCTGAGGCCTGCACGTTTGCTAGTTCATTCCTTCTCGGTCTCAAAGGGTTGTTTAGGTAATGAATATGCATGAATTTTGCTAAATATCTTGTGCATGACGATACACATGAGCAGAAAGGGAATTCTCTCGACTGTAATATTGGGATTCCCGCACATTCCGTAGTTATGTAACTGTGACATGTCCCTGTTTAACATATTAAAAGCCAGTGCCAAAACAAAATTCTGTCTTAAAGGTTGATTGCCTGTTTATTAAACATTGAGATACACAACTTGAAGGGTTATTTCTGCTGTTTGTGAAGAAGATAACTGTTAGTGGGTAAGTGAAAACATTGTGCAAGGGCGGTTTCAGCATTTTTTAAATGGGTGGGTTCCGGGGGGGGCGGGGTCTGGACCCCCTCTGGATCCGCCTATGTTCTGTTGGTGAAGACTAAATCGCTATTTATGACTTTAAGGTGTGTGAAGTATTCCTGAAGAAGGGCATCGATGGTAACCTTGCGTTGTCGGATGGGGAGACCCCGCTGAATGTTGCTGTTGAGAAAGGCAGCACCAAGCTGGTCAGTGTGCTGGTCAATGAAGGTAATGTATCAGCTAACATGACTCTCTCATAGAAGATAAAGACATTCACTTTGTCATGGATTACTCTTTGTAATGACGCTCTTGCTCATTTCTTGTCACCATTTGTTCAAGAAATAAACAACTAGTGGGTTTTGATAAGAAGTACAAGCTTAAAATTTTTAACCAATTTTTGATAATGATGATACCCACAATAGAATCCGACCTCGGAAATGTCATTTTATGAACAGGTGGGCTAAGTTTGGTATTTCCCGCATATTCTCACAATCCTCACGTCGATGACATGTACCTTTTTTCCTAATACCAACTGTCAGATCTCTCCCACTTTTGGATGCGGTTGCTTGGTCACTGCTTTATCTGTGCATCCCAGCTACATCTCTGGGGAACAACTCACAAGACACTTGACTCAAAGTAACGTCGCCCAATATATGACGTCATCAAGTTGCGAGCGCATATTTGAATCACCAGAAATTACGTCATGATAGAACGTTTTTTTATGAAATAAAGACATGCTTCGTTCTTCATTGCTCTTTGTGACTTATCACGTAGCTCTCTCAGGATTTATTCTCCCTGCATTGTTTAATTGTACAATCAACGATCATGAGTCGTTTATTTCTATCTAGTTATTACTTAGGGTTTCTGTTTCTCAGGGAAAGTTGACCTGAGCTGTAAAAGCAAGCGAGGACAGTCGCCACTGTACGTGGCGTGCTCCGAGGGCCTGACTAAGATTGCCTCCATGCTGGTGACCTCAGGGGCAGATGTCAACTTTGTCTGTGACGATGATGGGCAGACTTCACTCATTGCTGCAGCTAGCAGCGAACACCTGGATGTCGTCAAGCTTCTCTTAAAAGTAAAGTTTCTATTCTAGCTTCATTAGATGGGAAAGATTCTGACTCACAGTAATACTACATTTGTAATTAGTTTTGCTGGTGAGTGGGTATGCTCTAACATAACTGAAATACTGTATACTTATAGTGATGAGTGAGTATGGTTTTACACCAGTGTTAGCAAATTTCCAGTAATATTTTGGTAGAGGGCTTCACACATTATACCCACATGGGTAATCCAACTCTGCCTTCAGCATTTCAAGCCTATGGTTTAGCCACTAGGCTACCCCACCACCCCTACTACTGTGCTGGTGACTTTGCTTGTCGTAAGAGGCGACAAACAGGATCAGATGGTCAGGTTCGCCGATTTGGTTGATGCATGTCATCGTTCCCAATTGTGTGGATCGATGCTCATATCAATCGCTGGATTGTCTGGTCCAGACTCGATTATTTATTGACCCCCGTCATATAGCTGGAATATGGCTGATCGCGGCGTTAAACAACAAACAAACAAATACTACTGTGCTATACATATTTGTGATTAATGCTCGGCTTGGAGGACTGCCTGCTTGGTCTTGTGAATAGAGTGTATTCCCAGAGATTGGAAGGTCGGTGGTCTGAAGTATTCATGTTATAATGCAGCATGGTATGTCAATGGGCTAGCACTTTAACAAACCATTAAAATGACTAACAGGAATTCAACATTAGCCAATAAAAAAATAGCTTCCTAGAGTTTTACAGCAGTTGTTTCAAAATGGCAACTTCAGTTCGTGACTATGCTTTGGAAAATATTTTGATAATGTTCTCAATGCAAAACTTGAAAACTGAAAAAAAAAGTATTCTGGAATGTTTAATAGATGGCCGAAATTTTATTGGCAGTACTTCGCCCGGGCAATGGAAAGTCTTTTCCGTTTCATATGTTTATGGTTTTTGAAGCAAGAGATGGACAATGTCTAGCATTCAGAATCAATCTACAGCCCGTAGCTGACATTCGGTTAGGCCTCTGTTAACCTTTTCGGGGTTGCATGATTAGAAGACACATTAAGAATTTCACGAGCTCATAAGCAACACTCTGAATGGTTGGATGAAAGGTCGTTCTGACGCTATCTCTAATGGGATGTCGTTAGATCTTTGTGTTGGGGGACAGGGCACTAACATCTGATTTTAATTCAATTCTGGTAACATGGGTGTGTGTTGCTAGTAAACACTGTGCCAGGGTATGCTTGTGATACAGTGTTTAAAACAATTTTAAAACCCTAAAAGTGACCAAAAGTGGGCAGGTGACCTTCAGATATTGCCTGCCCATCTTCAAAGTTACCAGCCCACATTCAGACATTATAAACTTTGAAAAAAAAACTAAAAAAACTAAGAGACAAATCTTGATTCAGTTGAAATAATGCAAACAATTACATGTACTTGAGAATCTATGAGGAGTTCTGATAAAACTGAATACGTAAGTGGTCTTATTTGAAAGACAGTCGGGCAGGTTGAGACAAATTTTATGCACCCTGACAGAAATTATTCGAGGCGCAGGCAGACAGGCAGGCAGTTATGTCAGACACTGTTGTGATGGGTCCAAATCCCAGATGCTGAGTTTGTCTGTACCATACCCATGCTCATGCTACACTGAAGGGGTAAATGTTTGTGCATCAGGATGGGTTTTCCTCCCACAATTTGACATAACATGATCTGACTGAAGAACAGCTCATAGTGGCATTTAAGTGACATTTAACTCACGCACTCACAGAAAAGTTGACATTGTTTCCCTCTTCTGTGCAGTACAACGCAGACGTGAACCTCCAGGACACAGATGGGTGGACGGCGCTGTGGCATGCTTACACCAACAGCAGCGAGGACATCATCGAGCTGTTGCTGAAGGCGGGGGCAGACAGAAACATCCCCAACAGCGACGGCCTCACCATCATGGAGGACGCCAGGGAGAATGAGGATGACGAGATGCTGATCTTGTTCCAGAAGTATCTCACATGACACTCGTCCAGAGCTTCACAATCTCAAAACACAATGAAAGTCCACTTTTTGTGTCATGACAAGCTTTTCACATTTCAATTTCAATTATAGGTTCGGGTGTTTGTTAGTTTAACCCATGCTCAAAAACCGGCATTTGTCTCACTCATCACTTCACATTTAGCCATGGGTAATCTTCAATCAATATGGTATCATACTTCGCTCTTATGATTATCAACCAATCAAAACATGTGACACAAAGATGTGGCACTGATTGGAAAGGGAGGTAACTCCAGTGTGCACAGACTGTTGCACTGATAGGGAAGGGAAGTAACTCCAGTGTGCAGAGATACCTAAAGAGAAGGTGAAAAAGTTTGGTTGAGAGAAATTAAATATATAGGCTCCAGAGCTCCAGATATGCTTCTTATTTGCATAAAATATGAAAATATTATTAGCATTACCCAATTAATTGTAAATGAGTTGCCATCACATACTATGAAATGACATATAACAATCTTAGTGCTAAGATCACTTTTTGGAACAGTGTCCTGGCCTTCTGCAATCTCATTAAAGTCAGACCTTAGTTCTTGCTACTGCTAAACAAAGATCTGAGGACATCCCATTACGGGTCACGTCAGACCGACCTTGCACGAACTTTGACTTTCTCGTGCTTTACGGCACTAATTTCAAATTGGCGACTACGTATCGAAACATATTTTGACAAATTCTCGATTACAAATTTGAAACCTAAACAAAAAAACATTCTGGAATGGCTGATAGATGGTCTAGATTGTATATATTCAGTAACCTGTAACTATCGTTTGGAATACCCCATGTTAAAGTTTTCGAGGTTGTATGATTAGAAATCACATTCCGACTGTCACTTTCATGATCTGGTAAGCGATGCTCTCATTGGTCGGATGAAAGGTCGTTCTGATGTGACCCCTAATGGGATGTCTTCAGATCTTTGTTTAGCGGTAGCGAGAACTAATGTCTGATTTTAATGAGATTGGGCCTTCTGAATCGTGTACTGATCTGCCAGTAAAGAGTAACGTGACTCCTGGCCCCTGTTTCATAAAGGTATTGTAGCACTACAACACTCGTAAATATATGTTAAAGTATGTGAGTTAATATATCCATAGCGCTTTGTTGGACGGGGCCCAGTAGTTCAACCTAAGCAGGATAATCCGAGACTTTACTTTTATTATGCATTTCCATGTTTCAATGGGTATCATGTTTTTTATTGGGAGAGGGTTTCCAACTTGTTCTGCTTGTATTATTATCCCATCGTTTACTGAAAAGGTATTATTTGTCATTTCAATGTTGTTTTCTAACTTTCCACACAACACCCTCTGTAAATAATTCTAATTTGATGGAATCGCAAGGTCTCAAATATAACGTGGCCCTTTTTCATTTCATTCCATATTGAACCATCTTCTCGAGGCAAGCGTGTCCACTAACCTATATCAAGGCCTAGTTTCTACCCTTGCCTCATCAAGGCCGTTTTTCTTGGCTCAACCCTGGCGCCACCTCGCGTAGATCATGAGTTGTGCCTCTTGTAATGAAAACGTGATATCCAATCAGATCGCTGTTCTTATTCCGTATGGCTTCACAAAGTTGGCGACTACCATAGGCGACAACCTAGTCGATCAGATAACGAAAACATTCACATTTCATTTCTGACGCAAAAACATAGGCAACCGATGGGGGGTTTGAAAGATGAAAAAGACATAATCGTATCAAGAAAGACAGGCAGCAGTAAATCACCTTCATACGAAGGTGTACAATCGTGGATGTTGATTTTGTGAAACGTTCTCTGATTGGACTATCGATATGTGCGATAGTCCAATCATATTTAGCACAGAAAAGTGGGCTTGATGTGGCAAGGGTGGAAACAAGACTTCGGTAAAAGGGCTAGTGGACGCGCTTGCCTCGGGAAGATGATATGGAGCATGTTGAATGGCTTTGCTTTTACTTTGGTCAGTTGTATATGACATACTACAATACGATTGTATCTGTTATAAACAGCCCATAAGTGTAATTACTGAACTTGCAGTACTTACATGTTGTGTCTGACATGTTTCATGATTCAGAATATACAAAATGAATTTATGATTATAATATTTGACTTTTTTATCACAACAGAAGGAACATATCTTTTGAGGTAACAAAAGGTCCAAACTGAATTTTTTAAAATTAGTTCATGTACAGGGTGTTCATATCATATGCATAAACACCATTGTAAAATATGTCGAAGTTGGATTAAAAACGTATATCTGAATGCCAACAGTTTCCAACAAGTCAAATTTCTGAAACGGTGCTAGTATTTTATCTATGATCTTCATAGCACACCCAGTTAACATGTGATGGCCAAAGTGTGCAGTCACGCGTACCGGTACCCTCTCTTGGGTAGTCACCTGTAACATCCTCTACTGGTTAAGCACTATCCCTACAATAAGTGCGCTATCCCTACAATAAGTGCGCTATCCCTACAATAAGTGCACTATCCCTACAACAAGTGCCTTCTGGAAACTGTCTGAGGATGGCGGCAAGTGTACAGGAACAAGGCATTGCTTGCTCCCATGTGCCAGTACTTAACTCACAACCATTCTAACCAGACTAAGTTAGAAAAGCGATCTTGTGGTCAAATCGGTTCTATTTAGGAGATAAACCTGTGTTTTCAAAAAGAATTTGGAACCAAATGTGCCGCGTGGACTCTAAAACTAGACATACATTCCCTTAGTCAATTTCTATCATGTTTTTTGCTCAAAATGTATTACCAAAACATACTTTGAATATTGTACTAATCACAAATCTGCATTTTGTAAGTTATAACTGTACATATTATTAATTACAAATAACTACCAACAATTACTGAGAAAGAAGTACTTTTGTTTTAAATATTAGCGTCTGGCTGTTTCAGTCAGAGGTGATTATTGTGATTTAATACCTCTAATGGACCAATTAGAATCGACTAATTTTCAAACTTATTGTAGAATTCTTGTTTTACAGAGTAGGACTGTCATTCTGCATGCATTATATTATTCTTTCAACTGTTGGGTGTTATTGTTCATACTTAACAAGTAATATTACATTCCGTCCTTGTGGATATTTTTTATTGTTGGAAGAAATGTTTAATTTCTATATTTGCAAAAATTGGAATAAATTGAATTACATTGTGGAATTGCTTTGTCTGTTGTTTGTTGTCAGTTTCAGATAAGGTAAAATTTAAGAAAACTTCACTTTGCAAAATCAATGATTTCATGGTCATAATTGTTCAGGGATTAGATTACAGAATGTTAACATCTTTTGCCATCCTGATTATCTGACCGCCTCTGTGGTCTGGTGGTAGAGCGTCCGCCCAGAGAGTGGAAGGTCCAGGGCTCGATCAACGGCCATGTCATACCAAAAAAGACATTAGAAGATGGTACTTGTTGTACCCTGTCTGGCGCTCGGCATGAAGGGGCTAAAACAGGAACTGGTTGGCTCGGAGTCAGTGTACGGTGTCTGAGTGGGGTATTCATGCTAAACTTTGGCATGGTATCTGAGTGGGCTAAGTGCAATAATCTTGGACGTGGCATTAAACCCCATTTCACCTCACCTCACCTCTAGATTATCTGTGGAATGTTAAAATGTTACACTTGTGGAATGTTAACATGTTTTTCTTGTGGAATCGGGTGGTCAAATTCTTTGACTGGTTATGTGTCATTGTTGGTTGGTTTGTTGTTTAACGCCGCACTCAAAACATATTCCAGCTATATGACGGCGGTCTGTAAATAATCGAGTCAGGACCAGACAATCCAGTGATTAATATCATGAGCATCGATCCACGCAATTGGGATCGATGACATGCATCAACCAAGTCAGCGAGCCTAACCACCCGATCCCGTTAGTCGCCTTTTACGACAAGCATAGTCACCTTTTTACGGCAAGCATGGGTTGCTGAAGACCCATTCTACCCGGGAATCTTCACGGGTGTTATATGTCATTGTATAGATGGCATGGGACGTTACTCACGCTATTAACCACTGGTTGATTACATGTCACTGGAATATTGATGAATGGGGCGTAACACATTCACTCTCACAATCTATGCATACACACCACATACACAAAATATTCAGTGTCAAATAGCGTGCATATTCTATTAAACGCTCTTGGAAGAAGACCTAATTCATGTTTTCTTTATACTTCATGACGTTCATTTTGCGTTTGGGGCGGTCGGGTAGCCTAGTGGTTAAAGCGTTCGCTCGTCACGCCGAAGACCCGGGTTCGATTCCCGACATGGGTACAATGTGTGAAGCCCATTTCTGGTGTCCCCCGCCGTGATATTGCTGGAATATTGCTAAAAGCGGCGTAAAACCATACTCAGTCAGTCAGTCAGTCATTTTGCGTTTACACTGAATTGTTCCTCAATACCACTCACAGGGAACAGTGGTGCATTTAGGGCCACATTTCCGTGATCTGATTTGCATCCTTTCATCGCAGGTTCGAACATCAAAATTACCCTTTTATGATTCTTGGTCTTGTCAGAAGCTACATTTGCTCATTGTTTTTCATAAAGTGGTATTTAAACCTCTACGATCTCCATTAGTTTAAGATTCCTTTGGAGTGAGTGAGATGGGTTTAACACCGCTGTTTACAGTATATATCGCTGTGTGTCTGCTCACGGACGTATATATACGTCTTTGGTCTGCTTAATGTGGGAGGAAAGCGCGAAGTGATGCAGGTTTCAGACGTTTACCACTTTGGTGAAACCCAAGAGCACGGGTGGTGCTGTCAAACCTAGAAACATAATCGGGGCGAACCGGGATTCGAGCCCACAATCATACGTTTCTGTCGTGCCCAAGGGACGCAACTCTGAACAGCGAATCGCGGGGTTATGGGCCGGAAGAGCGAAACCTAGCCATAATCAACTCTAAAATCTATTCGCTTTCGTGAAGCTACAGTAAGACTGGTCACGCTACAGTAAACACGGGATATTGCTGTACCGGGACTCTCAAATTACAAGAAAAACACAAAAATGCGTATACCGTATTTACAGTAGTAATTTATTAGATGCTGAAGTATAGTATAGTTGCACAAAAGTACTTTACATTAATTTTAACAAATTTAATAACTCTAATACTTTAATATTTCATAGATGTACATTATAATTTCTACAAAAACAACAATAACTTATATCTTAAATTATGGTAAATACATAAATACATTCTATAATAAATTTGTCATTCACTCCAAGTGGATCAGGTCACCAACGTGATCTGTGTACTCAACGTCGCCGATGACGTTGTTGACGAGATTGTCTTCCAGAGCCTGAAGACGGTTGTCAACCAGCCGGTATCTTCTCTTTCTGGGTGGTGCTGACCAGTGGATGAGCTTGGACTTGAAAGATTCCATCTCATATTGGATAGGTTGGTGGGTATGGTTCGCCTGCAATTAAATAATTGCATTTTAACTAATATTAACTATAAACAAATACATACATGTGACAAATACCTGTGGTATCTAAAAATAAGTAATAATAATAAGTAAAATAAATAATTGAATAGTTTGTTAAGCAAAGTCTTTTGAGTCTATGTCTTTAAGTTTATTATCATCATGATCATGTGGATTATTTTCTAACCTGCAAAGCCGCTTGAAGAATGCCGTTTTCAGTGATCACCGACGCTCTGCAGGCAGCAACAACGCAGTTCCAATACTTCTTCTCACGGACCGTTTTCTTACAACGAAACTTGAATCCCTCATAAAACAAGTGCTGACCACCTCGCACGGTATCAACCATGGTCACTCGAACTTGTGCATTAGCAATTTTGGACATAGATAATGTTGTTGTTGCATTAGGTGTTTAAGAGGTCGCCTTCTGCCTAGGCAATTTCGGCTGACCTGTCCCTCTTTGGGACTCCTGTGTGTGAGAAGGGTTCACATATCTATTGTGAGTTCGGTGTTCACATAATTTCTGTTTTTGCATTGTTATGATTTCTATTTTCTTATATTGATATGATTTCATTTTTATCCTTGGCTGTTCTGTTTATATACGTTCGAGCAACTGTCCATCTCTCAGAAATAGAGTTAGTTTGGCCTTCGCTATTGCATCTCTTGGCTTTAGAAGATCTATGACAGATAGCGGATCTAACTGCAATTCTTGTTTTAACCTAGCCCGGGCTGGGGCATGGTCTTGACATTCTAGTAACAGGTGGTTAATGGTTTCAGCCTGATTGCAAGATGAACAAACCTTGTCATAGTGCTTTTTGTGACCAAGTCTGAGGCGTGAGATAGCAGTTTCAATTTTCCTTCCATTTGAGTATGTGTTTGGCTTTTGTTGGACCTTGGGTTGAATTTTGTATAGCCATCTGCCGATCTTACTTGCGTCCCATTGGGCTTGCCATCTTTTTGCTATGGAGGCTTTGATTTTGCTTTTTATCTCTAGTTTACTAAAGGGAATAGGCTGTATATCCGCTTTGTCTAGAGCTAGCTTCGCCAGTGAGTCTGCTTTTTCATTTCCATGAATATCTATGTGAGAGGGGATCCAACACAGCTCCACCTGTTGCCCTTGGTCCGATAGTTTTGTATATTCGTATAGAATATTGTTGACTGTGTTTGGCCTGGAGTTTGAGTTTCTCCCACTGATGGCCTGAAGTGCACTTAGCGAGTCTGATAGGACGACTGCCTTTGCTTCCGGGAGTTCCGGTATGAGTTTGAGTGCATGATGAATTGCCTCCACTTCAGCCGTGAATACTGACTGACCATCAGGCAAGCGAACTGAATGTGCTTGGGGTTTGGAGCTGTGGATATGGATCCCGTAACCAGCACTGTTGTTGATAGGATTCTTGGATCCATCAGTGTTTATATGGGCCCAGCTGTCCCAGGTAGTTTGAATTTTAGTGATAGCTACTGATCGTAGTAGGGTTGGGTTTTCTCTTTTAGTGAGACATAGATAAATAAGTTGCGATCTTTATATATACCCTCAAATACATACTGTATGTATTCTTAAGAAACGACTCTCCTCTCCTCTCCTCTGTTTGAACAGCACGGGCGCTAATCTAAACTACGGTAATCCGGTGTTTTTATAGCCATTACTCATTTCTCGCTAATACCCCAACTTGGGTTTTCGCTTTACTGATACTAGGGAAAATTGGATTTTCGCTAACCCGGCACGACACCAATCGCGGCGCCTTAGATGACAGGGCCACCCGTGCACAATGCCTTCGGAAGTATGCTGACATGCTGTATTGTTACCGATACACCATTCAAAGCGGTTATGGCTGAAACGGCATCAAGAGAAAACGACATCTTGACTGCCACGGTAGATTCATACTATTGCTATACTATTTTGCAACAAGAAAACTAGACATTAGGTATGTGTCTTATTTTTAATTATATTCATCTGTACTTTCTTTATAGCGTATGGAGATATATTTTATACACATGCTATATTTCCAACAATATATCTTGTAAGCTCACTTCTCCTAAATATAGATGTATAGTAACTGATTCGTGCAAAAGATTTATTCCTAAGATGACGTCTTGTAACAATACCTTTTCCCAAAGAAACCAGTTAGTATTGACTCGCCCGATGAAATAAGGATGCATATAAACACGCAGACTTTTTACCAACAGTACGTCTTTTAATCACGTCTTCCAACTAGTGAGTGGACCCGCCCGTTTTAGCCCGAAACCCCTTCAAAGCAGATTTAAACCCAAATCACTCACTCACTTTAACAATGGCGTTTGCTTCTGACATCAGTTTGAACAACATCGCAGCAGAGAGTGCAAGAATAAGTGACAGAGGTCACATGCCATCAATGTTCATTGCAGGGTGTGCGGTTTGTCCTTGGATGTGTCAGTGACGTACATCCAAGTTGAAGGTTATTGTTTGTTCACGCATCACACGTGTTGATAAATCCATATGGATACAACTACGCATTGTCCCCTCACGGCAAACTTTCTGCACACTGCCCTGACTTCCTCGTGAGTCATTGTGAAGCACAGATCCGCATTGCAGCAACACGGATCAAATCTTCAACACCGACTCCTGTCAACGCCAGCTTGAAGCGTTTTTTTCTGATCGTTGTAAGTTTTTATTGTTTTTAATGCACTCAACAATATTCCAATCTAATCAAAAACAGATCTCAGAGCTTGCTACCGCTACACGTAGCGAGAACGTAGCTGCGCCCCTCGTGGTTCATTGTCCCTGCTGTGTTTTCTTGTTCGATAAACAACTCTCACTCGTCGTTCATTTATTTTTTTGTTTGATGTTTAACGCCGCACTCACGATATGACGGCGTCTGTACATAATCGAGTTTCGGACAGAAAATCCAGTGATTGATATCATGAGCATCGATCTACGCAATTGGAATACGATGACATGAATCAGCCAAGTCAGCGAGCCTGACCACCCGATTCCGTTAGTCGCCTCTTACGGCAAGCACGGGTTGCTGCATGAAAACCAATTCTAACCCGGATCTTCACGGGTCACCAATTTTATGAAAGCGAGTCAAATACCAGAACTATTCACTCGTTTCATAAAATTGGTATTAAATGGGAGCGAGTATTATATTTTTTAATTTGTCGTTTATTACTTCTTCTTTTTTTGAATTTCACTGTCGTGTGTCAATAGGTAGACATCTGCGCTATCCACAGAATAATGCAATTGAGTTTTACAGAATAATACTTCAAATACATTGAAATGTTGACACGTATTATTTTAATACCATACAACGGCCTACCTTTAGAATTCAGTGATCCGTTCTACAAAGCCACCGTAGTGTGGTGTGATCGCAACTCCCATACTTCAACAAAGACCGCTACGGTCGCTTTGTGGAACGGGGGCCCTGCGCCGCAAAGGTTAACAAACACGTCATAATGTCCTATGAATTTTAATGAAAGATACACCGGCGAAACAATACCATGTGACGTCAGCCAAGCAACAGGGTTACTGGTGTGATAAAGTGTGCAAAAGCTCCTATCAGTGATCTATCATCTCTACATGCAAATGTCATTGAATAAACCCGGTGGTGTTGAGAGTTTTCATTGTTTGTTAGCGAAACCGGTTAATATAGCTAAACTATAGTTCCTGCAGCAAATATAAGCACGCGCTTTGATATTCTAAGACTTGCATGGTTTATTTTGGATATATTCCCGTGTTATGGGTTTTCAGAAGCTTAAGAAACACTCGTTGTTTTCTCGCTAATCGCAACTGTAAAACATCTTACTCACTTATAAAAGACGACTTTATCTTAAAAACAGGCCATCATCTGAGTATTTACAATGTTTGTAAAATCTGGTCATGCATACACTGAAGTTGACTTATGTTATATCTTTATTCAACCATATGAAAAGTCAGAAGGAATGGGTGCATAGTCAGAAAGAAATGCGAACATCAGTGACTTGTAGTGTAACCAGAGCTCTAGATACTTTTTGTCATTAAACAATATATCACGTGGCTAACCACGGGTCAGGGTAGTCCTGTGGGTACCCGGTCCTACTCAGTACCCACCCGACCCGGGTACCCGAGCTACCCCTCCCAGCCCTAACATGGCTAAACGTATGATGTCCGAAAACCTATGATCCAACGATATTTATTTCAGGGTCTGTATGACAGACTACTAATTGTTGTTCCGAAACGTTGTGTTCCTCATAATAAAGTAGTTGACATCCATATATTCTCTTCCTTATGTGTATCACTTCTAAATGCCTTTCAAAGCCCCGATTTTTGTTGTTGATTTTTCCCCCCTGAAAATGCCAACAATTTCACAAATAAATAGATTTCTGAATCTTCCAAATTCAAGCGAATTGAGAACCAGATTATTCTAAAACAATTTTTTTTTATAATGAGTTACTATGTACTTTTTTTTACTATGTACAATACATTGTTCTACCACTCTATTAACTTTCCAAGTTACTTGAGTTTCGGAAGTTTTTGTTGATAACCTGCGACCTCACAATGCCTAACCGAAACTAGTGTGAATAACTACATAAATTTTGTATTTGGGTATGGTCAAAAACTCAAAACAACAAAATACTAAAATATAAAGACTTATGGGCGGATCGCCCTGGCCCATCCTGTACACGCCAAAGACGTTCTTTTAGTTGCAATGCGCGTCCTCTGAGCGCATCTATAGACAGGATCCTAGTAATTTATGTCACATTGCACTTCCGGTACGTTTGTTGTTGCCATTGACTTCGTTTATAGAGATTATAATAAGGGTAAGATCCAAAGGGCATTTGTTAAGAAAGGTTAACGTGACATTGTGAAATATGCTGCCTGTATACAATATACTACATACTGTTAAATAACAATATCCGGTTTCTGAACTCTTGGTGTTTGAAAATGACGTGCTGTGTCCGGATTTCGGTCAATTACTTTCCGTTTCGCGCGTCGTTCACTGATAACAGTTGTGCTTGATAAATAATTGAGTGAGTTTGATACTAACTGACATCGTTAAGAATGGTTGAGATCCACACATCCTTTTTGTGAGGTCATAAATAGCAGTCTTAGCAAGTTGGATTCAAGTCATTCATCTGTGTAAGGTGGGCCTAAGTCAATGATTTTTTATCAGCTGATGATGTGGATCAATCAAAGTTTTAACGATTTGCTTGAGTACATAGAGGCTTTTCACATGTGGCACTTATTACAAAATATAGACAGCAAATGGGCAGACAGGGTAAAGAGCAAGGGAAGGTCATGTGAATACAGTACAGAGTTCAAATCCCAGTTCGCCCCGATTATGTTTCTAGGTTTGTCAGCACCATATCTGTGCTCGTGGGTTTCACCAAAGTGGTGGCCCTAAACGTCTGAGACCTGCATCACTTCGGGCTTTCCTCCCACATTAGCTGACATGCCGTGATATAACTGGAATACTGTTAAAAGCAGAGTTAAACCTAACTCACTCACTCACTCAATACAGTACATTTCATAGCAAGCCCATATAGGCTACAGTAGGGCTGGGATTGGGATGGGTAACACAGGCACTCAGGTTGTGTGGATCCTGAGTGGGACTTGGGTACCCACAACACTACTGGGCCCCATTGTTAGTCACAAGATATATTGTTTATTGGTACCAACAATAAAACTCTGTGGTTATACTCTACATATTGCTGATGTTGGCATTTTTTTTTGACTATGCACGATTCCTTCTGACTTTTATATGTTTGAGTCAAGTTAAAGCTTCAGTCACTTCAGTGTATGCAAGGTCAGATCGTTTTATACGTGTATCTGAATAGGTTGTGCCAGGGCTCTGGTAAAAACTTCCCAATAGGACATTTTGTACCCTGGGCTTGAGACCTGAAAGGGGGTCAGGTACCTGTGTAGTAAATTTGGACTCGTCCCAGACTTACTATAATATATTGTCCCAGTCTTAGTCATGCAATTCGCTGCTCAGAGTTGTGTCCCTTTGGCGTGATAGAAATCTATGATCAGGGGATTTGAATCCCAGATTCACCCGATTCTGTTTCTAGGTTGTCATCACCAAGCTCTTGGATTTGTGGTAAATGTCTAAGACCTGCATCGTTGTGAGCTGACACGCCATGATATGACTGAAATGTTTTTCATAGCTGTGTTAAACCCAGCTCGCTCACTCAGTCAGTCAGTCACTCACTCACTCACTCACTCACTCACTCAGTCAGTCACTCACTCACTCACTCACTCACTCACTCACTCACTCACTCACTCATTCACTCACTTAAATGTTTTTCATTGTAATTCCTGTGATTTGTACAATGTTGGCAGAGATTGTTTTGATTGTGTTTGCAGGGCTAATGTATTTTTGATGCCATCTCATTGCCAGTTGAAGATGAGTGCTGAAGAATCTATGGGAACTCAGGTTGTTTTAAAGGAGGTGCAGACTGCAGTGTCCAAGAAGAATCTACCCTCCCTATTAAAGAGGCAGTTTAAATCCCTAAGTGATGAGGATGGCCCCTGTGTAAGAATATTTCAATGGAACATTTTGGCGCAAGGTACTTTTCTAAGCTATTTTTATGCAGGAATAGGACTAAATATTTTTGTGCAACAATGTACTTGTTCAATCTCATTAAAATCAGATCTAAGTTCTCGCTACCGCTAAACAAAGATCTGAGGACATCCCATTAGGGGTCACGTCAAAACAACCTTTCATCTGACCAATCAGAGCGTCGCTTACCAGATCATGAAAGTGACAGTTTGAATGTGATTTCTTATCATGCAGCCTCGAAAACTTTAAAACAGGGTATTCCGAACGATAGTTACGGGCTTAACGACTGAATCTTTACAATCTAGACCATATATTAGCCATTCGAGAATGTTCTTTTGTTCAGGTTTCAAATTTTTAAGCGAGAATTTGTCAAATATGTTTCGAAGCGTAGTCGCCAATTTGAAATTAGTGCCGTAAAGCCTTCTGATTGGCTAATGTCGACTTCTTGTCAGTAATTCCATTGGTCGGTCAGAGTTCGCGAAAGGTCGGTCTGACGTGACCCCTAATGGGATGTCCTCAGATCTTTGTTTAGCGGCAGCGAAAACTAAGAAATGATTTTAATGAGATTGGTACTTGTTTGGATGTTTTATGTGGGCTCTTAGGAACCTAAGTGTGACAACAAGACAAATACTGGTCTATGATGTGAGTCTATTAATCTTGTAATCAATATATATACTCATCAGCGTCATTGTTGAAGGGTCACCTAGGTATGTAGGGTGTCGAACATGAACATATGCCAACAAGCGTCAGTAGGTCTGCATATGGTATGAAATGGTTCATTAGAGATGCCACTGAACTGCACTCTTGGAAGTTCTACATTTTTTTCATATTATCGGTATGATCCCTCAATTATGATGATTATGATGTATAGTCCCACACTCAATGTCACTCCATGGTCACTCTGGTTAACATAGAATTACAAGTTAATCAACCATAGGCCGACACGAGCCAGCACGCATGTATTGTTTAAGCGGAAGAACTCTACTCAGCGCTAATAAGCGGTGCTATTTGGTGTGTGATTGGATTAATGTAAGGTTGGATTAAAGTGAGGATTCTCCTGTTAACCTGACAGAGGACGTTTTCTTTAGATATAAATCCACTGATGCTTGAGAGGAGGGGGGTGTCGCATTCATATTGAGTCACATTTTTGGCTAAGGACCAGTGGTCGCATTCTTTTGGCGACACATTAATTTCACGATTTACAGTAGCTTAGCTGTTATGAAATTACTGGTTGTAATCTTGACCCATCATCTTCCCGAGGCAAGGGAGTTAACCGACTATAAAAGTCCAGTTTCCACCCTTTCCGAACTAGGCTGGAATTATGGAGTTATATTTTGGCTGGACTAACGAGTCTATGCAAAGTCGAATCAAAATCCCGTAACAAAATCCCCAACTGCCTTGCAGCTTTCAATCGATTGCAGGATTTGCGGAGCATGTGTACTGCCAACTGGGCCTTGACAGATATTTTCCAAATCTGTTTGTCTTTTTGATCTACCTGCTCATGTACTTTGAAGCACTTATCATGTATCATGTATCATGTGTTGGTTGTTGTTTCAGCCTTGAGTCAGGGTGATGACAACTTCTGCCTCTGTCCAATTGAAGCTCTGGATTGGGACAATCGTCACTTGCACATCCTGGAAGAACTGCTCACCTACAATGCCTCCGTGCTGTGTCTTCAGGAAGTGGACAGATTCTCTTTTCTTGAGGAGAAACTGAAATCTGTGGGATATAAGGGAGTATTTTTCCCCAAACCGTACTCTCCGTGTCTCGACTGTGACATCTCGTACGGACCCGATGGATGCGCAGTCTTCTGGAAAACTGATGAGCTAGATCTCCTCGACCAGGAGAACGTCGTCTTGCAGAATCTGATGGGACATGCAACAAATCAGGTCTCCATCATCTGCAAATTTCAAACAAAGAAAGGAGGCAAGCAGTTTTATGTTGCTGTGACCCATCTGAAAGCAAAGAATGGATTTTCGGATGTTCGATATGAACAGGGACATTTTCTTAATGCTACACTGGAGTCTATGACTGGCAACCATCCGGTGATTGTCTGTGGAGATTTCAATGCTGAACAGACAGAGAAAGTCTATGAAGTGTTCAAGACAAGTAAGGTGGGACTGGTCAGCTCCTATGCCCAGCTGTCCGGGGATGGGTCCGAGATTCCCTTCACCACCTGGAAAGTCAGAGGAGGGATTACCGGCAAGAAGGAACTGAGTCGGACAATTGACTACGTGTGGTTCACGCCAAGCAAGATAGGTCTGAAGTCTGTGTTGATGATGCCAACCGTCCACGAGATTGGAGAAAACAGACTGCCATCACACACATATCCGTCAGATCACCTGTCACTAGTCTGTGACTTTGTATTGAAGTAATTGATGATTCCACTTAGGACAACTCTAGGATATTAGGCTTAGGGACGACCATTTTCTTTTTTTTCGACATATTAAAAAAATTATACTTTTTCATTCTTAATACACTCTAAATACCTTTTTTATCCAGTTTTCGAAAAGTGAACGAGATTAACAATCAGCATGATTTTCTAGGGCTAGATAAGCGTTGTCGTGGGGCTCTCGCCATACATAAAATGGTCCGTCTCTGATGTAATGTACCTCATTCCCTCACATACAATGACTATTGACCAACACCTCTTGCTTGTGACATGCCATTTTTATGGATTACAGCTGATTTTATTTATGTATTTATGAATGTCAAAATACCTGAATCTAATTGGTCAATCAGGGGGGTGTCAAAATCACAATAACATGCCTCTGATTGGACAGCCTTTTTACTGCTTTATATTACCTAATTTGAGGTATATAAATTAGTCGGTACCAAACGCTTTTGAGTCTACAAGCACAAACCTGCTATATGGCATTATTTTCTGTAGACTTTAGAGTTATTATATGGTCTTTTATTATTGTTTTTGGTTTAAAAAAATAAATTATGTTTAATGCAGCACTCAGTAATGTTCCAGCTACTTGAAGGCAGACAATAGTAGCTGAGATTACAAGACTGGAGAGAATGTTACTGTACTCAAGCTTGGAACTAGTGGCTTAAATCGACCGATGAAATGAGGTTTTATATATACTCCAGATATATTCCAGATTAAAAATTTGTCAAAATATGTTTCAAAGCGTAATCGCCAATTTGAAATTTCAGCCGTAATGCACGAGAAAGCTGACATCTTGTCAGTCCTTCCATTGGTCGGTCAAAATTCACCCAAGGTCGGTCCGATGTGACCTGTAATGGGATGTCCTAAGATCTTTGTTTAGCGAAGGCGAGAACTAAGATCTGATTATAATGAGATTGAGGAATTCCAAAACAGATTCCCAGTTGTACCTCGTGAGAGGTCACACTATGGGAGGTTCAGGACTTCAGACAGTCATTGTGTTCACAAATCTGATAATGTATACTGGAAAGCTTGTCCTATGGATACAGGTTTGGTTTGGGTTTGAACAAGTGCCTGTATCAGGGCCTATAAAAGCGACTATGTTTGTAGTAAGAGGCGACTAACAGGATTGGGTGGTCAGGCTCGCTGACTTGGTTGATGCATGTCAACGGATCCCAATTCTGTGGATCGATGCTCATGATGTCAATCACTGGATTATCTGGTCCAGACTCGATTATTTACAGACCGCCGTCATAAAGCTGGAATATTCCTGAGTGTGGCAATAAACAAAAAAACCCAAAAAAAACAGGGACTATAAAATTCTATCACTGACATGTCTAGGTTCATCATCTGAGGACATCCATTGCGGGTCGCATCAGAATCACCTTTTATCTGACCAATCAGATTGTCGCTTACCAGATTAGGAAGTTGACAGTAGTAATGTGCTTTCTAATCATGCAACCTTGAAAAGTTAACACAGGGTATTCCAAACAACAGTTATGGGCTTTACGATAGAATCCGTCAAAAACATAGTCTATCTGTCGCTTCAACGGGACAAACATTTGAACGGAGACTTTGCATAGCCCATTGGAAGTACTGCCATAGCGTCTAGGCCTTCTATTAGACTGTCCGGTATGTTTTTTTGTTCAGTTTTCAAATTTTGAATCAGGAACGTCAAAATATTTTTTAAAGCGTAGTCGCCAGTTTGAAAGTAGTGCCGTTTAGCGGCAGCAAGAATGAAGATCTGATTTTAATGAGATTGCTCAGGTTGAGTGAGAATTAGCCTGAATGTATTTCTACATGAGTTAATGCTATGGTAGATAAATGGACGGGGAGTCTGCAAACAGGATAGGAGTAATGTCAGCAGAACCATCTTCATCACCATGTCATCAATGGCTTCAATTTAATAAAGTACATGATATTTACAGAAGTATACTCAAGGGTACACCGGATATTGGGCCTAAGGTTCAGAAATATTTTTTAATCTGTACATTCCAAACATTCAGCATGGAATTCCAAACACTTATGTTGTTCGAGGTTGATCCAGTGGATTCAGACAAGGTTGTAGGGTGCACACTTTCTGAAGCTTTCCAAACACTAATACATTCAGAAATGTACAAGTTACTGGTTATACTAAAAGTAAATGTATGACATTATAACTATCTTGTTTGCTGAAATGTTTTTAATATAATTACAAGATTATTGAACACGATTTGCCCATTCACAAAATACACCCATCCTTTCTGAAATGATGTATGAGACCAAAAGTATGTTTTAACATCATATATATATACTCACCATTTTGAGGGGGAAGAAAGCGTTCTTTGAGAAAGTGTTTTGGTTGAAGTTTCTGTTAATTTGGTACAGATACTACAAATTATTCCTCACTTATAGAAATTTGTTTTTAAGTTGTGTGCCCTTGCTGAGTGTGAAAATGTATTCTAGGAATTAATATTTTCTGGATGAAAATATAATATATCTAATTGGATAGCCATTTCCTGAAAACAAAGTTCTTTCACCAAAACTAGATTAGGACCAGAAGATGTTGAAGGCATTTTGGGGGGGAATATGAAAATATGGATGACCATTTTTTAGAAATATGTTTTTAACTTCTGACCCAAAACACTTTTGTCTTAGAATAAAAAAATATATTTCTAGAATCTTGCAAAGCAGTACAGAGACGACTTTGCCATAAAAAATAGATACTTTCCTGAAGGAAGTGCTTTTGTACTGAGTCATGGGACAATGCAGTGTTGACAAGCTCCTCACAGCGATAGCCTGTTTGCGGAGCTCTCTAATACTATCGCTGTCACCAGTCAAAACTCCCCACTGTGATAGGTGACCACAACCATGCTTGGAGTTGAACTCGCAATCAAATGACTGTTGTGTTTTCAAACAAGTGACGACTGTCGTGATGCCGAATACACTTACCCCTGCTAAATTACTTTTCTTTGTTTGACAATTTGAATTTCTATTTCATTAAAACTATCATGTGATTGATATGGTAAGAATGTAAGGGAGAAGTTGGTGGATTTCTGTTTGTCTGCAATCTCGAACCAATCTGATTATACAAACAACAAAGTAAATTCATCTGGAAAACATGATCAGTTATAAACCTTTTCAAAATGAACTATGACGGCATTCACAAACACATAAACAAAAGTATGAACATGACTGCATTTGGGGTTAGAGGGCAAATTTCAAGATTCTTGTAATGGCCACGCCCACTCTGGTGGCAGCCATGTTACCGAGAGTGTAACAAAGGTGTCACGCGCTGGGAAGGAGCTTGCAGTGTTGACAGTAAGGGGAAGTAACTCACTCCAGCCACGTCCGGGTACCAGGCCTTGTCATGTCAGAATTTATTTATTTTTATTACGATCTGAATTTTTATGGGAAAAAGCCATAAACTATCTAATAAAAAAACCCCTACATGCCTTAAATGTACAGAAAGGATGCTTAGTGTAATCTTTAAATAAATAACATTGGTTTAATGAGTACTAAGGGTTTTGGTCTGTTCCAGTTCCAAAGTTCATTGAAGTGTGAGTTTCATCAGAATTGAGACACACTCCCCAAACCACAAAAATGCTTGATTAACTTTGAAAGTGTTGACACCGTCCAAGAGAATGAGATAAAAAGTTACCTCCCATACCTTCCATTTTACTATGGTTATCAGTCATGTCATTTCTTTGGAGTAGTATACAGAACCTTTGATATTAAACGACAAGTTATGGTGAAGCATTGATCTCACAGATAGCCTTGGATACTCACTTGTGATATGTGTACATATCTGTGACTGTGATATTTTCTAGAATCATTTAGGTTTATAGAAAGTTTTAATGAATGAAATACCTCAGTCCCTGTAGTAGCATCTTCTCGAGGTAAGGGAGTTAACTAACTTTAAAAGTCCAGTTTCCACCCTTGCCGAACTAGGCTTGAATTCCTGGGCTCGATTGTAGCGTCACCAGTGGTTATTACGGGTTATGTCCCTTTAACCCTTTCCAATGGACCAATCACATTCCAGCTCTCGTATCACTTGCATTTGTTTCAAACAAAACGGTGGCGCCCAGTCAAGACGGTCTGATCGATGGTCAAGATCTATATTGTGATAAAATGGGTCTTACGTTGCAAAGTGAATCAAATGAAGTGAGCACCTTGGTTAGAAACATGAAAAGACTTGGAAATTATCTGTTGACAACGAGTTGGCGGTGCACATGCTTCGCAAATCCTGCAATTGACCGAAATCTGCATGACAGTTTACAAACCGGATTTCAATTTTGGTGCACGATTTTGATTGGACTATGCATAGACTCGTTAGTCCAGCCAAAATGTAACTCCAAAATACAAGCCTAGTTCGGCAAGGGTGGAAAGTGGACTTTAATAGTCAGTTAACTCCCTTGCCTCGGGAAGATGCTGTAGTAAATGTGTAGGTATGCTTGAACTTATGACCTACAATTGCCTGTTATGAACACCGCATACCAAGTTAGATGAATAAGCATCAATGTGTAGTTTGCTGATGTGCAGGTGTGTTTGTAGTCTGAGTCTAGAGAATATATAAAAAATGAATCCAACTCAAGTCTAGAATGATTTGGCAAGTCTAGATTGCCTCAGCTCTTGGTCTGAAATTAAGCATTGTTCTGGGCTCCATTTGGATTTTATTTTTTATTTTTTAGATATAGATGTTTTTAAAAGAGAACTTTATTTCTTGGACTGAATGATAAGGTCTGATTGGTTCATGTGACCTTGATAAAATACGATGTAATGGTATGTCGCCTTGGAGGGGAATAAATTTCTCAGCAGGCGAATAAATCCCTTATGCCCCAACACGAGAAAAACAGGCAACATGTGCATTTCTGAGAGGAATAAATCCCTTATTCCCCGCTTCAAAGCAAATACCGGGTAGCCTCACGAGTCCATGGAAGTCATGTGACATAGCACAAGTTAAACTCAGCTCAATCGAACTGCTGTTTTCTTTCAATGTTTAATTTATGTTAATTCTTTTACAGTGTCACATTCAAACATATCGGTAAGACAAATTTGTTGTAGCAGGATCACGAGGGGTACATGGGGTTTTCTGCGTCCCTTGCTAGGTTTTGAACCTATAAAACCTAACGTGGGGTCCATGAAACCCCATGTACCCCTCTTGAGCCTGCTACAACTGATAGTGTTTTTACATTGTATATTGCATTTGACTTTGTTTTTATATATCTCCGGTTTGTGTCAAGTGTATGGACTTTTATGATCATCGAAAGTGAAAGAGGAAGTAGTATATGGTGTTTGATTCTTGGGCATAAAATTTGAGAATGAAAATGAGAAATGCCTGTTTTATTATCAGACTCATCATTCTCAAAATTACATTTACTGAATTAGCCCATACTCCTTTTTGTTGGTTAAGGCCAGATGTTATTATTCTTTTTCTGATTTTGATAGTGAAATAACTATACTCACTATAAGTATATTATTTGAAATACTGTAACTAAAACATTTTGAAATATTATCTTTGAAACTTCAAAACACAACGAATTATGACACATCATGAGAGAAAATGAATAATGTATTTGAAGCTGGAATTTATAATTCTTTGAACTAGCGAATCTGTAACACCCCCCCAAAAAGTGTCTGTCCAGAACAGGATTCATTAGATATTAGACACTAGTCATGAATTGAAATGTTTTCATAGGGTCTGTATAATTACATGGTAGAATTAGAGTGAAAGCCAAAAAAAGTCAAAGTGTGCAAGTATATGACGGGATCATTATCTCATTAACATCAGGTCTGAGTTATCGCTACCACTACACAAAAGTGGTAACGAGCACTAAGATCTGACTTTAATGAGATTGAGAGGATCACCGACATCCGTCTTGTCATGTCATCACAGTACTATATTATTCCACGTTTGAAAGGAATATGTCTCTTACCGGTATTCTATCACACTCCAAACTGCTTACTAATGCACATATTCATACTAGAGCAGAAGTTGTGTGGTACTGGTGAAAGTATTTGTGAATTACCAGCTCTATTGTACACATTATAGTGTAGCACTGTCCTGCGTTATTAGGTTATGAACGTTAGTGACAAAGGATATCTTGTTATTCATTACATAATCAAGAAGTTTCCACAATTGAGATAATACAGTCCCAGTACTTTAAAATGTCTGTCAATTATATGGCAAATAGTCTGTAATCCCAATCAGACACTTATGAGACAATGACAACACTGATCAATTAGGCTTAAAAAAAAATGAATTGGTTCTCAGGCAATAGTTTTTGAAAATTAAGTGCAGACGGGCGGTGCCATTTTTAAATATTTTTTTTGGTTGTTCAAACTCGTTTGTAACAAATAAACAATTGTGTAATGAATAAATAATTGTGTAATCAATAAGCAATTGTGTAATCAATACACAATTGTGTACAATCAACCTGGAAAAGGGCCTCCCTACATAAATGTATTTCTTGATGAGTAAAATACTGGAACACAGTATTTGACTACCGTTGGACTTGGAAATAAAAACGAAACGTGCGGCAGACTTTATGATGATGCGGGCGGTGCCTGAGAACCAAGACTATTTTTATTTTTTTTAGCCTTATATTGATGTGAACAGCATTTAAGTTGTGATATACACACAAGTATTATGAACATAAGTCAGATGTATACATATGTACTATCTACTAGTATAAATATTACAGTGTCTGTTAAGTATTAGCCATGTCAATTAATCAAGTTATTTACATCTTGTGAGAAATAGTCTGAACCAGTTGCTAAGTCACCAGGTATATGTCTCAATAAGTGGGTGTTAGCACTATTGTGCATGACCAGTGAATGTATTGACTCTTTGCATGTTGGAATTACAATAAAAGTTTAGTTTGGGTATCAATGAATTGTGTTGTGTTTACACCCGATGTTCTGTGATGGATTCCAGTCAGAAGAGGTGCCGGTACCTCATATTTTTTGGAGGAGCTGACTTACATCGGAATTGGGTCAGGCTGTGTGTTTGTTTGTTGTTTAACGCTGCACACAGCAATATTCCAGCTATATGACCAGATTGTCCAGTGATTGACATCATGAAGATCAATCCACAGAATTGGGATAAGTTGACATGCATCAACCAAGTCAGCAAGCCTGACCACCCGATCCTGTTAGTCGTCTTTACGACAAGCAGTCGCCTTTTACAGCAAGCAGGGGTTGCTGTAGACATATTCTACACCGGATCTTCAAGGGTCGTTGGGCTCTGGAACTTGGCTGATTGCGTGTCATTGTACCCATGTTCAGAGATGTGAGCAGGTTTTCCCCCCCAAAAGAGGAAAACTCTAGGGGGGTTTGGGGGCATGCCCCCAGAAATTTTTTAAACATATGATTGCATTTTAAGCAATTTCGTGCAGTTTGGACATCATTCATGCCAAGAAATGAAATAAGTCAATGGCAAAAGTCAAGTCGAATAAACAAAGATGGCGGATGCAGTAAAATTTTGAAGTTAAATGAGTACTTTTTAAAAATCGGGTCTGGGAGCAAAATACTGCCATAAGCTTCACCCCCCCATCCCCCAGACACAGGGGCAACTGTCACAAGCGTGCAATGTCTGACGGTTGGTTGGTTGGTTTGTAGTTTAACGCCGCATTCAGCAATATTCTAGCTTAATGACGGCGGTCTGTAAACAATCGATGACATGCATACTGATTATTTGGGATGAAACTCTACACAGCATATTGTGGTACCTTGGATGACTGGGCTACCAGTGACTCCCTGTTTTCAGTTAAAGGAAATGTTTACTATATTTGGCCTTTGTCAGCCCTAGTTTGCCTGTATGGGATTCCTCGTGAAGTACAGGAACAACTTACCCATGAATTCTTCCCAGACTTGTAAAAGCATAAAAGGTATAAAGCGCCAGAAGAAGAATTTTTCAACCAAGTCAGCGAGCCTTACCACTCAATCCCGTTAGTCGCTTCTTACCCATATTACATGGATCTGTGTGCATGCTGTCAGTCACTCTTTTGCCTGGTCAAGATCAGCTGGAATAGTGCTGGACACAATAATAGTTAATTAATACTGATCAACTTCCCTAGAGATCCAAGGTTCGAGTAGGTCCCTAGCACCCTAGTCACAAGAGCCAAATAAACTGAGATTTTGTATGTTCGCAATGTGTGACCTGGCTGTGTCATATTGTATCCGAGCAGTATGGATTGTTCCTGCTATTCCTGGCTCTGATTTCTAGGCAATTCCGACATAGCCAGGCTACTGCTGACCGGTGTCAAACAACATTACTGATAGCTGCCGAAGCTCCTATCCGTCTTCATCTTGTGCCAACACAATTAACATTCTCACATCCAATGCAGCTCCTGTGCTGCATCCCCATGAAACTATATAGCCAGTGAACGCTGAAGTTCAGCGAGGCAACACAAAATTATCGCAAGGGAACACTATTAATGTGTATTTTTACCATGATAGATGGGACCTTCTGCTGATACCAGTTGTTTGTAGTGTTCACCTTGGTTGAAAATCTATTTGTATATTAATAGGTTCTTGAGACCCGTGAAGATCCGGGAAAGAATAGGTTTTCAGCAACCCATGCTTGCCGTAAGAGGGGACTAATTGGATCGTGTGGTCAGACTCGCTGACTTGGTTGATGCATGTCATCGCATCCTAAATGCGTGGATAGATGCTCATGATGTCAGTCACTGGAAAGCCTGGTCCAGACTCGATTATCTACAGACCGCCGTCTTATAGCTGGAATATTGCTGAGTACGACGTTAAACAACAAACAAACAAAACAAAAGTTGATGTAAAATTGTTAATTGGTAAGGTGCAGTACAGAAAACTGAAGACCAATTCTGACCCGGAATCTTCATGGGGGGATCAACTCTTGAAGACTTACCGGTAGTCATAACAGTCATGGAATGCTGATGCTTTCAGAACACTATCACCATGGTGATAACAGAACAGGCAAGGAAAAAAACCAAAAAAACATTTATTTACATTTGTATACAGATTAACTGCTTTTCTGTTTCTTTGGTCTATCAGAAAGTGTAAGCCAGTAAAATCGAAGCCAGCAGTATGTGATACCGAATGCACAATAAACAGATGTCAATAGCAGGGGCACGAACGGGAATCTCTGTGACAGGCCCAGCGCCGAATGCCCAACACTGTTGTATATTTCAAGGGGGACGATCCCCAGCAGGTACAGGCTCTCCAGGCTGGACAACAAAGGCAAGGCTGTCGGCCGCGCCGGGATGCTGAAACATCAGGAAATTTCAGAGTTATGGCTGGAAGTTGATCCCATGTTTTCAGTGAATGAGTGAGTTAGTGCTGATTTAAGTAGTATTTCAGGACAATCTCATTAAAATCAGATCTTAGTTCTCTCTACTGCTTAACAAAGATCTGAGGACATCCCATTAGGGGTCACGTCAGAACGACCTTTCATCTGACCAATCAGAGCGTCGCTTACCAGATCATGAAAGTGACAGTCGGAATGTGATTTCTAATCATGCAGCCTCAAAAACGTTAAAACAGGGTATTCTGAACGATATTTATGGGCTAGACGACTGAATCTTTACAACCTAGACCATATATTAGCCATTCTAGAATGTTCATTTGTTCAGGTTTCAAATTTTTAAGTGAGAATTTGTCAAAATATGTTTCGAAGCATAGTCGCCAATTTGAAATTAGTGCCGTAAAGCACTAGAAAGCTGTCTTCTGATTGGCTAATGTCGACTTCTTGTCAGTAATTCCATTGGTCGGTCAGAGTTTGCGAAAGGTCGGTCTGACGTGACCCGTAATGGGATGTCCTCAGATCTTTGTTTAGCAGCGAGAACTAAGATCTGATTTTAATGAGATTGTCTTCAGGAGGAAAGTCCAAAGTGATGCAGGTCTTCGAAGTTTTCCACTTTGCATTTTTGTTGTTGTTGTTGTTTGATGCCGCACTCAGCAATATTCCAGCTATATAACGATGGTCTGTACGTAATCTGGATCAGACAATCCAGTGAGTGACATCATGAGCATCGATCCACGCAACTGGGCTGCAATGACATGCATCAACCAAGTCAACAGCCTGACAACCCGATCCCGTTAGTCGCCTACTACGGCAAGCATGGGTTGCTGAAGACCAGATCTTCACGGTTGGCCACTTTAGTAAAACTATGATCATGAGGCTGACAAACCTAGAAAAATTATCAGTGAGAATCTGGGATTTAAACCCATGATCATCTGTTATTTGGGATGCAACTCCACACAGCGTATTGTGGTACCTTGGATGACTGGGCTACCAGTGACTCCCTGTTTTCAGTTAAAGGAAATGTTTACTATATTTGGCCTTTGTCAGCTCTAGTTTGCCTGTATGGGATTCCTCGTGAAGTACAGGAACAACTTACCCATGAATTCTTCCCAGACTTGTAAAAGCATAAAAGGTATAAAGCGCCAGAAGAAGAATTTTTATTGGTGTTTCTGAAACGAAAAGTACAGAGTTATACAATTGGTGTGAGAGAGTGAGTTGGGTTTAAGCTGATTTGAACAGTATTCCAGTTATATCACAGCATGTGAGCTTAATGTGGGAGGAAAGCCGAAGTGATGCAGGTCTCAGACATTTACCACTTTGAAACCCATGCGCACGGGTATGGTGCTAGCAAACCTAGAAACATATTTGGGGCAAACCGGGATTCGAACCCGTAATGAAATGTTTCTGCCATGCCCAAGGGACATAACTCTGCTAGACGACAGGGCCACCTTGCCCTTGTACAACTGGACTTTACCACAAATCTTTGTCAGTATTTTCAAAACAGGTATAATCAGGAAATTGTGACTAACAACACACTGGAGGCTGTAAACCAGACACGAAATGAACCCGGCTTTGTTTGAGCGAGACAGCTGTACTTACCGAACTGTGTAAACAGAAGGGGAAATAAAGAGTAGCCACCGATGGTTGATAAAATGAGAAATATCTGAGCTTCCTTCTTCCTCTCTGTTGACAATAATCTGAAACAATGTTATATACTTAACATGCTTAACAGCTTCGACATGCTTGAGTGAGTGAGTGAGTGAGTGAGTTTTTTTTGGTTTGGTATGTTGTTTAACACCACACTCAGCAATATTCCAGCTATATGACGGCGGTCTGTAAATAATTGTGTCTGGACCAGACAATCCAGTGATTAATATCATGAGCATCGATCCACGCAATTGGGATCGATGACATGCATCAACCAAGTCAACGAGCCTGACCACCTGATCCCGTTAGTCGCCTCTTATGACAAGCATAGTCGCCTTTTACGGCAAGCATGGGTTGCTGAAGACCTATTCTACCCTGGATCTGGCCGAGTGAGTGAGTGCGTATGGTTTTACGCCGCTTTCTGAAAATTCCAGCAATATCACCCGTATATATACCCGTATTTATAGAATGACTCCTCCCTGAATAGAATCCGATCGCAGCAATATCAGACAAGAACATTTTATGAACAGTGAACTGTGAACTGCGCCCCCCGTGATTTATTTTACCTGTAGTGTTTCATTACTCCCCCTCGTCGATTTGTTCGTAATTACAGTCTGGACTTGTGCCAGTTTCATAGCGCTAGCCCACAGAAATACCATGCCTATGGATATCCTACTCAAACAAACAAACAAACAAACAAACAAACAGACAGACAGACAGACAGACAGACAGACAGACAGACACAGTATACTGATCGAGTTGACCATTACTTGTTTTAGCCCCTTAATGCAGAGCGCCAGGCAGGGTAACATCTTTAGCCATGACTGGAACGAGGATTGAACCCCGAAGGGATCAGGAATCGAAGAAGTATCTTTTCTGACAGAACTTGTCTTCATATACCCTGGAAGTCGTGATCTACCATCAGTTCAGTAATGACTTTTATCATCCAAAACTGGCTCCCACAGGAGATATCCTTGGGTGAGATCAAGCGATATCTACATTGTAGCTATCGCTGCAATGAAATTGCATCACAATGCTTTACAGACCATTGTGACGTCATTGGTTACCATGACTTCACAATCAAATGTTATTACTAATGGCTCTGCCACTGAAGCTGTTAGCAGTACTTTTTACACTTAAGACACTGCTTATTACTGTCTACAAATTGAAAAAGTTTCAAGAATGATGTTGGATAATAAATAAAATCATACCTCGTGCCTTTTGATATGAAATATATCAACGAGTGTTGATATACTCCATATAAAAATACACGAGGGTAAGATTCTCTATGTACCACACTTACATCAGCGGGATGAGGATCAGTAAAATAGCCTTCTCATGGACGTGCCAGCCGAACATGTAGGAGGCAAAGGCACACAGTGTGAGACAGCGAAGGAAGCTGGTCGTGCCTCGAGGGTTGTACCACAGCTTCAACATAGCAGGCTGAAACAGAAGATGACAGAGTGGAGTGAGTGAGTGAGTTTGATTTTACGCCGCTTTTAGCAATATTCCAGAAATATCACGGCAGGGGACACCAGAAATGGGCTTCACACAATGTACCCATGTGGGGAATAGAACCCGGGTCTTCGGCGTGATGAGCGTACGCTTTAACCACTAGGCTACCCGACCGCCCCTGACAGAGTGGAAGCAGTCTTGTTTCACAAACACATCTGTGTTTTGTCCATCACTGTAGGAAGCTATGACTTTCAACCTATTTGAGGATCTAGTTTTGTCACTGAAAAACAAGGGACATACGTTAATGTTTCGCAGTGTTAGAACTGCTAATTCTGATTACTCATAGTTCAGGTTTTCTCAAAATGCTTACAACACTTAAAAGTTAAAAAAAAATGGTTGCTACTTGGCACTTATTTGAAAACTTTCATGAAAATATGTAGGTTTTCAAATAATTTCTTTATGATCTGTCAATATTAATAGCCCAAAAGCAACTTTATCATGCTTTGTTATTTGTTAGCAGAATTGGAAAGAGTGATTATTGTTTTACGCCGCTTTTAGCAATATTCCAGCAATATCACAGCGGGGGACGCCAGACATGGGCTTCACATATTGTACCCATGTGGGGAATCGAACCCGGGCCTTGGGCGGTCTTCCACCGCCCCTGAATTGATAAGAAGAATAAAAAGATTGTGCATGAAAGTTGAAGTAAAGTCCAAGTTTATGACACTGTACATAAAAAGTGGAGTCTGACCATCATAGCAAGGAGTGTTAGCAGCATGGTGGCCAGCGGGGACACAGAGGGCAGCACTGTATGTCGGAACTCCTGCACCAGACCGCCGGTCATCGTAGCTGACCCGACTGCATCTGGCTGGATGACCCTTAACTGGACACCTGGAGACAACAAGACACAAGGCACACTGAGACACAAGACACACTGAGACACAATGAGACACAATAACATACAATAAGGTGCAATGGGACACATTTCAACATATTGCCAGCTAAATATTTTATTAATACATATTTGAAATTTTACTGAAATATGGACAATGAATGAGATTATGTCTCAGGGAACATTTTCCATTAATACACACATTAAAAGGAGATATTTTTGTACAAAGGTCATAGACGGAAACATGTAGGTCTTCCTTGACACCACCCACCCCACCCCTCCCTTCTACTGTACTTACCCTGGACCTCAACCTCCCTCCCAACCCCCTCCCATCTACTGTACTTACCCTGGACCTCAACCTCCCTCCCAACCCCCTCCCATCTACTGTACATACCCTGGACCTCAACCTCCCTCCCAACCCCCTCCTATCTACTGTACTTACCCTGGACCTCAAACTCCCATCTACTGTACTTACCCTGGACCTCAAACTCCCATCTACTGTACTTACCCTGGACACCCACCTACCCCACCCCCTCCCATCTACTGTACCTGCCCTGGACACCCACCTACCCCACCCCCTCCCATCTACTGTACCTGCCCTGGACACCCACCTACCCCACCCCCTCCCATCTACTGTACCTGCCCTGGACCTCAACCTCCCACCCCTCCTATCTACTGTACCTGCCCTGGACACCCACCTACCCCCTATCTACTGTACTTGCCCTGGACACCCACCTACCCCCTATCTACTGTACCTGCCCTGGACACCCACCTATCCCCTATCTACTGTACCTGCCCTGGACACCCACCTATCCCCTATCTACTGTACCTGCTATGGTGGCAGCTTTGTCAGCCACATTGTAGAGGGCCCAGAAATTAGGTGCCCAGTAGGCATGGCACAGACCTCGCTTGAATGGGAACAGTCGAGACAAGACCTGAGGCAGCTGGCCCTGATGGATGTACACAATATATCAGCAGGATAGACACACATGGGCAAAACAAAAGTGAATTTGGTTTTTACACCGCTTTAATCAGTATTCCAGTTATATCACAGCGTGTCAGCTTGATGTGAAGTGATGCAGATGTCTACCTCTGTACATGAAACACCCACATGCACAGGTATGGTGCTGACAAACCTATAATCACAATCAGGACACATTTGGAACTCAAACCCACAACCATAGGATCCTAGTACTTTCTTATGGGACATAACTCTACACAGCAATTGACTATTGACCTATTGACCTGCAGTAAATAAAGGAATCTGACAAATGTATGGCATTTATTTATTTAAACTTTTCAGGTATCAAAACTACATCTTCCCAAACACATTGTTAATCTTAAAGATAAAATGCTGATACAAAGCTCAATTCCTAATCTAAAACATCAGATTAATTTGTACAATTACTGTTTTAATATTGTTATTTAGATCAAGTGAGGGACAGAGGAGGATGGAAATATCAGACAGTACTTCATAAAAATTCAATTAAATCCTATCTGCAGACACAATCTGGCCTTCACATTAAGATGTTATGTCTAAACATTACAATAACATTAAGAAATCCATCTCCATATTAAACACGCTGTTCCAAAAAGTGCTCCCTGACCAACTGATAGACCAATCTCAATAAGCGGCCCCTACTAAGACCTAAGATTTACATGACAGTCTATTTTATTAATTTTTTATTACAGATTTTGTTCCACAAACAACATGATCACAGAAGAAGTATATAATTGCCTAGTAACTATTATCAAAAAGGTTTCAGTTTCATTGTTATTTGAACCAAGATAGTTTGAACCTGCTCAATCTCTGAATCAAATTTAACTTGTGTATAGATTTGATAAGAGCTCCAACTTTGTCAATTTTCTAGGCGCCTGTTAAGGAGAATACGGTATGTTTGGGGTGACTACTGGTCTGGAAAACACTATTGCGATAACTATTGATATTGAAAGAAACTATTGCCAAAACACTATTGCGAAAACACTATTGCGATAACTATTGATATTGAAAGAAACTATTGCGATAACTATTGATATTGCAAGCAACTATTGGGATAAATATCAATAGTTTTCAGTGTATCTTTTTAGATGGAATCTAGAGTTGAATTAAACCTTGGAACCGAAGTTTCCTTTGAATGTGATAACCATAAGACTCCCAATCACTCGATTTTCCACCCAAGTTTGTCACAAACTCCACTTGACTGTCACCCTCCACCATTTTACTTTAAGAAAGACCGGTTGCTAAGCATCAAGGGCAGTTAAATCTAATCCTCACTCGGCAACATTCGAGAGCGTGTTTTGGTGATGATACGGTAAATACAATCGAAACTATTGATAATTCTAACTGGAATCGATACTATTCATTGGAAACTAATTCAACAATCGATTTATTGACTTTAAGTGCTTACCAATAGCAATATATCGGTATTTCGATTTATCGTGAAACCCCTAGTGTAATTCCAAAACAAAAGGAACACACACTAACATGAGCTATGGAGGAGCACCAAGGAAAGCAGAGATTTCACTGTAGTCTCACCATGTATAGGAATGGTCCGAACGATACCCCGAAGACTGACAGGACTGTGAGGCCGAGACTGAAGAGCCTGGTGATGGAGAACGATCGCCACTGTATCCTCCCATCTGTAACATGAAACCACGGCTCCAGCTAATGTTTGGAGTCAATGAGCATTTACTCACATGTTATCATTCACATTGGGTTTTGATTGGTTTGGAGGGGCTTTCTATATAGGTCCAGCCTATAGGGTAGTTTTGCAGCATGTAGTAAACCTTTTTCTTAAAACAATAATTCTGCTTAGGCTTAAAAAATTAAAGAATTCGTTCTCAGGCAATGTTTTTAGAAAATATAGTGCGGGCGGGTGGTGTCTTTTTTGGGGGTGGGGTGGGGAGGTTATTCAAACTAGTATGTAACTAATAAACAGTTGTGTAATCAATAAGCAACTGTGTACAATCAACCTGGGAAAGGGCCTCCCTACATAAGTGTATTCCTTGATAATGTTGATGAGTAAAATACAGGAATACAGTATTTGACTACCATTGGACTTGGAATATTTAAGGATTTTTTTTTTTTTTTAAACAAACTTAATGATGATGCAGGCGGTGCCTGAAAACCAAGACTGGTTTTTTTTAGCCTTATAATTTTATAAAAGAGATATCAAATTTGCATCTGTTTATTTGTTGCTCCACAGGGGTGGATCTAAGGAACTAGATTTAACCTGCACTATGCTGACATGAAAAGCCAGTTGCACCAGACAAAACCAGGTTGCACCGTGGTCCTATAAATCTATTGAAGTTAAAACACAGATGCATCATCAGGCAAAGTACAGAATTTGAAAAGTTTTGCAAGTACAAACTTCTAATATTCCAGCGATATCATAGCGGGGTGCATCAGAAATGGGCTTCACACATTGTACCCATGTGGAGACAAGGGAATGCTTTAACCACTAGGAATGCTTTAACCACTAGGCTACCCCACGACCCTCGATTTACGTCACATTCAAGAATGATGCACTTTTGTCTTTCTGTCTGTACTAGTCCAGACATGCCTGTTTTATAGTGCTATACCACTGAGATACCATGCCGCAGTTTAACATGAATACCCAACTCAGACACAGTATACTGACTCGTAGCCAACCAGGCCATGTTTTATCCACTTAAATGCCGAGCGCCAGGCAGGGTGACAACAACTACCATTTTATAATATCTTTTGGCATGACAAGGCAGGGGATCGAAAACCCGATCTGTACTCCAGATAGACGCTCAATACACTATACCACGGAGGATGTCCGATGACTTAGAGATTGTCATCATAAAGCTGGAATATTGATGAGTGCCGCATTGAACAAAATAGAACACAAACAAATCATATCCTGAGAATAATAACAGTAGCTCCTGCACGTATTCATACATATTTGACCTTGACATTCTGTTACCTGGGGCACTCCTGAAGCAGTAGCAGCGGAGGAGGTAGACGAAGTATGCGGGGGCGATGTACAGGTAGATGTGCTTCAAGTTGAGCAGCACAGCAAACCAAAAGGCACTAGAAATATTTCTGCCCTGAAATAAAGAATTAACATGGGTCGATGATGACTAATACTGGCTAGATTTCTGACTCAAAAAGATGACTTCAAATGGTCCTCAACATTGTTCTTGCTTGTGGTCAGAGCCTTCTAGCAATGTCCAGGTGCTTGTTGACATGAAAAATTAGTTGCACCAGACAAAACCAGGTTGCACCCTGAACCCATAAATTTATCAAAGTTCAAACATGTGCACATAATCTTGAAGTTCCCACATTTCGACAACGTCAAAGCCCTCCCCCAACCAAAGACAAATTACACATTAAAAAGGGTCACTGACTTAATTTTGAAAATAAACTCAGATGTAATGAATGTGTTCAAAGAGCAAGTTGTGTGGATGTGTAAGGATTGACCCAAATTTAAAATTTCTTCACATGTATTTGGTGCATGTACACATAAATATTAGGTTGCATTTTTCAATAACAGGTTGCACTGGGACATGTTTTGTACAGCTCAATCGAGCCCTTTGTACATGTTACGTGTTTCTGTTCTATCAACTTCTTAATACCAATCCCTGACTTCCCCAGTATAATTAATGACTACATAACTAGCAATCTCACACAACTCCAAAGAAGTAGTGAGTGACTGAGTATGGTTATACGCCGCTTTTAGCAATATTCCAGCAACATCACGGCGGGGGACACCAGAAATGGGCTCCACACATTGTACCCATGTCGGGAATCGAACCCGGGTCTTCGGCTTGACAAGCGAATGCTTTAACCACAAGGCTACCTGACCGCCCCTCCAAAGAAGCAAGCAATTCTTATGCAAAGATGATTTAATGGTAAGCAATAACTGATGAGGCTGCAACAAATCATCAAAATATGGTGCATCACATAGTTCACCTCACCTCATGCAGTCGTACAATAGACAGGAGCAGCACTCCGGTCAGGAAGCCATTGTACTGGAAATGTATGTCTGGTTTGTTAAGTCAAAAGAACATAGACTCTTTAGTCCAGCCAACATATAACTCCATAATTCTAGCCTAGTTCGGCAAGTGTGCAAACAGGACATTTAAAGTTAGTTAACTCCCCTGCCTCGGGAAGATGAATTACGTGAGAAAGCACAATCTCCTTCCTGCGTGTGACACCATCATTGCTCTCCAGGTATTGTCGCTGCTCCCAGTGTGATAGCAGTCATTACAAGAGTGTGAGTGAGTTGAGCTTAACACCGCTTTTAACATTATTCCAGTTATATCACAGCGTGTCAGCTTAATGTGGGAGGAAAGCCCGAAGAGATGCAGGTCTCAGGCCTTTACCACTTTGGTGAAACACACGAGCACGGCTATAGTGATGACAAACCTAGAAACATAATCTGGACGAACTGGGATTCGAACCCACAATCATAGGTTTCTGGCGTGCCCAAGGGACGCAACTCTGCACAGCAAATCGCGGTGCTTCAGACAACTGGGCCACCCGTGCCCCCTCCATTACAAGAATCTTGAAAAAGTTTCCTCAAACCTCAAATGTAGTGACCTTTATATTTTTGGCGATGTCTTTGGGAAGCCATTATAGTGAATAGGGAAAAGGTTAACTTTGTTAAATGTTAACTTAATATTTCCCAAATGAAATGAAAACACCCATCTTTCCCCTTACATTCTCACTATACTTCTTACATGATACTTAGAAATTACAAATTAGCTTGGGAAGGAGTGTTCGTCATCACGACAATAATCAATTGTTTGCAAACATAAGGGTCAGTTGCCAGTTCAACTCCATGCATGATTGTGGCAGCCTAGCAGAGTGTGGTGCAGTGAGTGGTGGCAGTGATAGTATGATGAGCTCCACAAATAGGCTATTACTGTGAGGCGCTTGAAGTAAGCTAATCAAAGGGAGATAACTCATACATATGGCTTTTCACCACAAGACAAGGATACGGTCAACAATCAGAAGTCCAAAGTTGGCCAGCAGCAGAACACATGTGATGAGTTTGGGACTCTCAAACAAGTCCTGAGTCTCATCTTTTCGACTTGGCTTCAAATATTTCCTACAAAACCTGGAAAGAACAGATAAAATGCATCTATAATCCCAATTTTTCTATTAAATATAATAGTACAGATGGGCCATTTCTATTCACTGCAAAACATTTTAGATGAAATAAGTGTTTTTTAGAGTTAGATGAGACAATACATTTTGAAAACTTATATAACAAAATGCCAGAGATACATTGAAACAAGTTGCTAATTGTATATTACGTACCTATAACATTATTGCTTGTTGAGAGAAGACATTCTATTTCTCCCAAATCATTATGTTGTCAAAATATGTATAAATACTACTGAAAAGAATTTAAAGAACAACTGATTTTTTTCATATGACGATAGTAAATTATCATGGCCACACAAAATTCTGCTTCCACAAAATAAGACGTTCAATGTCAATGTTGCTGATTGAACATTGAGGTGGCAGTTCTTGACATAATATTACCATCTGAAAACATAGTCACTTACTGATTCACTGCATAGACAAAGAGGAAATCAGTCCCAATGACTGACAGTTTTTGAAACAATACTGTGGATTCGCTGGCATAGTTTAGGTTCGAGACAACCAGCATGTTCTTGTCAAAATACTGGGCCACTTGCGACAGTGCCATCTCCAGCCAGGCAAACAAGGGGGGGTAATCCAAGGTCCATTCAGATGTCTTCTGCAAAGACAGTTTTCTTGGCCATCATTAAAAATGATAAACTCACAAATAAAATACACTTAGATCATGTTTAAATATTACTCATAATATGAAAAGGTTCGGACTCAAGTAGAGACTGGAAAATACAGTTTTCATGCTGTTATGTATATTGTTTCGGATTTGGAAAGGGATGGTTTGGGGGTTTGTTGTTTTTAGCCACAGTCAGCAATATTCCAGCTATATCATGGCAGCCTGTAAATAATTACAGATGGGACTAACAAACAAGTGATTGATATTATGAGCAACACACTACACTATGGGTATACACTGTCGTGCAATCAGCCAAGTTACCGAATCTGACAACACAATGATAATGATAATTTATTCAGCTTTCATTATATATATATAGGATATCTCTTTAATACAATATACAAAATTAACATCATCATTGCTAAGTATGCTAAATTTATGTGGTTATCATGTTTGATAGTATTACTCATAATGATCAATGTTAGGAAGTATTTCTAAAGTATTTTACAAACATATAAAAACCTACCTCATAATACCAGTCTTTGATTGGCAGACTATGGGTTATTGCCAACCAGTTTCGATGAACTTCAAAATCTGTTGATCTGCTGCAAAATTACGGAAACACAAAGGTACAAGTTAATAGAACATCATGATATTTACAACCTCACAAAACATCTATTCATTCTCATTTCATGATTTAAGACTGACATTTTGATTTAAAGAAAATATGAAGGTTGTTTGGCACTACAGGTGTCATATAAATGGCAATATCAATGTTTCGTTTATTTACACTTGGCACAAAATACTGGGTCTAAAACCATTGTCAACTTGTGAAATCTTATGCGTTAAATCACCAGTTTACTACTACTGAATGTAGCCCACGCAAAAAGGAACACAATGCTGAAATTATCGGACGCGTGAGCAAGGCAAACGGAAAGTAAGGGGCCCGATATTCTCATTTAACCTGGAATCCAAGTTATTTCCCTTTGCAATGTGCCGGCATGTGACACGTGTACATGCTGACAAACAACAACTAAGCTTGTCATATCTCCAAAACAATATATATGTGACTGAAAGGTCTTCGAAAAACGTCTGTACTAGCCAAATAGGACAGACACGTACTACGTTGGCATCAAAAGTAGTTTGAAACAAGTGATCACGGAGGCGACGAGCCAAAACGTCGCCATCTTGAATATTTTGTACCTCCTTCACAAAAGAATTCGGAGCAATTTATTGCCAATCTGGGTGTAAATGCTATCTATTACTAACAATTACTGGTGCAGATAATTTAACCAAAACAATTATTTTCGATTTTATTAACTTAAATAGTTATGTTGTATAGTCTATTTCCTTTCGCAGTAGTTAAAAGCTTATTCAATAATTGGTTCGTATGAATTATCCAATGAGTACTCCCAAGCAAAAATATAGTTTCGAATTTATCACAACGTAAACAATGACATTAGATTTGTTGTATTTCTTTGTTAACATTAATTAAATTAATTTAATTACTTACAGTAAATACAACATACAACTTTCAATGGGGAAATACCAAAGTAATATCACCCAAAGATTCAAAATGGCGTCGCTCTTGCAGGTACATGTGATATTGAACAGCATGCATTTGTATTTTCCCTGCTTGTCTGGTATCAGAAATCTGTGTAAGAACGGAAGTAAATCTATCTATGACAGATACACAAGTCTTTATAGATATCTTCTTGATGTGTGACAACCTGTGTTTATAACAATGTTTATTTTGAGGGGAAACAGATGAACGTGATTTACTTTGACTTTGAAACTTTGGTCTTCGCAATTGTAAATGAAAGTTGAAATATCTTGAGACCATGTTCCAATTACGATAAGAGGCAGGGCCATGAACAGCAAACACTTGGAATACGGAAGGACCACTTTGAAACCAGTGAAAGGCCGATGTTTATTCTTTGACATTTTACATTTGTGACTTGATAAGTTGATTGGTTTGTTTATTCCACAATGAGATGACCTATTTCACAAACTGATGACAGACTCTGCATCCATACATGGGGTTATGGAAGGCCCAGTAGAAAGGACACAATGTTTATTCCTGCTGATATAAGGGTAACGCTATTTTTTAGGGCATTATCATTTGCAGAAGCCCGAGGTCTTCCATTAACTGTTGAAAAGACCCCAGGCTTCTGCAAATGATCATGCCCTGAAAAATAGCGTTACCGTTATTATAGCTAAAATGGATAGAATTTTTTATCAAATAAAAATACACAACAATATTGGTTTTGAAACATTTAGTGAAATAAACACGAATGTCACTGACCCACTTTTACAAATATGGAGTTGAGTTGTAACCAGATTTGTGTTGCAGTATCCTTTTGCAGCATGGCCATATCTCAGTGTACCCTGATTTTTGTATGAAATGTTTACAACATTAACCCATTTTGCACAAGGTCAGTGATGGACTTAACGTCAGGTCCCTCTGTAATGAAATCAGCTCGGGAAAAGCATTGGTATACCATTTAAATTCACAGATTGTTCTTCTTTTTTTTTTGCTGTGAGCAGGAGCGGCCATGTTGTTGAATGCCGTAAACCAATCATGGATACATTTATGATGTAGACTGTCACAACATTTCCAAAATCAAGATACACTTCGATATGGTCTGGTTACAAAATGATACAGCAACGCTAATCAGAGTACAACTTAATTTGTCGTTTTGTACCCTGGGTGCATTTCCATGGTATGCCAAATAAGCCTTTGTCACTAGTTAGGAATCTGGGTCAGACAAGGTTCCCAATATGTCATGCTTGTCAACCTGTTGGGATTCAAGGTCAGAATAGGTCAACAGTACCCAATGCATGTCTCCCCCGTGTGGATTACATGTCAAAATATGTCCCCAGTACATCCTGTCTGGGCCCTCCATTTTTGTATGTGTTTCTCATCTCCAATCTCATCCAGTAAGAGAGCGGGCTGGTAGAAATTTTAAAAAACAATTTAGAAAATTTAAAAGAATGTTTTTCACTAATTGTATAACTTATTTTATAAAATTTAGAACACTTTACAACATGTACAACAGTCCATATATTAATTTATGATGTAGCGATGATTTTAAAAGAAATTTGTAATAATATATCTGAAGAAAGATCAAGCTGACCAGTTTTTATTTGTGTGCAAATATAGGAGTATTTTTTTCTGTTCACATCAAGGCATAAATTTCCTAAATGTTTTTTTTAATTATTATTCCTGATGGAACGAAAAGTCAGGTATGAAGGAGATGGGAAACACAGTAAAATATACGGACAGCCTTGTTGTGAGACTATGAGCTGCCTAATGATAATGAAATGGTGATTGTTTTATCAAAGCTCTGTGAATTGGTGCATTGTGTCTAATCATGCCCTGATGGTGTGTGGCCTTGCTGATTGTGTGTCATCATACCCAGACGGTGTGAATCATTGCTTTTTGTTTGCTGTTTAACGCTGCACTCAGCATTATTCCAGCTATATGACGGTGGTCTGTAAATAATCGAGTCTGGACCAGACAATCCAGTGATTGACATCATGAGCATCGATCCACACAATTGGGATCGATGCCATGCCAACCAAGTCAGCGAACCTGACCACTTGATCCTGTTAGTCGCCTCTTACGACAAGCATAGTCGCCTTTTACGGCAAGCATGGGTTGCTGAAGACCCCGGGACTTCATGGGTCGCATCATTGCTTATGCTGTTCGTCACTTGTTAAGACCTGCTTGTTTACATGCCTCAATGGTGGTAATATACATGATATAACTGGGATATTGCCGACTGCAATGTCAAACAACATCCACTCACTTCCCCTAGTCATACCATGATCTATGTTTCATCAAAGCAAACAGTGTACAATTCAAATACTGTTAAAAGCTGGTTAAACCCAACTCACTCCCTCTTTATCAAAGTTCTATATCCTTGCAGAGAGTGCCATTTCTTCGTCCAGCATGTCAAGACTTGACGTTTGTAAGATGGAGTTTCAAGAAAAAGAAAATACCAAAGTGGGCTGACCCTAACGACATGTCCTGGGCAGAACCATTGTTTGAAAGGCAGAGGAAGCTGGAGGCTGAGGGAGGGAAGAAGAAAGAGGTGTCCATGTTGCACCTGGTACAGAGAGTGAAACCTTTGAAAGGTCGACCATACTGGGAGAGGGAAACCATGAAGACTCTCAAGTTAGATGGAAAGGTGATCAATCAATCAATCAATACTTTATTCAGTGTAGAGGTCATAGGCCGTTGTACACAGTGTTCCTGCTGGCTTTTGAAACTGCCAGTCCTGATAGACGGGCAACTCTAAGAAATTACCAGTCCCCCCTAATTTTTGTCAGTCCCGTTTTTCAACAAATAAGAAAAACCTTTAAAAAATACCTGGTTTTAATTCTTTTAACATCGTGTTCAATGCAATGGTGTCATCTCTGAAGTAAGTTGCTTAGATCTACATGTCTTTCACACAAAGTTCAATGACAATTGTCTTTTTTTTGTTGAATATTTCGCTACAGTTAAGTTATTGCAATTATACATTTAACCATGTTAACCTTGAAGCAAAGCAAAATGTTATTTCCTTGCACTAAAAACAGACAAGGGGAAACCCTGATGATAACAGACAATATGACACCGTTAGACTAGTATGAATATCGCTGATCTTTTGTTCAACAAGATTTATAAGGTTCTTTATTGGGATGCACAGGGACTGGCAGTCACATGAATTACAGGTCCAAGCCTAATTTTACCAGTATAAAAATGGCAATTACCGGTAAACAGGAAAACTGATACAAATAACAGTTTACAAATATGGTAGTGGCAAAATATATAATCTTAAACATTGTCTAACAAATACTTCCTGCTTTCATTTGCTTGATAAATATACAGGCAGAGTGATTTTATTTGTTCTGTATCATTTGTGGCAATTATCTTTTTTAAATGTATGCATATTAACACTAGTTATACATGTCCTTGATAGATATTTCATTTTAATAGCATCAAAAGTAGAACATACAAGTACAAAATGATATTTGTCCATATACGTCAATCACATTAAGGACATCTTCTCATGCATATATCAATGTTTTGGCCACCTACCGTCACTATTTATCAATAATAGTACCCCTTGAAACGTCACTGAAATATTTCGAAGCTTTTATTAAAATGAATTCGCTAATTGCATGAAGATACTTTTCTGGTTCTAATAAACATTTATGTTCTCTATAAAGGTTAGGAAAGATGGAAAGGTAATGGTGGTTCTGTGTGTAGGTCGTACCCAGCTTTTGTTGTTCATAATATCAACCACTGGTTTTTCTGGCCCATACTTGATTACTTACAGGCTTGTCATTATGGCTACAACATGATGACATAGTAAGATGCTTAACTTGCATGGATGATGCTAGCAATATCATATACATACTGTCTCAAATATTCTTGGAGAACTCCAATTCAAACACCAAAGCAGCTTTATTGAAATTGTCTTAAGACCCAATGTTCTTCCACTTCTGCATCCCTTGGGCCAACCAGGAACCTATCATTCATCCCGATTATGTTTCTAGGTTTGTCAGCACCATACCTGTTCTGGTGGGTTTCACCAAAGTGGTAAATGTCTGAGACCTACGTCACTTCTGGCTTTCCGCCCACATTAAGCTGACACGCCGTGATGTAACTGGAATACTGTTCAAACCAGCGTTAAACCCAACTCACTCACTCACTCCACTCCTGCATGCACTCTTTTGTAATTTGATGTACATTTAATATGTGTGACCGTTAAATTTGTTTCTGTGTTTATTGCCTGTCGAATTGAAAGATAAACATTTGTTTAAATGATCCAAGTAATGCTGCCATTTTATATTAATGCGACCAAAGACCGCCTCCATGGTCCAGTGGTAAGAGCGTCTGCCCAGGGAGTTGTTGTTGTTGGGCATTGAGGGGCTAAATCAAGGACTGCTCAGCTCAGTCAGTATACTAAGTCTGAGTGGGGCATCCATCATGTTATCTCAGTAGGCAAGTACTATGAAACTGACATTGACCTCCATCCACCCATGCTCGTAAAAGGCACCTGTTTTAATCGGGTGGTCAGGTTCGGTGACTTGGTTGATTGCTTATTATCTGGTGGCGAGGGGCATTTCTTCTAATATAAAACACTGAATTGTCTGGCCCAGGCTCTTATATTAACAGGCCACGTTATATAGGTGAAATATTGCTTAGAGATGTTAAACAAGAAAACAAAAAAAGTCTGCGAGTCATGGACCTGGGTTCTATCTCCCACCCCCCACCCCACACCCCCCCCATCCCATCCTAGCCAGTTGAGAAGCACATTTACAGCTATCTGTATAAGATCATCTTGTGATGTTTAATTTTTTCACCAACAGATGGGGATGACATATATTCACAAGAACATCCCCTCTGTGAATAAGATGCTGGAGAGTGTGATCCACCTCATCAAGATCACCCCCATCACATTCCCAGATGGGATTCCTGACACACCAGACGACATGGAGAACTGCTGGCTGAAAGATAACGGAGAGCTTGTGGTTAGGAAAACAGTTTATCCTGTAGAGACAGTACACTGTAAGAAGGAAGATAGAGATGTATGGACCATGGACTTTCAGACATTTGAGAAAGAGCATGAGAAGAAAATAGATACTAAAAGTGTTCACAAGGAATATTTTCCTCCCCAATATCGGTATAAATACAACCAAGATGGCAAAGAAATGAGGTATAAAGGGGATACTAATATTGGCTCTGACAGGGAGTGGAACTGATGCTGTAGTCATCAGAAGCAGTTTTGTATCTGGTCAGTGTGTGATAGTAGCAAATATATTATGAATGCAAAATGTACATGTTGTTTTTTCTTGGGTTTTGTTTCCTTCGAAACCTTGGGATACCAAGGGTTAACCAGATGAAATCCTGCATCCTATACCTATATAAATTGAAAATGGACAAATGAAATACCGAGTGCATCCACTGGGATGCAGAGAATTTGTATGCATGTTAAGGAATAACTCCTGATAATTCATAATTTGCTACCACTTTCCATACATAAAAATTTCAATACAGTCGAAAACTTCACAATCTTCTCATGTGAGTACTTAGTGTCATTTGAGGAATTTCATATTTGTTTTTAACTCACAGCCTCTGAGCATGTGAAATATGTTGGAGTACCTCATCAAGTGCCAGCAAACATGAGTAAAACTTATATATGGTATTATATATTAAATAAAATATAAATATTTGAGTTAGAATACCTCCTCAGCAACCCATGCTTGCCATAAATGGCGACTATGCTTGTCATAAGAGGCGACTAACGGGATCGGCTGGTCAGGCTCACTGACTTGGTTGATGTATATCATCGTATTCCACAGGTACTAGTATCTAATCTGTACTATTTCTTACATATGACTTAAAGTATAACTACTTAATTGTATACTTTAATGATATCTATCAATTCTGTGTAATTTAAAGGCCAAGATACCTGTACAATTGAGCAAAATATACATTGGAATTCGACATTATTATCTTTACAATAGAAAATGAGAATGATATTGCTCATAATAACATATATCTTCTGTGTAAAAACAATCCTCATTCACAACTGAAAGATTCGTTGAAATAAGAGAACTCAATTCGTTCTCAGGAAGTAGATATGGGGACAGAAAGAGGTATACCTTTGAAAACGTACTGAACGAATTACATCATATATATTTTAAGCGAGTGAACGAATTATACATTGAACAAGGGTTGCATTACATTTTCGCGAATCATTTACAAAATACGATTTCTTCGCATTTTAAAGTAATATGGAACCCATTAAAGCCAGATTTTGAATGCCAAAAAGAATGTGTATCACCTTGTCAAACGAAAATCAGTAACTTTGAAATTATGAATAAATAGTTGAAACCCTAACGACAGTACAAGGACAATATCCTCCGTTTCCTTACAACAATACATGTATATTAATTTAGATGGTAATTAACATCATCATTGTTTATAATACCGAGAAGGGGCGGTCGGGTAGCCTAGTGGTTAAAGCGTTAGCTCGTCACGCCGAAGACCCGGGTTCGATTCCCGACATGGGTACAATGTGTGAAGCCCATTTCTGGTGTCCCCCGCCGTGATATTGCTGGAATATTGCTAAAAGCGTAAAACCATACTCACTCACTCACTATAATACCGAGAAAACGAAGCGAAACCACGAATAAAGTATCACAGTTGCAAAAAACTAAGACAATAAAACGTGTCCAAGGTGAACAAGACGATCAGGCGCTGAATCAATGCTTTGTGCTCACTCCGGTTTCAATGCTCATGTTAATGACACTGTTGCCGGTGAAGCCAGTGATTTCCATCTCTTTGAGAAAAGATGTGAACAAATGATAATACACCTGTGTAAGGGACAAGGTAAATGTTATACTCTCTAAAAGAAATTGAGGATTTACGAAAACAAAACAGCTGATTACAGAAATTCAGAGAGAAATCGAGTGATGTCAATGAATGGATAGGGTAAAGGAAGGACTAGGTGTAGCATGACAATCACCAGAACATATTGGCGGCGTACTGAGAAGGTGCAAACAACCAAGACAGACGACATGGGCGTGTAGTAAAACAATGAATGTTTGAGATGATTTGATTAGTAATGGGTCACGAGCTCACGATTGCACAAACATTCGTTTGTGGTCGTGACATGGTCCGAATCAATCTTCAAATGGCAATCTGAGGTAGTCTTGTATGGCCAAGTTTGGCTAACTCAGGGTGGCCTTTGACGTTGGCGAACACGTCTCCCAATCATGTCCCAGGCGTGCGCTTTGAGATAAAGGCCAGGACTCTTGGCTGGCCATTGCGTTCCGGTGTAGTTTTGCAGCTGGAGGTAGTCAGTTACGATACCTGCACGGCGGGCAAGAGCGTTAACGTCTTGAAAGACAAAACGTGGACCAGCATCGCGCGCAAACGCCGCTGTGATTGGCGCAAATTTGTTATCTAGGTAGAACTGTCCAGTAACCTTTCTTTGGACAATATGCAGTGGCGTTCTTGCAGTCATAGTAACCCCGCGGCATACCCGCCCCATATCTTTACAGATCCACTCCAAATCTATCACGTTGTCTTACGTTGACGTTCGCTTGACACGTGTTAGGACACCTTCCAATCTCATTAAAATCAGACCTGTCTCCTCGCTACCGCTAAACAAAGATCTGAGGACATCCCATTAGGGGTCACGTCAGAACGACCTTTCATCCGACCAATCAGAACATCGCTTACCAGATTATGAAAGTGACAGTCGGAATGTGATTTCTAATCATGCAACCTCGAAAACTTTAACTCTGAACGATAGTTACGGGCTTAACGACTGAATCCATACAATCTAGACCATATATTAGCCATTCAAGAATATTCTTTTGTTCAGGTTTCAAATTTGTAATCGAGAATTTGTCAAAATATGTTTCGAAGCGTAGTCGCCAATTTGAAATTAGCGCCCTAAAGCAGGAGAAAGCTGCCTTCTGATTGGTCATTCTATTGGCCGGTCAAAGTTCGCGCAAAGTCGGTCTGACGTGACCCGTAATGGGATGTCCTCAGATCTTTGTTTAGCTGTAGCGAGAACTAAGATCCGATTTTAATGAGATTGCCTTTAGACACGTCCACGCCTTACCAGAAAGTCAAGGGCGAACCTGGACTCATCTGAAAACAATCCACGAGGCCATCGGCGATTCACCCTGTATCTACCATCTGAACACCATTGGCGTCTGGCTAGATTGTGTTGATTTGTTGACGGTGGTACAGCACCTAGTCGACCCGTGAAGATTCCGGGGTAGTATAGGTCTTCAGCAACCCATACTTGCCGTAAAAGGCGACTATGCTTGTCGTAAAAGGCGACTAACGGGATCGGGTGGTCAGGCTCGCTGACTTGGTTGATACATGTCATCGATCCCAATTGCGTGGATCGATGCTCATGATGTCAATCACTGGATTGTCTGGTCCAGACTCGATTATTTTACAGACCGCCGTCATATAGCTGGAATATTGCTGAGTGCAGCGTTAAACAACAACAAAAACAAAACAAAACAGCACCTAGTCGACGGTCATGAGATCAGCTTCATGCAGACGATTTCTAATTGTCTGATCTGTAACTTGAACTCGGGTGGCCTAGCGCTTAACGTTGGAATGAGTGAATTTGTGAGTGTGGTTTTACGCCGCTTTCAGCAATATTCCAGCAATATCACTGCGGGGACACCAGAAATGAGCTTCACACATTGCACCCATGTCGGGACTCGAACCCGGGCCTTCGGCGTGACGAACGAACGCTTTAACCACTAGGCCACCCGACCGCCCCCCTAACGTTGGAACAGCGATTTGACTGGCTGTTTGGGCTTAGTGTTCTTCGTTCAACAGTATCACAGGGCTTTAGACTTTCGGTATCACTCCTTTCAGCCTTGAGGTTAATCAATATAAAGGAGTTAGTTAAATCAATGCAGTAAACATCATAGAAGCTATCTAAATGAAGAATACTTCAAACTACAGCAATGTTGAATTTATCGCATTAAGCAACATGGTGAATTATCGGTATCATCATTCCAATGTGTACAGTGAGTGAGTGAGTTGGGTTTAACGCCGCTTTTAACAGTATTCCAGTTATATCGCGGCGTGTCAGCTTAATGTGGGAGGAAAGCCCAAAGTGATGCAGGTCCCAGACGGTTACCACTTCGGTGAAACCCACGAGCACGGGTATGGTGCTGACAAACCTAGAAACATAATCGGGGCGAGCCGGGATTCGAACCCACAATCATAGGTTTCTGGCATGCCCAAGGGGCGCAACTCTGCACAGCGAATCGCGGCGCCTTAGACGACTGTGCCACCCGTGACTTTTCATATTCTCTTGGGTGGCTCACTCGATTCAAATCCAGACATAGTGTAGGAAATTTCAAGGGGAGGCTGCTAGTGCGGACAAGGTTTCAGCTGGTTTCAGTTATACGGAAATTCGTGTATACGGACGAATTGTGAAATGACGCAAGTGTCCGTATAAACGAGGCACGACTGTAGTTGAAAAATAACAGATGCAGCGTGAGTTAAAGCGGTTGTTGCTCGCCCACATGGACAATTACACTCAGCTGGGATTTGCTTTCCAGAAAATTAATTTTGTCATTTCTGTAAAATATGCACACAAATTTGGCGTTAGGCTCCCGCAATATATTAGAATCCTTGCGTTCATACGGCAAGTTTTTTGATACAGGCCAACGACGTGACATCGTTGCACATGGGTACCGTATTTCCTGTAATAAGTGTATCGGCTTATTTTCTTTGAACAATCCTCCAGGCTTTGTGGTTATTGAACTACAGTTACATGAACTATAGTTACTAATACTTTGCCAAACAATTGAAATTAATGTACGTGATACAAAATCTATTTCAAGATAGAGAGCGATCGTAAACTGACATGTCTATTCACATGGAAGCCTCTTATAGGCGAAATTACAGTACAGTCGTCACCCCCAAGGTGGTGCTAAAAACCGGAAGTGCTAAAACGGGCCTCTTCGTGTCTAAGCTTTTATTAATCGAGGAGAAGTAATTCATATCTAACACACCCGAGGCCTACTGTGTTGTACGCTGTCTCGCGTTGATCTGAGGCCGCGCCTGTTAGGTAATTGACCTTTATAAGAGGAAATACGGTACATTCAAAGCGAGCTGCCATTTCGTCAGTAACGTGGGCTGTTCGTTGGCTACATGTATTATATGTGGTCTGTTTGATGTTAGAGAACAGTATGGTTTCAAAGTAATAGCCTTTTTTCTAATTGTATGGTAATAAATACACGTATATGACATATCCCCACATATTTCTGTCTGTTCCCAGTGGTCGTTCTGTCGGGTCGGAGAATTCGAGAGTTATTTATTTCTCCTTGATAGGATTATCTTTTTCGTAATAACGAAGACAAATTATCAAGTGGATCAGAAAGTGTTCCATCTCCGCGTGGAACTGTTAGTGTGTGGTCGGAGAGTCTATATATAAAATTGGCGCGTACTGACTCCCTTGGTGGCAGGTAGGTTAATTGAGCGGGACATTATTACCATCTTCATCACGGGATCAACAAACACATCTGATACTGTACATACCTGCCATTGGTAACAGATAGACGGTCTGGATACCACCTGTTGCTGCAGCGCTTCTTGGTATTTTCTTCTGGGTCTCGTTCCTTGTGGGGGTGGCCCACCCGTGGCGCCGTAGTTCCCTTTGCAAAGCTACGTCCCTTGGTTACGCCAGAAACCTATGATTGTGGGTTCGAATCCCGGTTCGCCCCGGTTATGTTTCTAGGTTTGTCATCACTATAGCCGTGCTCGTGGGTTTCACCAAAGTGGTAAACGTCTGAGAACTGCATCATCTCGGGCTTTCCTCCCACATTAAGCTGACACGCCGTGATATAACTAGATACTGTGATATACAGTATAGATAATACTGTTCAAATTCACTCAATCACTCACCCGTTCCTCGTGAGGATTTCAACAGATTTGTACCATTTTTTGCGCATCCAACTTTTCCACAGCTCATTTCATCTTCCCAAGGAAAGGGAGTTAACTGACTTTAAAAGTTCAGTTTCCACCCTTGCCGAACTAGGCGGGAATATATGGAGCTAAATTCTGGCTGGATTAACGAGTCTATGTATAGTCCAATCAAATTCCGCGTTGGAGGTTGATCATAATACCAATCACTAGATTGCCTGGTCCAGACTCGATTGTTTACAGGCCGTCGTCATACAGCAGATATATTCCTAGGTTAAACGACACTACGGTGTCAACCTCTACAATGTATTAAAAACATAAATATTTGGGCACAGCCGGTAATACAAACAACGTTCCATTGGCCTACAAGTAAACCCTATATGTTTAAAGAATTGGCAGATTACCTAAAGTAATAGGAAATACCTGAGTGTCCCTTAACTTTAGTTTTGTAGTATATGTTCGGTATATGAACTAATGGTACTTTATAGTCAATCCATCGGATTTAGCAACCCCGATAATACAGTTTAAAATAGGTATTCAGAAAAGAACAACAACAGTCTGGATATGGAAGAAAGAATACAAGTGTAACCATCTTGTTATGGAATACTGTAAGCGACATTCTCACGTTCTCGCAATCTCGACGTTTGGAAATCAGCTAAAATTTAAAAAAAGTAGAGAATGCGAAAACGCAAGGATGTCCCTCATAGTACACAAACACGCACGCACGCACGCACGCACGCACGCACGCACGCACACACACACGTGAAAGGTCAGATGTGTGTGATGTGAGCGAAGTGACATTTCAAATCAGCCCTGTCTTTTGAACGAACCCTCAATCGAGTTTAGGTTCAATGTGTTGAGAAGATCGGCAACCCCGTAGAGTCGCTTGGATGAAGTCGGCTGGCCTGAAACGTGAAACAGAAGACTTTCTGTTTGCTTCTCAGGACCAGTCACTTCCCACTCGAAACCGTGATTTTGCATCAAAATGTAAATATGAAATGTAGATTACGCAATGAAGTTAATGAGGCTGTCCAACACATTGTCAGTAGATGGATGCCCAGCTTTGGCTCAAACACAGTATCTTCAGCGACATGATGAAATGGCTCGATCATTTTATTACCGTCTTTGCCATGCTTGTGGTTTCGACACAGAGGTCCATCCATGGTACGACCCGAAATATGAAGAGGGCGTCATGGCAAATGATAAATATAAAAGTCTTTGGAATAGACCCGTTTACACCCTCAGACGTATCCAGGCCAACAAACCTGATCTTGTCCTTTTTGATAAATCCAGTGAAATCATTTATATCACTGAATTTTCTGTCCCTTTTGACACTAATGTGATTGACAAGATTCAGGAAAACATGGCAAATATGTGGACCTCGCTTTCGAAATGTCACGCTTGCATCCCAAGTACCAAGTTGTCCGACTCCCCATTGTTCTCAGTGGCTTTGGTTTGGTACCTCCCAATCTGTTGACTGACATTGGGAGAGTACCCGGGTTTGCTACCAGGAATACAGCCCTTCTGACAATCTGGGTAATACAGAAGGTTGCAGTGCTTGGGAGTCTTCACATTCTCAGAAAAGTTCTTGGTGGGTTTGACTAAGGAGCGATTCCTGGGAGAAGTCCCATTCGCTGTCTGGGCGGCGTGTAGAGGGGGCAAGGGCCCTGAGCTGATGATGAGCCTAACCAGCCTGACTGTGCCAGTATCACCCAAACCCTCTTTACTGCATTTTTTTATTTTAATCTGTAAATAATAACAACAACAACAACAACGATGATGATGAAGATGATGATGATGATAATAATAATTATAATAAAAAAATAAAAAATAAATATAATATATATTTTTTATACTGATGAAAAATAATGAAAAATACAATATGAAAACATGGCATGACAACATACTAATCCGATAAGACACCAAGCGAACCGTGGTTTTCAACGAACAAATTAAGCCAACCAAATGACGTAAGGAAATATAATTTCCAAAACCACTTCCTTGGGAGCATAAATCACGGACACAAAGCACTAATTATATATCCCTCTCGCACCCAACAGTAGCCACGGATTATCGCGGGGATAATCCCAACCTCGTTCCCCCTACCCTAGCCATGCCACGTCACCAGGACTCCGATTCAGTGATTGCTCCCATTGTTGAGACGCTCTAATACTGTTTACTGCATATGATTGGTGATTACTGATGTCGTACAAAACCCGTGGTAACAGGGCTTCGTTAGATCCTAACACAGTCTGAGTACAGTGAGGGCGCTCGGACCATCATGACACAGGGATAACTCACGGCACACAGAAGACTCCCATTTCGCAAACCATGATGAAATCACTGATTACTGTGTGTCTTCTAGTGTTTTGTAAAAATGCTGGTACGTAATTTGTTTATTAATTTATTAATTTTGTTAAATGTGGATGGTACATCGGGTTTTAGGTTGTGATAACATGGATACCTGGCCGTATATTAAAGGATACATTTCTAACCTCTCACCTTTACATTTATTTTATTACAGTGTGTACAGATAAATATTAGGATACAGTGATATTAATTTTGGGGGTCATTCCTGAAGCCGAGTTTCACTTTCGCAAGTAACTAGAGGTGAGGTGAAATGGGGTTTAACGTCGCGTCCAAGATTATTGCACTTATATAGCGACGTGCATGCACGTGTATGTGTGTGTGTGGCTGCTTGTACTAGTCCGGACTGATGCCGATTTATAGTGCTAGCTCACTGAGATACCATGCCGCAGTTTAACATGAATACCCCACTCAGACACAGTATACTGACTCCGAGCCGACCAGTCCTTGTTTTAGCCCCTTAATGCCGAGCGCCAGACAGGGTAACAACAAGTACAATCTTTTAACGTCTTTTTGTATGACGCGGCCCGGGATCGAACCCTGGACCTTCCGCTCTCCGGGCGGACGCTCTACCACAAGACCACGGAGGCGGTCGCAAGTAACTAGAGCTATGACTCTTGGAAAGGTGTGGCTGTTACGACCATAGCAACATTGATATGTCTTGGTTGAACAGGTCCTCTCGCCACATGATTAACGCAGGTCTTGTATATGCGTGTGTGTTGTTTAACGCCGCAGTTAGCAATATTCCAGCTATATGACGACGGTCTGTAAATAAACGAGTCTGGACCAGACAATCCAGTGATTGATACTATGAGCAATGTCCCATGCTGTCGGGGTACGATGACATGCAAGTCAGCGAGCCTGACCACCCGATCCATTACGAGAATACTTTTAGGTTGCTGGGGTCATTTCTAATCCAGAATCCCAACTGACAATAGGCGTATGTGAACCGTACCGACATTTCGTTCACGTTCGCATGAAGTTGCGATAATATAACATGGTGTATCGCAGTTACGCGTGTCCACCTTGAATTGCATCAACCATAAACCATTTATATAAATGTCAATGGAACAAAGTGAGTTTAATAATGCGCTATCTCGGAAATATCACAGATTCAATGACTGTTCCACAATTCATTGCATAAGTGTTTTGACATTGATATTACAACATCTAAAGCAACTATTTCCATACTCGTGCGCCGTTTTATGTGCAGTGCTGACCAAGTCCTATGAAACTATATCGAGTAATCAGCAGTTCGATACAACGGGAATGTTAATGTTTCGATAGATATTCAGTAGTTACAGAGTTACATCGCCTTAAATGATGTGTCGAGTTCACGAAGTTTCAGTTAACGAGGGTTTGTTGTATATATTTCGACATACATCCACATAATTCCGCGATATATACTAGTATCCACTTGCAGCACGGACCCGTGAAGATCCGGGGTAGAATAGGTCTTCAGCAACCCATGCTTGCCGTTAAAGGCGACTATGCTTGTCGTAAGGGGCGACTAACGGGATCGGGTGGTCAGACTCGTTGACTTGGTTGATGCATGTCATCGATCCCTATTGTGTGGATCGATGCTCATGATGTCAATGACTGGATTGTCTGGTCCAGACTCGATTAATTACAGACCGCCGTCATATAGCTGGAATATTGCTGAGTGCGGCGCTAACCAACAAACAAACAAAACCTGCAGTACGAAATGTGGTCCTTGGAATTAACAAATTTAAATAATTTTGCAGTGATGTACTTCAACGAATTTGTATTTAAATTCTTACCAATTCTGCAAAATATTTCCATTAAATTCATTAAATTATATGCAATGCTTTATTTAAACCGTACTTTCCAGATGGCGCTTGCACCTTCCCGTCTGACCTCACAGGGTCATGGGTCACCTCGACGATGGGCACGATCACATTTACGACATCCCAGGTGACGATCCCGTCAGTCTACACCTTCGGCAACCTCGTCTTCGACTGTGACACGCTAGATGGCACACAGTATCTACTCAGGTAATGGTCATCAAACTAGTGGTCGATAGCATGAACATCATCGATTATCCAGCGTATCATATCTACAATCTAACTTTCTATATACTCAGGAGTCTTTCACCACCAAAACTTCGTTTCTGAAGTGACGTCATCGTTTCCATCATGTTTATCACTAACTTAGAGCGAACCTCATCTATATGATAGGTGAAATGGGGTTTAAAGTCGCAATCAAGATGGCTTCACTTTGCAAATTCGTGCAAATTCTGTGGCCATTCTGTCGGATCGGAGACGTCGAGGTGAGGTGAAATGGGCTTCATGTCGCGTTCAGTACATCTTCCCGAGGCAAGTGAGTTAACTGACTATAAAAGTCCAGTTTCCACCCTTGCCGAACAAGGCTGGTATTATGGAGTTACATTTTGGCTGGACTAACGAGTCTTTGCATAGTCCAATCACAATCGCGCAACGAAATCGAAATCCGGTTCGTAAACTGTCAATCAGATTTCGGTCGATTGCAGGATTTGCAAAGCATGTGCACCGCCAACTCGTTGTCAACAGATTTTTTCCAAATCTTTTCATGTTTTTAATCAAGGTGCTCATTTGATTTGATGCACTTGGCGATGTAAGACCCGTTCTAGCACAATATAGATCTTGATTATCGATCGACCGGGCGCACAAGTTAATGCAAGTCACTCTCCTACCCAGAGTTCCATGCGACCAACATAGTACCTCTGCCACAGGCCAGCGCCATGTGACGATTCGTTACATCTTTCACAGTCCATTCAAGATAGTGCATATGTTTTTCATCTGTTTCATTTTTAACAAGTCTACAAATTTAGATAAACATGTGTCATATAGTTAACTTTCAGTGGGCAAATATCCCAAATCGTGAAATACTATTTCCATTTGCGTAGTTATCCTATGTTTACATTGGTTGTACGGCTCCACGTGCTGTCATCGAAGCCCGACGGAGAGCTAGATACGGTCACTTTGATGAGTAAATATGTCTTGTCATGCAACTCACTGTGGCAGCTGTAGCAGCATAATTATCTATAAAATTATGCAATACAATTTGTAAAGCGCCCCTAAATACATGGATTAGTCCGATTTCTGAAAAAGCGCGTTTGTTTACAAACAAGAGAAAAGTCCGGTCACGTGATATGCAAATTAGCCTGTGGCAGTGGTGGTATGCTAAGTCACCACTGCGCCGGAGTGTGAATGCAAGTGATACAAGAGGTGGAATCTGATTGGTCCATAGGAGAGGCATAGAAGGGACATAACTCATAATAGCCACTGGTGGCGCTACGATCGAGCCCAGGAATTCCAGCCTAGTCCGGCAAGGGTGGAAATTGGACGTTTAAAGTCAGTTTACTCTCTTGCCTCGGGAAGATGCGTTCAGTGTTTTTGCACTATACTATTATTGCCTTTCCACAGTTCAACATGGATATCCTACTTAAACACAGTATACAGAACCGACCAGCCCTTGTTTTTCAATTCTGTAGTAAATAATAAGATCTATGGCTATCACTTCTGTAGTACATAATAAGATCTATCGCTATAAATTCTGTAGTAAATAATAAGATCTTTGGCTATCAATTCTGTAGTAAATAATAAGAACTATGGCTATAAATTCTGTAGTAAATAATAAGATCTATGGCTATCACTTCTGTAGTAAATAATAAGATCTATGGCTATCATTTCTGTAGTAAATAATAAGATCTATGGCTATCAATTCTGTAGTAAATAATAAGATCTATGGCTATCACTTCTGTAGTAAATAATAAAATCTATGGCTATCACTTCTGTAGCAAATAATAAGATCTATGGTTATCTCTTCTGTAGTAAATAATAAGATCTACGGCTATCTCTTCTGTAGTAAATAATAAGATCTATGGCTATCACTTCTGTAGTAAATAATAAGATCTATAAGTATCATTTCTGGAGTAAATAATAAGATCAACGACGACATGTTTGTGGTTAGTAACAGGGTCTACGACTGTCACTTATGATAAGCTCTATTCTGTTACTCCAGGTCAACAACGACAGTGTCGGTCCTCAATAATCAGCTCGACGTCGTCACCTGCTTCAACGACATCACCATGCTCACCACCAGTATCAAGTACAAACTCCAGCATGCAACGAGTCAGTACTTGGAGTTTTGTTTGTTTGTTTGTTGTTTAACGCCGCACACATCAATATTCCAGCTATATGGCGTCTGTCTGTAAATAATCGAGTCTGAACCAGACAATCCAGTGATTGACATAATGAGCATCGATCTACGCAATTGCGATACGATGACATGCATCAACCAAGTCAGCGAGCCTGACCACCCGATCCCGTTAGTCGCCTCTACGACAAGCATGGGTTGCTGAAGACCAATTCTACCCCGGATCTTCATGGGGGATTAACTCTTGAAGATTTAGTCATAACTGCTTTTCTGTTTCTTTGGTCTTTGTTGGGGGCTTATTCTAACCCGCATATTCACAGATGATTTATCGCTGTACTTTGGTAGTATTTTGGGAATAGAAAAGTGGAAATCAGATCTTAAACACGAACCTTCTTTGGTATTCCCCTCGGTACAAGAATCAAAACCCGGCTTCATTGAATGATGAAATAATAAACGTATGGTTACTGCTTCCGTTTATTCAGCTACACTGAATGATGCGAGCAACTGGCGCATAAAGGTCCTCCCCACAGGGACAACGCTCAGCGCCAGCACCCTCTGTGACGTGACAACCCCATACGCCACCGGCAGCGAAGACATCCTCATCAAAGATGGTGAGATTGATATAAATTTTAGACAGAAAAGTTCTGATTTACTGAAATATATTTAGAATATTGCAAGATATGATTACCACACCGTTGTGAGTGAGTGAGTGAGTGAGTTGGGTTTATCGCCGCTTTTAACAGTATTCCAGTTATATCGCGGCGTGTCAGCTTAATGGGATTCGAACCCACAATCATAGGTTTCTGGCGTGCCCAAGGGACGCAACTCTGCACAGCGAATTGCGGCGCCTTAGACGACTGGGCCACCCGTGCCCCCTCCCACACCGTTGTGAATGTGTGAGGATGGTTTTACATTTTAGCACTATTCCAGCCATGTCTGCAAATAGATGCCATTAGATGACCAGGGGAAAAAACATTCGTTTTAAAAAAACCACATCAAACCTGAAGATATAACCCTTTTATGGACAACTTAAATGTTTGTTCCAGTAATAGAATTAGGCGCCGCAATTCGCTGTGCAGAGTTGCGTCCCTTGGGCACGCTAGAAATCTTTGATTATGGGCTCGAATCCCGGTACGCCCCGATTATGTTTCAAGGTTTGTCAGCACCATACCCGTGCTCGTGGGTTTCACCGAAGTGGTAAACGTCTGAGACCTGCATCACTTCGGGCTTTCCTCCCACATTTAGCTGATACGCCGTGATATAACTGGAATACTGTTCAAACCGGCGTTAAACCCAACTCACTCACTCACTCTTTATTGTTTGTAATTGAATCAAAGTTGTTATCCATTAAATTTCATTTATCCGTGTTCTTCTAATTTCTAAATGCCTGGTGTCAAATTCCACCTTAAACATTTCGTTTTCTTGTATACGAGTATTCTTGAATCGGCTCCCGCGAAACGATCTTGGCACTGCTGTTAAATTTGACACAGACGCACGTCTGTCGTAGTGATAACATCGTCCTCAGGCCTCAGAGTCACACGTCATCTGAGCTCAACGACAGGCGTAAGCCTATGTTAGCGTATTGGACGTAGCATATTGCAACGTCACGATCACGTTTTGAAGAGGAATCTCAGCGATTTTAGCACTCAGACGGTCATAACTCCCATACGTAAACGAATACCTACGACAGTCGTAACTATGGAATCCTAGAGGGGACATTGTCGCGTTGTCTCATTGTCGCCCTGACAAAAAGAGCAAAAAGTGTCAAAATTAACTAAAGCGCGACAATCCGACAACGCGACATTATCTATATGTCGCATTGTCGCAAATTTTAACGCCTTTCTCACACATTTTTAATTGGGCTACAATGCGACAACGCGACACATTTTGACGTTGAAAAATGTCGCGTTGTGGCATCGTCGCGACAATGTCCCTTCCAGGATTCCATCCGTAACGCTAAGATCGCCCAGATACTTTTTTAATGAATATGGGCTCAACTTCGTGGGGGCGGTCGGGTAGCCTAGTGGTTAAAGCGTTCGCTCGTCACGCCGAAGACCCGGGTTCGATTCCCGACATGGGTACAATGTGTGAAGCCCATTTCTGGTGTCCCCCGCCGTGATATTGCTGGAATATTGCTAAAAGCGGCGTAAAACCATACTCACTCACTCACTCACTCAACTTCGTGACCACCATGACTGTATTTAGATGTAGATGTAGTCTGTGACGTTCACGTAAACCAAGGTTAAGTTCTGTGGTACATCGCCAGGTTCAGCCAGCAGTGCCTACAGCCAGTGTCCAGACGCATTATTGGGGAAGTTCGCCTACACATACGACGCCGGAAGCGGAGACGTGTGCTCTAGCGGCTCCAACCTCGACGTCTGTACCGACCTCACAGCCATGACCTTCAACCTCTCCACCTGCAGTCAGAAGGTCGCATTCTCCAGTACGTGTTGTCCCAGGGTCACAGATATTACGGGAAGTAGATCTCGCATTCTCCAGTACGTGTTGTCTCAGGATCATGGGTATGACGGGAAGTAGATCTCGCATTCTCCAGTACGTGTTGTCTCAGGGTCAGAGATATTACGGGAAGTAGATCTCGCATTCTCCAGTACGTGTTGTCTCAGGGTCAGAGATATTACGGGAAGTAGATCTCGCATTCTCCAGTAGGTGTTGTCTCAGGGTCAGAGATATTACGGGAAGTAGATCTCGCATTCTCCAGTACGTGTTGTCTCAGGGTCAGAGATATTACGGGAAGTAGATCTCGCATTCTCCAGTACGTGTTGTCTCAGGGTCAGAGATATTACGGGAAGTAGATCTCGCATTCTCCAGTACGTGTTGTCTCAGGGTCAGAGATATTACGGGAAGTAGATCTCGCATTCCTAAGGTCTGCTACCATCTGGGAATGTATTGCTAAGTATTTATTTATCCAAAAGTCGTGCAATTTTTATAAAAAAAAGATGTGTAATTTATTAAATGGGCCGACGAATCGTGCTGGAGTGATATGAGCTCTGGGTAGGAGTGTGGGGTACCAAGTTGACCGCAAGGAACCCTGGGTAGAAGGGTGAGCAAGTTTGTCATAGCAGTGATAGTCTTGTCTCCCGTACATTCTTGATCCTAAGAAAGCGAGGTGATGTCATTTCAGGTGGGGGCGTGGTCAACTGTGTGTACAACCAGACCGACACGTCCACGTCTACAACATACGTCATCGTCTACAACAACGACACCACCACTGACGAGAGCTCAACGTACAGATATACGTGTTTGGTATGTTTATATGTTCAACATACTTCACTATATACACAGCCGAGCAAAAGAAAGTATACCCTTACAAATTGGATTTAGCCAACAAATTACAAATTTTATCAAATCTTTACTAGTCTGAAAGCTGTCCCCGAAACAGTACAAACGTATGGCCCCAAACACGACTCTGATACACGTATCAAATACATACATCACCATCGAATAACCATTTTTTGGTTTGTAACATCAGAGCCACCATCAAACATTGGGGTGTATTTTCTTTTGCCCGGCAGTTTACTAGAACAGCAGACCGCCTCCGTGGTCTAGTGGTAGAGCGTCCGCCCGGAGAGCGGAAGGTCCGGGGTTCGATCCCCGACCGCGTCATACCAATGACGTTAAAAGATGGTACTCGTTGTTACCATGTCTGGCGCTTGGCATTATGGGGCTAAAACAAGGACTGGTCGGCTCGGAGCTAGTATACTGTGTCTGAGTGGGGTATTCATGTTAAACTGCGGCATGGTAATTCAGTGGGCTAGCACTATAAATCGGTATAAGTCCGGACTAGTACAAGCAGCCACACAAACACACACACGTACATGCACGTCGCTATATAAGTGCAATAATCTTGGACGCGAAGTTAAACCCCATTTCACCTCACCTACTAGAACAGTAAACAACAGGCGTGAAATGTCCCATTGAGCTACGACTTTGGTAATCGTGAGTTCGATGCCAGAAGGGTTGTGTTCATATCTGGTGAGGTGAGGTGAAATGGGGTTTAACGTCGCGTCCAAGATTATTACACTTATATAACGATGTGTCCATGTACATTGAAATAACACTTAAATCGTTTCATCACTTGCATGCTTTGGAGCTTGACATCCACCCTGTAAAATTAAGGATAGTCTTGCATACAGACCCTGAAACAAATATATAAAACACAGCCCACGCAAGTCTAAAGTATACTGATGGAAACGAATAAGGGAACAAAAAGAGGGAAATAAGCTTCACTGTCAGTACATTTGTACATGTGTTTGTGTGCATTGTTTCCACGCCGTAATTGGTAGACCAGGGCCCACTTGCACAAAGCGACCATAGCACTAAGACTATTGTAAGCCTATGTTAAAGTATGGGAGTTAAGATCATCTTAGCGCTAAGATCGCTTTGTGCAAGTGGGTCCAGGCCTTGGAACCCATGATAGTGTTGCCTTATTCATTTCCATCAGTATAGTTGGAAAGTCTAGACTACTACGGTTTCAGGTCTGAAAATGAAGAGTCTTTGTGCTGCTTTTTATTATATTTTATTAAGATAATTTGTTTCTATTCTGTAAAACATTTTAATTTCAGAGCCTAGTCTTTGTTCGAGGCTGATTATCCTGGAGATATAGATAAAGACTCATTGTTAGATTTCAGTCACGCATCTGAGCCACGTGTATTTATTTTTACATGTCAGATGTCCAAAACTTGCAAGTGTAAGAAGAAAACAATTAGTTGCCATTTGAACATGTCTGAGTATTTTCAAACCAATATTTCAATATTTTCCGTAACTTCACAAGAAGACAATGACATTGTCAGTGGGTCCAAAATGCTCTTATACCTCGCCGTTTGTTTGTCTGTGAACCAAGAACACACTTCCATGCGCCTTGGCGTTACGATTGGCGTTAGACCGACACCTGTTATATGACAGCCGTAACGCTGTGAGAACGTATTATACTTTGTTCATCGGTGGCCAGGTCCTAAGCCTGATTCAGCCGTCACCACTCGTCCCTTTCCGTAACCGGCTTGTCCCGGAATGAAACGAGTGGTCACGAATAAGACGAGGAATTTCGCACTGAGGAACCAACACTGGTTTTGTCCCAACTTATGGAAGAAGTAACTACCGGATTCTGTTAGAGTGACGTTACTGGTCGTGTCATGATTCCAACGTTGGACAGTTTTTATTTGTTCTCCTGCTAGTGTCCAGCTGTAATCATCGACTATCTGTGTTTCACCATTGGTGCCTTTGCTGTCCACAGGCCGTCTCAGAGACCGGAAGTGTTGTCAACGTCAGTGAAAGCGCCCAGATCTGCCAGGGCAACCAGACCTCAACCTACGTGGCTACCGGAGCCACACTTCAGCTGACTGCTAACCGTAAGTTCACACTCCTCTATCTAGACACGCTTCTGAAGTCTAAGAGACCACAGTTCGTTGTATGTCACCCGCAACCCGGATCCGCTAGTTGCAAGTTCGAATCCCAGATTCGCCCCGATTATGATCCTTGGTTTGTCAGCGCCATATCCAACCTCGTTGGTTTCACCAAAGTGTTAAAGTTTACGACTTGCGTGACCTTGAATGTTCCTCCTTAATTAAACTGACACGCTTGTATGACTGTTCAAATCAGCGTTAAAATCAACCGACCAATACTTTTTCACAATAATAGCGTGATCTATTCAAATATGATTGATGTTAAATAGCTAATTTTTGTATCATGAATAGCACAACGCTGATAAAAGACATTCATTTTTGTATATTTTTCAATCAAATTTAATTCTTTGATTTCCAACTTTCAGAGACCTGTGGTAAGTTGCTGCGTTTTCTTTAGTGTTGTGAAGTGACGTCAATCTCTACAACGCTTTTCTGCTCTAGTCAAGCATCCCCCCCTTCCGTTACCAATGCACATAGATCAGCGAGGTGGTCAAATGGTCAAAGCGTTCGTCGAAACGCTGGAGACCCGGGTTCATACCCTAACATGGGTATACTGAGTGAGGCAACCCATTTTTAGTGCCCCTCCTATGGGCTGGAATATTGCAAAGATGGGCGTTCAACAATAACCACTCATTCTCACAATGCAAATATTCAAACTGTGTCTATGCACTCTAATTCGATACTGCATGCTAGCATCCTTTTCACCCTAGTTCTACTGTATCCATTCACCCTTTCACCGTCGAAGCGCGAGAATCTCAGTTCACAGGGGCCTCAGATGTTAGTGATAGTTATGTTTCAAATGCCGCCATTGCCGACTTCTTCATCTCAGCCTCATTGACGTGACTGACCGCTGACGTGTATGGATAAACTGGTCAGTCCTCTGTGATGATTAATGTCCTTATTGGTTTGTTTGTTTGTTTGTTGTTTAACGCCGCACTCAGCAATTTTCAGCTATATGACGGCGGTCTGTAAAATAATCGAGTTTGGACCAGAAAATCCAGTGATTGACATAATGTGCATCGATCCACGCAATTTGGATCGATGACATGTATCAACCAAGTCAGTGAGCCTGACCACCCGATCCCGTTACTCGCCTTTTACCACAAGCATAGTCGCCTTTTACGGCAAGCATGGGTTGCTGAAGCCTTATTGGTCAACACATAAGTGCCATTAGTTAAGCTTGAAACGAGGACACTGACCTCGACATTTGTGTTATATTTGTACAATTCATAACTTGCGTTTCCCATATACGAGTTTCGCGTTAAATAGGTGTTAAATGTTGCTTGAAAAAGATTAAGAATTAAATAAATTTTGTTGTCGGAAACCATCGCTTTATATTCGATTAGGCATTACCCTGTACATTATTGCCTATGGAATTAGTAATACGAGTAACCGCGCCCTACAATCAAGAGACAATGCACTGAAGTGTACGTGTCTCTTTACAGTGCCGACCCCTACCACACCAGCAGCAGTCGCAAGTGCTGACGTCACTTCCGTCGTCTCTGGGACTGTGTCATTGCTCCTGCTGTTGGTCATTGGCGCGGTGGTCTTCGGTGTGTTTTTCAAACTGAAGAAAAAGAAAGTTGACCCAAAGGAGGAGACTGTTAAACCCAATTCCGACATAAGACCCAAGTCTCGCATCGCTGTGTCTATTATGGATGTGGAAAACGACGTGACCAGCCCTCGTGACGTAACTGTATCTGAAAACGAGGCTGTCACTTCGTCTAAGGATGCCGGAACTGAAACAGATGCGGCAGGGGAAGGCCATACTGACTTGAAAGTTGAGGATGGTTCAAATGACCTCTTGGCTGTACCTGACGTTGCGGCTGATCCTGAAGGCCCAAGGGAGGCTACTCAGACTGATATTGCGAGTAGTACCGTCGCTAAAGTGCCGAAGATCAACACGGACACTGATACGTCGCCCCGTGACGAAAAAACTGACAAAGACACCTCGAGATCAAAGAAGTCCAAAAATGAGACATCACGCTCCAAAAAATCGAAAAATACTCCGCGATCGAAGAAGAAAAAATAACAAAACAGAACACTTTTAATCGAGAGAAAGAAACAATTCATTAATTTTGTGTTCAGTTTGTGTTTAAAATGTTCTCTGCTTTATAGTACTCTAAAGACAAGATGTGGAGGTTATTCCAAATTTGACCAAATGTGACGCATCAGTGACCAAAATAATGTCCGATGCAATTCCCTGTTTTGTACCATACGTTTGTTAAGATGAAGAATTGACTTCCCTTTGCATGTGTTTGTAACGGGTGCCATCGGTGGGGCAGGATATCCTCAACGTTTTGCGAATACCTTGTGCCATGACTATTTTATAGTGACTCCTAAACACATGCTAATGACATAGTCGGACACGTACAATGGTGACTTCTTGTGATTATGGAAATGGTTTTTGTCGCTTTTATTTACATACACTGCCGTCAAAATGGCTAATATACTTGACTGACTATGTCACTGACAAGATGTACGTCATCGTTATTTGAATTCTATTATTAGAATCCAAAAATTTAAAAGTGACGTCAGTGTTTGCCTCTTGCGAAATGTATCTTTGTTAATGGAAATGACGACAAGAATAACTGTTGCATTTCAATTTAGCCCAATCAGCACACTTTTTTCACTCTTTCGTATTTATTCTTTCGCACACGTTTTGCCTTTGCATGCATAATTATTAATGAACATGCATGTTAAATGCATTTCAGCTAGAGGTTTTGGGGTACAATTCCATATGTTTGACTGAAACATTCTGTGCAATGCAAAATAACGCACAATGATAACACTGCCTGTAATTTATTGTCATTTACTGTTTATCATTGGAACGTAAGCGTGGTCTTAATATATTAATTTTTATGTAAAGAACAACGAATGTTTCTTTATATAAACATACAGCAATGAGGAAAAATCAAAAGATCAGTCGTAGGAAGGGAAGTTACTCTGTATAAATATCACGTCTTTGAAAGGCATTTAGAAGTGATACACATAAGGAAGAGAATATATGGATGCCAACTTCTTTATTATGAGGAACGCAACGTTTCGGAGTATATGCTTACTCCTCCATCAGGTGAATGAATGCCACGAGGCAGAGAGCATATGTATGTACAGGTAAGGACAACAAAATTAATAAGATAACGAAAGGTGGTACATAACAAAGGGTATTTTGTAGCATGTTTCTTTCAGTTCATGTTTTCACACTACCGAACATATTTATTTTTAAAGTCTATTTCGACCACCGATTTAAGATTTTGAAAAAAATTGATCCAGAAAAAATGTTACAAAATAAAGCGTTTATCGTCACTCCGAAAGACCGGGTTCGATTCCCCACATAGATACAATGTGTGAAGCCCATTTTTGGTGTCCCCCGCCGTGATATTGCTGGGATATTGCCACAAGTGACTTAAAAACATTCACTCACTCTATTGGTGTAGAACGGGATCACATTGTGATAGAGCAGAACGTTTGATGATTTAGACTGGTCAATGTAAGTCTTCAATATGTAATATACCGTATTCGACGTAATAAGCGCCCACGGCGATATTTGCTTATATATTAGCTAGTGAACAATCCCAATTAGCACCCCTTCCGATTGATCAATGTACACAAGACTCATTTATTCGCGTATAATACGCACTCGAGTGTTATATGCACCCTTAATTATGGGCAATTAAATTCTGGAAAAATATATCTGTCGTACATTAACATTTCAGGCTGTCAGCATAAACCACGAAATTTATCTTTCAGCTGTTTTTTTTTGCACAAAAATAATATTCTAATAAGAGCCCCCTATTTCTAATTTTGAGAGAGCCCGGGGCGCTTATTACGTCAAATACGGTAATTGTATTATATCATGTGTCACAGCATTGCAAAAACAACCTACATTGTAGTATAATACCAATTGCAAAATCCATTTATATCCGTTCTCTTATTTATTTCCGTCAGTATATACGGAATATATTATGTTTTAGATTAACGTTATCTGTTATAACAGACATTTATGCAGGAACACTAAGAGCACCGAAAAGTATAAAATGAGGCAGGTTATTCACCATTTCAAATAGGACAATATTAGACGACGGTTATTATTTTCAGTTCCCTTTGACACGACGACGACTTCGACAACGGCTGCGACCACCACCCCCGTTGCTGCTCCTCTCACCGGTAACACTGCAGGCATTGCTGTTGGTGTATCCTTCGCAATCATCATGATCACACTCCTAGTTGTCTTGTTCCTGTTCCTGTTCTGTGGGAAGAAAAGGATGAGGCTGTACAAGACCATTTGTGGCGGGAAATGTTTCACCGTCTGCACCGAGACTCACTCCTGTATGCGATGGAGCTTGTTCCAATGCTGCGGATGTCTGTCGTGGACGAAGGCGATGCTAATGAAATGCTATGACTGTTGCTGTCCCGAGTGTAGTCAAGGGAGAGTTGAGCCATCGAGTGACGATGTGGAGGCCAATATTGTCGTGACGATCACTCCACCTGCGGATGAAATGAAGGACTCCTTCACGCCGTTGCCACCTAGTGTCGAGGAAGTGGGGCCAGTAGACGCGCAAGGAAACCCACGTCGTCTTCCTCCTCTTGATCCCAAGACATCACCCATGACAGTGATTGAAGAGGAGTCTGAAGACGTGCCGAGTTCTCCCACCAAGCTCCCGGGCATCTCGCCCCGCACTGATGAACCGGAACCCGCACAGGATGGTGCTGACGGCAAGATGGAGCCGGAGGAGAGAGTGGAAGTGATGAAGGTTGACGAGTTTTTGGTAGCTGTAGCTGGAGAACAAGTTCAAGGTCAAGAAACGGAAGGGGAGGTAACTACGGTGAAAGAGCTGTCGGATGTGCAGGTGGCGGATGTAGTCCAAGGTGGCTCGGAGGCGGTTCAGTCAGGGAATGAGCAAGAAAGCATCCCAACTGAAGTAGATGCAGCTCCAGTTCCACCCGAAACCGCCCCGGATGAGTCAGGCGCCACCCCGGTCCCACCCGAAACAACCCCGGATGAGTCAGGCGCCACCCCGGTCACACCTGAAACCGACCCGACCCAACCTGAAACCACCCCAGCCCAACCCGAAACCACCCCGGTCGAACCTGAAACCGACCCGGCCCAACCTGAAACCACCCCGGCCCAACCCGAAACCACCCCGGCCCAACCTGAAATAGCTCAATCCACCGATCAGCCAGAGACTCCCTCAGAGACAACCTCGGCTCAACCTACTCAGCAAACAACGGCTGCTAGGGAACTAGACTTAGAACCAGTGGAGCATTCTACACCAAGAGAATGAGAGACAGCATTTGCTCCCTTTTAAAAGGGGCCAAACCAATACTCGTGTTTCAGGGAACATGATCACAACATATAGGTAGAACATTTGTTTATATATCAATATTGATGAGTTTTCTTGAACAATAGTTACTAGTGGATAGCAATGTCAGGGCCACAGATGAAATGACCCTTCACCGGAAACACAAGTATTGTTTGTTGGCTGGGCGTGCGGTCTCAATTATCTACACATTTTTATAAATTGTAGGTTGTGATGTGATAATGTGACAGAAGTCACTCGTCTTCCAGAACGAGTAAACTATTCCACATATTGGGACGTATGTTTGGTACCAAGTAAAAGGGTCTTTGCTTTGCTCCAAAATGTCTCCGACATTTAATGACAAGGAATTGCTGACAAGCTGTCACACGTCGATGTGTAAAATACTTGTTCGTTTTTTTGTGGGTTTTCATTTTGATGTTCCTCGTTCAGTGTTTAGGTGCCATGTTAATACGGAGGCAGGAACCTTGTTCGCTACATTAACATTAAATACCTGTATTGAACATTTTCGATCAGAGAGCATTGCCAGTCGTTGTTTCATGTCTTTCGTCACAAAGCAGATTCCTTTCGATGGTTCAACGTTCGTTTCGTGACTATGTCTATGTTTTTGAAGTGCCTAACATTTCACAAGATCGATAGTTTGATCGTTTTGATCAAACCTTTTCGAACTTATTTTGTTTTATTGAATATTTATTAAATGTTTTATTTTTAATATTTATATTGCATATGTTTATCATGCAAGTTTGTGAATATATGCAAATGTTCTTTTTATGCAAATGGTCATTATGCATTTTGTCTAAATGATTATGTAAATATGTAAAGTGAAAAACGATATATATTTAATATATTCGTGCCCCAAAGCAAAAACTGTGATAGTTTGCAATGATATAATTATGAGAGTGAGTGTTACTTTCCAGCGTATGTGCTCATGTATATAGTGTTTGCTGTGGTTGTTGGTATTATTGATGTTTGAGAGTGAATTGGTTCATTTTAGCGTATGTAGTCTTGTACATAGCGTTCGCATTTTACAGGTTCACCTGTACCCCAAAGCAAAACTGTGATAGTTTGTATTATAGAATTTTGAGAGTGAAATATTAATTTTGTCATATATAAATGTATCTAGTCTCGATTGGCTTGTGTCGTAGAGATAATGTGTTGTTCCATAACCCCAAAGCAAAACTGTGATAGCTTGTATATAAGGGTTTGAGAGTGAAATAATATTGCTTTTATGATAATGTGTATATTATTTGTATTGTAGCAGTGTTGTTGTATAACGTACAAGTATTTGGCAATAGGGTAGAGAAGTGGTGAAAGCGTTCGCTCGTCACGCCGAAGGCCTTGGTTTGATTCCCCGTAAGTGTATATGGTTTAACGCCGCTTTTAGAAATAGTCAAGCGATATCACCAGATATGGTCTTCACACATTGTACCCATGTGGGGAACTGAACCCGGACCTTCGGCGTGACGAGCGAACGCTTTAACCAGTTGGCTACCCTACCGCCCCGGGTACAAGTCGTGATATTGCTGGAATATTGTTAACAGCGGCGTAAAACCATACTCACTCACTACCACATCAACACGGTGTTAGCATGTAATACAGGGATGTGTTTATTCAGTTTCAGTACATGTATAGTGTTGACCTAGACCTGCTCATGATGTAGTGATTCATATGTCATTTTCCTGGTGGACGTAGATATGCATATATTTTTGTAATAAAGTTTCTATGTTTGAAATGTGTATTGATACTTCTGTGGATATTGCTACTGCTGGTGCTAAGTCAAACACTGTTGTTTGTTTGTTGTTTAACGCCGCATTCAGGAATATTCCAGCTATATGACGGCGGTCTGTAAATACTGTAATCGAGTCTGGACCAGACAATCCAGTGATTTACAATCCTGTGATTGAAATCATGAACATCATGAGCATCGATCCACGCGTTTGGGATGGGATGACATGCATCAACCAAGTCAGCGAGCCTGACCACCCGATCCCGTTAGTCGCCTCTTACGACAAGCATAGTCGCCTTTTGCGGCAAACTTTGGCGGGTTGCTGAAGACCTATTCTACCCCGGATCCTCACGAATCTGTCAAACACTGGGAAAGTTGGCAATATCATTTTCTGGAACAACTTTCACATACTGTATCTTCAAAAATGATAAACACTGATGGCGCTGACAACGAGTGCTTGAGTTTTTTCAGACGTCGGTCTGAATATAATCGAGCTTGGACCGGACAATCCAGTGATTGATATTAACATCGATCTACTCAATTGGGTACGATGACATGCATCAACCAAGTTGACGAGCCTGACCACCCGGTCCCGTTAGTGGCCTCTTACGACAAGCATGGGTTGCTGAAGACCCATTCTAACTCGGTTCTTCACCGGGGATGGTTTAATGTGACCTTGAAAAACATACAAATTATTTCACCAAATATCTGTATCATATGGAAGTGATGCGGGTCATTCACATTTACCACTTTGTGGTGAAACCCGCGTGAACAAGTACTGAATACAATCGGGGTGGACGTGGGATTCGAACCACTAACAGCAGCCCCGAGGAACGGAGCTCTGCACAGCGAGTAATGGCGCACTAGAAAGCCCTTTGCATTCGTGACCAACTCGTGTTATTCCGGGACAAGCCGAATAGCGACCCGTGCCCCTCTCGTGGCCATTTTTGCGACCGGGTTCCGTCTTAGCGGAAACGGGCATACCTAAAACAATTGTCAACTTGTTGCGTAATGGTTCACATATATTTCCCCGAATATTATATATATATTTCAGATGCAATTTAAAGCACATCTGGACATGCTGAATTATACAGTATGTTTAAACCCATTTAACTGTGTCTTGGGTATATTTTTAGATGCAAGACATATGTAAAATCAAATATTATTTCTGAGGGATTCTTTGACGAAGAACTTGAAATCATACGCGCATTCTGATTGGTTTGTCGTATTTTCGCACATAACATTCATCGGAAGGGGGACGAGTCTTCTTACAGGTTACGGAAAGGGGCGAGTAGTGACGAATGAGCCCTACGTGCACGGAACACGTGACGACAAACTCGCAAACTCCATTCAGCGTTAACGTGAGTTGACTGAAGCGGCGGAGAAATCCCACCATACTGCGATTATTCATTGACGGCATCGTGAGGGTTTTTGTGTCTCTTCCACAGCTCTATTTATAAGCTGTCGATTATGCCAATAGAATTGTAGGTATCTTGCTGTCTCTACGTTATTTAATATAGCTTTGTATAAATATATATATATATGTGTGTGTGTGTGTGTGTGTGTGTGTGTGTGTGTTGATTAACGCCGCACTCAGCACTATTCCAGCTATAAAACGTCGATCTGTAAATAATCGAGTCTGGACTAAACAATCCTGTGATTGAAATCATGAACATCATGAACATCGATCTACGCAATTGTTATACGGTGACATGCATCAACCAAGTCATCGAGTCTGACCACCAACCGCTCCCCCCCCCCCCCCCCCCCCCCCAACCCCCCACCCCTCCCCTCCCCGATCGGTCAGTGGGCACGTACGACGAACATGGGTTGCTGAATTCTAACCCGAATCTTCACGGGTCATAGGCCTGTGAATACACAAGTATTCACAAGTGAAATACGATTTGATTCGCGACAGTTTAATGTGAGCGGAATAACGTGACGAAGGTGGGGGACATGAGAAACTCATGAACAAAGGTCTGGTACTAACAAACCACCAACTCATGAACAGGACGGAACTGGCATTCGAACCCACTATCAGCGGCGGATCCTGGTGCTACTAAGAGACGCAAAGTAATTGCGGCGCCTGGGGCTGCTGAGCCAACCGTGGCCCCTTATAAACTCCACAAACATCGATCCTTTCAATACATGTGATCAACAAGGTATTCCTTTGTGGTTGGGTGAGTGAGTCGATGAGTGAGTGAGTGAGTGGCTGTGTGTAGGGGTGAATGGGTGTATGAGTGAGTAAGTGGCTTTGAGTAAGTGAGTGGCGGTGTTTGGGTGTGTAGGTGAGTGAGTTAGTGAGTGAGGGAGTGGGCGCGTGGGTGAGTGAGTGAGTGAGTGAGTGAGTGAGTGAGTGAGTGAGTGTGTGAGTTAGTGAGTGAGTGAGTGGGCGCGTGGGTGAGTGAGTTAGTGGGTGGGTGGGTGTCTGAGTGAGTGAGTGAGTGAGTGAGTGCGTGAGTGAGTGAGTGAGTGAGTGAGTGAGTGAGTACGTGAGTGAGTGAGTGAGTACGTGAGTGACAAAAGCCTAAATGTTAAGCAGGCAGAGGCAGCTAAGGGACGTTCCTTTGACCACATGACAGTCGGTGCCAACTATAAGTGAATGAGTGAGTGAGTGTAGTTTTACGCCGCTTTTAGCAATATTCCAGCAATATCACGGCGGTGGACACCAGAAATGGGTTTCACACATTGTATCCATGTCGGGAATCGAACCCGGGTCTTCGGCGTGACGGGCGAACGCTTTAACCACTAGGCCACCCGACCGCCCCGTTGTGAGACGGTGGATTGGAACCTGGACGCGTCGGACAAACACAATTCCCCCTTTAGGTCCGTTGATATATAGATATATAAGCCATAAAGTTACTGAGTGAGTTGGGTTAACATCGCTTTTAACAGTATTCCAGTTATATCACGTGGTGTCACCTTAATGTGGGAGCAAAGTGGAATTAATGCAGGTCTCATCCGTTTATCACATTTGTGAAACCCACGAGCACGGGTATGGTGCTGTCAAACCTAAAAACATAATCGGGGCGAACCGGGATTCGAACCCACGATCATAGGTTTCTGGCGTGCCAAAGCGTGGGTGAAATGGATTTTCAAATATTTTATTCGAGGTTGAAAGAGAATGTTTTTTTAATTACAGTATTTAAAATCATTTTAGTTCTTAAACCAAGTTTTATATAAAAAAAGAAGGTCTGGCCTAATTTTATTTAGAAATGTTGGAAGTGGAATTCGGTCACCGTGTTACCGTATTCTCTCCTGGTTCCTGACATTTCCTCAGTTATTAGTCTCAGTCTGGGGGAGATAATTCGCCCCCGTCATCAAACGGGCGTAATCTACATCTCTACGGGGAGACTTGGGGTCAGCGGCGGTCAGACTCGATAAAAACGTCAGACGTTTTAACACACACGCCCCAATATCATGCAGCCATATTCTCATTCACACGAAACAAAACACCTGGATTTTATGCACGAATAACAATCGCCCTGGCCGTGAGGAAGGCGCCAAGGTAATTAACACCACATGGGGTCAGTAACGCGACAGACACTCTGTCCTAAAATCCCTACTCGCATAGCCAGGTAGTCAAGTTTACAAAATGCTCTTGAGCATCCAAAACCACATTCTATTCCAAGACGGAAAATTCACAAGATATGACAAAAAGAATTCGTGGGCGAGACGAATGCTCAAATACCTAGCGACCGCTGATGGCGATAGGTATTGCGTCTTTGTAATGTAGTCAGTATTTGATTGCCTCGTATAATCATTACCTCATAAATAAACAGTTAGATTGAAATACAGTTAAAGTATAAATTATATATTTTGTTCATAGTTGGGCTTTCTAGATGTGTTTACTACTGGACTGACATGGGGTTTTCCTTTACTAAATCGGAATGGCGGTCCTAGCTCGATTGTTTACAGGCCGCCATCGTGTGACACAAGTAGTGATGGGTGTGGCGTTAGGAAGCAAACAAACACTTATTTTTTTAGACAAATTATGTGAGTGGCTGGTGCTACTGATAGAGCAGGACATTCACACTGGTGTCTTCACTCATGTTCAGTGATCAATTCAATGTTTTACTATTTTACCTTTTACACCCAATGCATGTGAAGCGAGGTGAGGGGAAATTTGGTTTAACGTCGCGTCGAAGATTATTGCACTTATATAGCGACGTGCATGTACTAGTGTGTGTTTGTGTGGCTGCTTGTACTAGTCCGGACTGATGCCGATTTATAGTGCTAGCTCACTGAGATACCATGCCGCAGTTTAACATGAATACCCCACTCAGACACAGTATACTGACTCCGAGCCGACCAGTCCTTGTTTTAGCCCCTTAATGCCGAGCGCCAGACAGGGTAACAACAAGTACCATCTTTTTACGTCTTTTGGTATGACGCGCCGGATCGAACCCCGGACCTTCCGCTCTCCGGGCGGACGCTCTACCACTAGACCACGGAGGCGGTCACACCCAATGCAGAACTTTGTACAACGTTGATATACAGTTCCAGGGTACCGTTGTACAAAGCGATCTTAACGCTAAGGTCGTCGTAACTCCCATTCCTTAACATAGACTTACAACTGTCGTAGCACTAAGGTTGTTTTGTACAACGGCACCGTGAATTGGCATGACAAAGTTACTAGATATACCTATCTAAATACGTACCTCCTGTTATAAAACAACCTGAACCTGAAAAAGATGTACTACATGTTACAGATAGAAAGGACCTTGTCCGCATGATATTTCGTTGTTTGTCACATAAATTTAAGGACCCGTGAAGATTCCGTGGTAGAAAAGGTTTTCAGCAACCCATGCTTGCCGTAAAAGGCGACTATGCTTGTCGTAAGAGGCGACTAACGGGATCGGATGGTCAAGTTCGCTGACTTGGTTAATGCATGTCATTGTATCCCAATTGCGTGGAGCAATGCTCATGATGTCAGTCACTGGATTGTCTGGTCCAGACTCGATTATTTACATACCGTCGTTATATAGCTTGAATATTCCTGAGTG